CCTCCTCCGGCTCTGGCGTCGGGGAGCGCCCACTGGCACCAGCACCTCCACTCCCGTTCTGCGGCTGCTGGGGCGCAAACACGCCGTTCGACTCCCCACTCAGCATTAACGGCGACATGAGACCGTCCCCCGGGTTTCCCTCTTGGTCGAGCATGGGCTCGCCCAGCTCGCCGCCGGCCAGGAACGGGATCGGGCTGACATGGGCGTCATGCTCGCGGGCGGGACGGTGGAGTCGGCGTCCATCTCGGAGATGACTGAGGACGGGCTCGTGGGACCAGCGCCGAGGTCGAACTGGGCGGGCGGGACGTAGACGTAAGACGGGGGAGCGTACGCTGTCGTCACGGTCAGCATCTTCTCGACCGCGCGCAAGAATTTGCCGATGGACGTGTGCTGCCGCGTCGGCGCAATTACGAGCTCGGAGAGACGCTGAACGGTGAATGGGGCGCTGGACGTTAGCTCGGAGAACATAGAAGAAGCTTACAAGGACAGCTCCTCGATCTGCTTCGCCGTCGCCTCGACTGCGCGCCTTCCCTCCTCTTCGTCCATCCAGCCTGGGAGCTTGCGTCCGCCAATGACGACCTCCTCGTCCCAGTCCTCCTCGTACGGATTGATCTGCGGCTGGCCAGCCCCATTCAGGCGCGGGCTGCTTGTCACCTTTTTCCGCCGGTTCGGGTCGAGCGGAGGGAAGGGTGGAATCACGAGACCTCCGGGCGTGCTCGGCGTGTCCTCGTCCTCGTCCGAGCTCTCGCTCCATGGCCGCTGAGGCGAGACCTGCCCCTCGCCCTCGGTCTCTCCTTCGGCGGCTTCACCTCCCTCGGCCGTGATCCGTACAGGCCGCACCATCGTGACCGGCACGCGACCGCCCTCGGCTACCGCCGGACGCGCCTTCGATACTGGCGGTCCCAAGCGGAGGAACTGCGGCAACGCAGCCCGCAGAGCCGTACAAATGTCTGCCCGCAAAGAGGGCCATTCACACCTGTTCGTTAGCTATGTTGGCGGGTTAGCAGCTCACTCAAAGACTCCCGTCTCGGCGAGCTTCTGCAAAGTCGGGTTCACGGTTTCTGCGCAATGTCAGCTAGGCTGCGCAGTCATCAGCTCACCCCTGTCGGGCGGGCCGCTTTCGCGTTCCCGCGTATCTCGCTCTGAGTCGGCCATTTGCAGCTTTGGTTGTGGAAAGGAAGCTGCAGCGTGGAGGAAGGTGAGGAGTGTCAAAGGAGTTGTTCTGACATGATGCGCCGCCCAGCCCAGCTGCGACAACAACAAAGCGGTCCCGCCAGTGCCCTGCGGCAGCGGCTTGCGGGAATTGCGGGGTTGGGATGATTTCCGTGTGCTCTGAGTAGCGGGGTGGCTTGAATAAGCTCGTGAGGGATCGACAACAAGAAGTAGGGAAGCTGTGTGCATCACGTGATACCAAGACCGTCAGTGGTGTGAAGTGTGAAAGTCGCGGAGATGGCGAGTACCACCGCAGACCGCAGACCGCAGGGCATCCGGAGGTGCGGCACGCTGAATCGCGCGTTAGTCACACCTATCCCTGAGAGAGCCGGAGCGAGTGTGGGCCTGGCGAAGGTTGGACTGACGCTGGGGAGTGACGCGGCTTAGCCGTTGGGCTGTCGAGCCCGTGGTACCGATGGCCGTATGGAATCGTGGTTTGTCCTGAGCTTGAGCCTGAGCCCGCCTGAGCCAGCCAGCCTAGCCAGCCTGCAGCCTGAGCGCTGAGCACTGCACGGGCAGAGGCCACCAAAACGGCCAAGCGCAAGACACACAGGGGATGCGGCGCATGCGGCGAGGTGCGCAGTGGCCCGGTGGCCAAAAATTTGCCTCCGGGTGAACAAAAGTTCTGCCCTGCCCTGGCACGGTGGCTCGGCATCCACCCGTGTCGTCCATGTCGAGGCTCATAGATCAGTGTCGAACCTGCTCGAATTACCCGGACACCCCGGATTACTTAATGTTGCATTAGGACCGCACACCAACGCATGCAACGCAATGCTTTGTGGGCGGCAACGAAGACGCGCGAACACTGCCCGCGGCACCCCGCGCACATCGAATTATCCCTGTGTTTAGAGAGGCAGGCGCATGCATAGCACTTTTGGGAGACTGGCTGACTGAGGAACGGTGACGGCCGCGTCGTATGTCGTATCGAATCCTAATGGGCTCCCCGGTCCCCGATTACACCACCCCCAAAAGAGCCCCCCAATCCCTAATTGCGTTTGCCCGGATAAGTCTACCACAAAGACTAAGGCAAGCGGTGCGTTTCAACGCGTTTGGATCCTAAAGGCAAATCCACATCGTTTTTTGTTTCTTCTCCATCAATCAACCCATCTTCCACATCGTCAACGACCATGGTCAGGGAAACGTGAGTATCCAGATCAAGACGGTCAGAAGCGCCGCTCGCACTCTGAAGCGTTGCCCGCGCTCCCGTCGGCGCTCGGCTTCTCGGCGGGTAGCTGGCGGCGCTGGACTGGGCGGCAGAAATATTCGGCCACCCGGGAACTGGCCCCAAGCAACTTTCGGCTGGTGGCCACCGTTACACTCTGTGGAACAAAGGATCCGTGCTGACGCTGCGCTTCTCCTCGACGACCTTCTGCTCCAACGATCGACTTGTGCAACGCTCTCCGCCCAACTCCGTTCAACTCGCGCCGCTCATGATTTTCGCGATGATTCTGCAGGGAGTACTAGTGAGTCATCTGTCGGACACGTTGCGGTGGTGGCGCCGCTCCGCTCAGCGCGGAGATCCACCAGCCCACGGTCCGCCCATTGCAAGCAAGTATCGGTGCTGACACGGCTTCCTCCTCGCTCTGCGCCCTCACATCGCTGAATGTTTTGCTTGATCATCGTTAATGTGGCGCGTTTCTCACCTTGACTCGATTCTACTCATAGCGACCTTCTGGGTGTCGCCCCGTCTGCGGGTCCCGATGAGATCAAGAAGGCGTACAGGAAGAAGTGAGTCGATTAATCGCAGCGGCCGTGTCCGTGCTCAGTTCTAACAACCGTCCAGGGCGCTCAAGCACCACCCCGACAAGGGCGGTGACCCCGAGCTCTTCAAGGAGCTGACGCACGCGTACGAGGTTCTTTCGGACGACAACAAGCGTGCTGTCTACGACCAGGCCGGAAAGGAGGGACTGGAGAACGGCGGCGGCATGGGCGGCATGGACCCGCAGGACCTGTTCTCGCAGCTGTTCGGTGGCGGCGGTGGTGGCTTCTTCGGAGGTGGTGGTCGCCCCCAGGGTCCCCGCCGTGGAAAGGACCTCGTCCACCGCATCGGCGTTTCGCTTGAGGACCTCTTCAAGGGCAAGGTTCAGAAGCTCGCTTTGTCCAAGTCGGTTCTCTGCCCGGGCTGTGACGGCCAGGGCGGCAAGAAGGGCTCGGTCAAGACCTGCACGGCCTGTCGCGGACAGGGTGTCAAGGTCATGTTCCGCCAGCTCGGCCCGATGATGCAGCAGATCCAGCAGCCCTGTACCGAGTGTGACGGTACTGGTGAGATCATGGACCCGAAGGATCGCTGCAAACAGTGCCACGGCAAGAAGGTCGTCAGCGAGCGCAAGGTTCTCGAGGTTCACATCGACAAGGGAATGAAGAGCGGACAGCAGATCAAGTTCCAGGGAGAGTCGGACCAGGCCCCGGGCATCGTCCCCGGAGACGTCGTCATTGTCGTCGAGGAGAAGCCCCACGAGCGCTTCCAGCGCAAGGGCGACGACCTCTACACGGACGCCAACATTGACCTCCTCACCGCTCTCGCCGGCGGAGAGTTCTACATCCCCCACCTCGACAACGATGCCCTCAAGGTCATCATCGCCCCTGGTGAGATCATCAAGCCCGGCTCGCTCAAGTGCATCTCGGGACACGGTATGCCCTCGTACCGCCACCACGAGATGGGTGACCTCTTTGTGCGCATGAACGTCCAGTTCCCCGAGTCGCTCCCGGAATCCGCCATGCCCCTCCTTGAGAAGGCTCTCCCTGCCCGCCCGCCTCAGCCGAAACTCGACCCCAAGCTCCACATCGACGATGTCACCCTCGAGGAGCCCAACGACCGTCAGCGCCGTTCTGCCGCCTCTAACGGAGACGACATGGACGAGGACGACGACGACCGTCCCGGCGTTCAGTGTGCCCAGCGTGAGTCCTAACGACCGTTCAGCTTCGATTGTCTCGTGTAGCTAACATGTCGCAGAGTAAGCAGCTCCCATGCATGCTTCCGCGCTGCCTGCGCACAATGATCCATACAGCCCTCGCCCTGGCTCACGCGCCTCAAAACCTCTGATCTTTCGTTTCCCTCGAATGATCTTGACCCCGAACACGAAATATACCCCCCATCCTCCATCCTCCATCTTTCTCCCTCCATCTCTCTGCATCTCCGTGCATCTGTTGCGGAATGTTCTTTCACGTAAACTCGGTCTCCTCGGTCACCGGCTCACTCGGGATGTCGATCGAGCACATTCGACGCGATGACCGAACCCGGCTGACCATGACCGAGATAACGTATACCGCACCGGCCCGCAGAAGCGCAGGAGCTGGAGCCCTCTCCATCTCCACCCCAACCCCACACACAACCCACAACCCGCGTCGGAAAAGACAAGAGTAGTAGTTCATTTTTACAGCATTGGTCACAGATGCAAACTATGTATGCACAGGAGTCGATTTCGCAGGCATCTTCCCACTGACTTGGAGACTTCTATTAAGCGAACGTGGAGCAAGGAGGAAGGCAGAGGAAGGCACCCCGCGTTTCTATAGCGTCATCGCAAGTCGGTCAGACCCGGCACACCCGCTACAGGGCTCAGAGCGGTGCCTGGAACTGACCACCTCAGCTTCACAATCACCACCCCACACATCCCTTCACATCAGGAGTCTCGCAGCTGTGATCTGGGGCTCGTATGGCGTGGTCCCCGCTTGGCGTCTGACAGTGATACGTGATACAGGGCGCAGGTAGCTCTACTGGTAGTCGAGCTGCGCTGGGGCTCGGCTCCGAATTGGCCAAGGCGACCGCGCATGGCAGTTGCGCAGTGGCTGAGTGGTCCGGCGCAGGGGTTTGTCGCCGATCACGTTTGGAACTCCTTCCTCCCCATACTCCACTGACCTGCACCACGGCAGGATAGCCCTGTACATTACTCAGCAGTTGCGCGGTTGGGACTGAGTGCAACGTGCTAAAGGAGGGGCGCAAGAGCGCGATCTTTGTGTCCAGCCGAGGCCGTTCTCCGAAGACCGCTGGACCAGCGATGCGGCTTCAGACGAGAGGCTGGGAACGGTGGGTGATGTTGTGAGAGCCTCGCTCGCTCGATGGAATACACAGATGTGCGGCGCACGGATAGAGTGTCTCCTTCCTGACCGGTAACTCCTTCTCGTTGCCTCTGTTGACGTTTACACCATCGCCGCCAACGTTCCCGTGACCCGTTTGACCGTGCGCAACGAGCACGGGCATCGCGATCATCATGAAGGGTCGCAACAAGGCGAAGACCGGGGGCAACCTGAAGAGCAAGGGGTGGAACAAGGGAGAGGGCAAAGAGAATAAGACCACTAAGGTGAGTGCTAGCACCTGCCGAATTGAGCGTCTCGCTGACCATCCAGCGCCGGTACACGTCTGACGACGACAAGAACACCAGCCAGAGCGGCGCTGCGAAGCGTTCGCGAGCCGCGGATCCCGTAAGTCTCCCCGGAGAACGAGACTTGACGTGGATGCTGACGCCACAATAACTGGAGCCGGTGACCGATTAGGAATCGGACCGCGACATGGAAATGGAGGGCAGCAACGAGACGAAAACCGCGGACAGGGAAGTGAGTGATAACGGCAAACGACCCCCAGTCAGTCGCTGATACTGCCAGGAGCCCGAGGAGCGCGAGAAGAACAGCAAGACGGCGGCAAGCGTGAGTAGTCTGCACAGACGGATGGCTGTCGTGTTTAACGGCGCTTACGGCAAGGCCTGGCATTCGCCCATTGCGCTCTTCAAGCTTAAATTTCGCTTAACGATCGTATGTGTTCATGCTCTCCCACACTACGCGTTACTGACTTTCAGTTCCGAGTCGGGCGGGCGAAGGGGAACGGGAATGATGCCAACCGCTACAGCGTCAGAGTTGTGAGTATATTAACGTTGTCTGATGGCGTAATTCTGACTCGGTGCAGCTGAAACAAATCCTGTATGAGGCAGGTCAGCAAACCATCGATCGCTGGATCGTGAGTATCGCAATCGGATATCGTTGTACCTCCTGCGCTTCGCTAATGCCAAGAAAAGTACGGTACTGCCGGTTGATCACTTCGCGGAGCAGGAGCCCGATGACAGTGACGACGAGTTCGAGATGATGGACGAGCCACTGGGCGCAGAATCAATGGAAGCTGAAGCAGCGCCTGGAGTCGCGCCAGGGCGTGAGGCCAGCCCCGTGACACCCTCACGTCACCACGATGCGGCACACATCGCAAACGACTACTCCCGCGACCGTATCAGCACGAGCACCGCTGCCAATGACGGTGACGGCCTCGGCGACGACGACTCAGATGACGAGGCGTCGGATGACAAGGCCGCCAAGCTGCACAACACTGGACCCCCACCACTCAGCGACGAGGACACCGAACGTCTCTTCATCCAGAGCGCTCAGAAGACTCATGACGGATCTCCGAACCCAAGCCTGGACCCGCGAGGTCATGCCAGACCAGGGAAAGGCGACGAGCATCGCCACCCAGCTCCGCAGGATGCCGCGATGGGTTGAAGCGTCGCGTCCGGCCGGCAGCCAACGATCGAGGAGTGGCTCCTGTTTGACGCTTCCGCCTTAGACTGACCCTTCCACGGGGTATACGCCAAGTTGGCGTTGCCGACTGACGACTCCTTACCGGTTATTCTTTATGTGGGATCCTCCTCAAACATGGCGATCCCCTGGGGCGGGATTGCCGCAAGGGCAAAGCAGCACTTGCGGGGCGTGGCTGTTGCCGAGATCAAGGAGACGTTTTCCGAGCTGGTTCGCGCAAACATTAACACATATATCGTAACAATAATCGATCTGTGGAGCGTCGAAGACTTTGACTACACATCTGCGACCCAGGCCGACTTGACGCGGAGCGCGCAGACGATTTACGTCTGCGAGGCTGTCCTCGCCGACCTGTTCAAGGCGTTCTCAACGACGCCGGCTACTACGGCCAGCCCGGAGCAGAAGGGGCGTCAACGTGATGTCGCCGCTTGAGCAAGGCGTACACCTCCCAACGGCGCTTTCGGACATCAAGTGGTGAGTCTTTTTTCACATATCCCATATTGGAAACGACGCTGATAAGAAGCCCGTACAAGGGTTGCGACACGACCGCGAAACGGGCCGCAACACTTCGTGATCACGTGTTGAGGGAGCACGGCCAGACTGTCGAGCCGTGCGATGTTTGCGACAAGCGATTCACGTCGAACTTCCACCGACTGGAACATCTAGCAACCCATTCAACGGGGAAGCCGTTTGAGTGCTGGTACAAGGGGTGCCAAACGCGTAGCAAGACTGAACGGGGGCTGGCACGGCATGTCGAGTACGCGCACCTCGGCCGGACAAGGGCTGTCCGTGAGCACCAGTGCCCACTGTGCCCGTTTAAGGCGGCAACCTTGAAGGCACACACACAGCAAGCGCATGACTTCATGGGTTCGGGGGAGACATTCGCCTGCCGCCTCTGTGATTCTCTCTTCTCCAACCTCAAAGCAAGGGGCAATCACGTCACTCGCGATCACCCCGGCGCAGCTCAACATGAGTGCACCCGAGGCTGCGGTTTTGGCGGTGACAAGAAGAAGTGGAAAAAAGTGTTATTTTTGCGACTTTACGCCATACGCATCTCTCCACCACCACCTCACGTCCTCGCACAACTTCAACAATGGGCAGAAGGTGTTCAGGTGCGGGGCGTGTCCCGCACTCTTCTCCAATATGAAGAGCCGTGGAATGCACGTGCAGCGCGCCCACCCAACCGCCGCGCTGCACACGTGTGCGCTCGGTTGCGGCTTCGAGTCTGACAACTCGAAGACCAATCTCAACCACGAGGAGAAGGCGCATGTCGACGGCCCCGATGCCGTGATCTGCCGCATCTGCGAGATCATCTACACAAACTCACGCATGCTCACCAACCACCTTAAACGTGAGCACGGCATCGAGGAGCCATGGGCCTGCGTGGAGTGCCCGTACCGCAGCGGAGACATGACGAGCCTGAAGAACCACGTCTGCAACGTACACGAGCCTACTCCTGACGCCAGGTGCGGTATCTGCGGCTGCAAGGTGGCGGGCGGCAACAAGCTGCGCTACCAACTGGAACTGGCGCACGGCCGAGACGACGTCGTACTCAGGGACACGGGCGGCTGGAAGCCACTCGACGACGCACCCAAGCGCCTGGTGGCCTGGTGGGGCGGGCAGGGGACCCCCCCGTTGTCCAGGTCGTCGACGATGGAACGGGCAACCTGCAGATCTCGCAAGCCCTCATCTCGCCGGCGGGACGTGTGAGCTCGACCGCCCCTCGCGACCTCGCTGTTCATATCAAAACCATCACAGCGAATGGCCAAGTGAAACTGAGCCCGGCGACGCCGTTCTCCCAAATGTCGACGGCCATCAAGCTCGCCGACAACCCGCAGTACAAGCTCTCCACCAAGGCCGGCGAGACCAATCCCAAACAGCTATTCTTCGTATCTTACGCGCCTGACCGACTGACAGAAATTTGTCAGTAACGCCCTTCTCTTTTCTCAGGAGGACCTGCAGGGCGTCGTGCGAGACATACTGTAATTGTGTGCTCTGCCAGCAAAACGTAGATAGGGAACCGCGGGGGCCGTGCCTGAAACTGACCACTTGTTCGTGGACCGAGGTCTTGTTGCCACCCTTGTGCCAGCCAGCTCCGGACACTGATACACTGGACGAGCAACAAGTATGTGGTGGTGTGGCGGAACCGGTCAGCAAGAAAAGTTGGCGAGTTGGGAAAGTGGGCATCGATCATGGGTCCGAGGTCCCGCTGTTGTTTTTGCGGCACGGGCGCAGTTCTCTGTCTTTTTGCTTCGGAACACAGCGGCGCGGGGAGTGCGAGCTGCGAGGAGGGAGTTGGGAGGGTAACTGGCGTTGGAGCGAGACTCGGCTTGGTGCCCGGCCAAACCCTCATTGCCCAATGTCTCCCTCGCGCTTCACTCAGTCCACTTCCTCCTCCTCCTCCTCATTTACGGCAGTCCACGAAAGGTGCGCTTCTAACCTCTATGTTCTCCCATATTCCGCCGGAGAAGAGGATATCCTCTCCGTTTCTGCCGATGAGAGCGGCATCTGAGCACAAGAGGGAGCTAGACTACCGCTTCACACAGGTAAGAGACGCACAGATGAGCGCATTATCATTTCATACAGAGTCGGTTACAACTGCGAATAGGATTTATACAATTGGGTAGATGGATGAATGGATGGGCGGTGGTGATGGTGTAGGATGCGTGGGGTTGCATGAGAATGCAATGTCCGCCAGCAAGGAGAGCTGGTGGTGCGTGAAGATGGGGTTCGTGTGGAGTCATTCGGTGTTATGTGTATAGAAGTGTGTTCATGTGAGGGTGGGGGGGGGGGGGGGGGGAATATTACGGAAATCATTTGTCAGTTTTGTATGATTGGAAGCGGCTAGATCTAGCGCATGTGGGATGTGGAGACCAGAAACTGTCCATTTTGTCGTGGTGTGGAGTGTAGAGGAAGAGATGTGAGAGGTAAAGGCAAGAAGCGAGGCCGTCTGGACGACTCAGCCAACAGAAGCCAACGAGGGAGCGTGAAGAACCGGAACCGAAAAGAAGCAGTGTAATGCACAGGAGCAAAGTGCCGGGTGGAAGCAGCGGTGAAACAAACAGGGAAGAGCTGGAATCGGCGAGAAGCCTTGGTAATGTGCCTCGGCCTCGGTCCAGCAGTATGTTCTGGCATGCGAAGTGTTATGGTGGTTGAAAGGATAGGTGACGTGATGGGCGTGGCGAACAAACTCGGTGCACCGCGGCCTCGGTCTTCTCATGTCTCGGTTCGCGATGCGGAATCTTGTCGAACTGGAACGGGGTAGATGCCCGATGGCACCCTGGATCCTGCGGCTTCCTTGCTTCGCTAAATTCGTCTCTTACCGCCGCTTCTCGTGTTCCGGTGGCGGTTTTGACTCAAGCTGGCTCCGGCTGGGTAGTCTTTGACCTTCTGCTTCGAGCGAAGCTGCCTAGTGGTGTGGGACGGGGGAGCCCTGATTCTACCACAGACTCCATCGTCGGCCCGAGCCGCGCTTGTCTTCCGGGATGCCGAGGACTTCGTCGAAGCATACCCGCCCCTCCTGCTGCTTGAGCTTGCGCGAGGCGCGCTCCGCACTCCATGCCGATTGCAACGAGCCCGATGTCTTGGGCATGAGCACGGGCCCGCCCTCGTCTGATGACATGCACGTCGCCGTTGCGGAGATCGGGACAGGACGCACCGTCTTGCCACTGCCCGAGCTGGCGCTGCCGCCGGCCGATAGGGGAGGGGAGGATGACGTGCTCGCGCTTGCGCTCGCACTGCGCTGCGTGATCCCCACGCCACTCGGACCGCCGGATCCAAGACCAGGGGTGGGGCGACCAGGCCGCGAAGCGGAGCAAGTGCAAATCGCCGGGGCACGCTTATCGGCGAAGTAGCTCGTGCGACAGGTACACGGGGTGAGGATGCCGCCGTCGTTCAAGTCAAACGAGGGTGGGCTGGGTTCGTCGTTCGCACTGCCGCTCGAGAGAGGCGAGGAGATGACCGATGACGCGGCAGGACTCTGCTTGGACCGCTGTCGCGGTCCGAGCTTGGGAGACGGGTCCAGATGATCCGCTCTCGACTGCCCCGACTGGCTGGGCTGGCGCGCCATAGACATGCCGCCGCTACCGGACGGTAAGGAGCGAGACGTCGCTCCAGTCATTGCATCGCTGGCTGCGCGGTGGGGAAGGATCGGGCGCTCGAGCGTCTTCGGGATCGCGGACGACGAACGTTGATGCGTGGCTGTTGGTCGGGGTGATACCTTGCGGGGCGTTGGTGGCCGCTTAGGTGGCGAGTTCTGCGTTGCCGGTGTTGACGCTCGCAGCTTTCCCGACGCTGCACCTCCCTTGACTGAGCTGGTGCTGCTCTTGAGACTAGGGGTCTGAATCCCGATCTTTGGTGTACCTCCAGTGGATGTACCTGGGCTGGTAGTCGCACCAACACCGGCATCGACGGCTCTCAGCACGGGGGAAGTTGAGAAGTGCGGGGCTAAGCGTTGTTGTGGGTTCCGCAGTGCAATGCTGCGCTCGACCAGGGACACGAGGTCCACATCGGGAAGACTATCGATGCTCGCGATCGATTTCAGGCTTGTGCCGGAAACGTTTCGAGCTCTGATGTGGTGACCGTGACTGGGGTGGTACCCATGCTCCTTCCACAGTGATCCTCCAATGCTTCGCTTCTTCCCAGGCTCGGAGTCCATTGCATGCACTGGGTTTGTTGATAATCTCGGATCGAATACCGGGGTGGAGGGCCGCGTCGGGGATGCACTTCGGTCTACATCCGAGATTGTGACTGAACGTTGACGACGCCTCGGCTTGCCGGCGCGCTTCTGCTCGTTTTCGAGTACTGTCAACAAAGACTGTTCCCGTTCAAGCAGGGACAGCAGAGACTGCTCTGCTCGGCTCCGTTCCAATCGCTCCGGCTGCAGCGATGGCGATGGAGGCATGGAACGAGGTGGTGATCGAGAATGTGATGGGGAGGTCGGGCGACTGGGATAATTGGCCGCGGGCGACCAGGGTCGGGCAAGTCCAGGTGGCGAGCTGGTCATGCTGATGGCGTGAGTGGAGGGGGAGATGGGAGAGAAGGGTGCTGAGACAGCGTGAGGCCACGAGGGCGCGATGATATAGTCGACCGGCTCGTTGTCGATGGGGCGGGAGAAGCAAGGGAAGGTGACGAGTAGCCGAGAGTCGTGCGAGGTGGTCAATGTTGGACGGGTTTGGTCGGGTTGAGTTGTTTCGGTGGTGAAGTGCCGTTATGTCAAGATGCAATGAACAGAGGAGGGTGGGGTTGGGTGGGGGTGATGGTATAGATATTGGAGGGGGGAAATTGATGGTCGACGGGTAGTTAAGAGAGAGAGGGATTGAGGGTGTACATTGTGCACGACGGGTGCAGTTGAGGATCGGTGAGTGGTGGTGGTTGAGGTGCTATGATGCATGGACGGCATGGCCAGATCGAGGCAGGCTGCGAGGCGGGAGACCTGAGGCGAGGCGGCGAGGCACACAACGACAGATACGACGGATGCCGGGACTGGTGATGGCGCATCTCGTGTCATGGTGCATGGTGCGGATGCGGCGCGCGGCGGTGACGATGTGTTTGCTGTGTGGGGTGTGGTTGTGTGAGGGCGAGCGAGCTGGGCGAGGCCCCGCCATCCGGCGCCAGGACTTGCAGGATCGCAGGATTCAAGGATCCAAGGATCCCAAGGACATCCGGGAGCCGGCCCAGTCGCACCAGTCGCACCAGTCGCGCGGCCACAGATCCGAGAGAGACAAACGCGACAAGCGTGAGCAACGAGAGACAAGGACTCAACCACCATCGGCGAGCTTAGACGGGCCTAGGATCCTAAGCTGAGGGAGGATCTTGGTCCTAGACCGATTTGGCATTCTCTGCTGTATGGCCTATGGTAGGCCAGACGGCTTTGTGCGACGAGGGTACGATAGCCCGCGTTTGTGTCGATTTGTGTCGCGCATGTCTGCTGCGGTGGGCCGGCCCGTGGCAATCCTACAATCCTGAGTACGATCCTCTGCAGGGCCGCGGTGCCGTAGTCCCGTAGTGCATTTCAGCCTGCGACCTGCTGCGCTGCCACCTCGCGCCGCGCGCCTGCTGCCCCCAGCCATATGCAGAAGCCCGGTGCGCACGGTGGTCTTGGACGGCGGTCCAGGCCACACGGACAATCGACACAAGACACAGGGCGCATACAGTCGCAGGCTGAAGGCGGTACGGCGCGGCGACGGTGGCCAAGCACACGGCGGTCACGGCGTCTACGGCTGGCAGAGACAGGGTGTCAAAAGGCAGGAGGACCGAAGAGCCTGTGGTGGGCGCGAGGCGCGCAGGGGGGCGCAGGGGCGTAGCGCAGTGCATCTGGAGTACGGTGCTGAATTACCGACGCACGCTCCTCGCTCGGACCACCTGCGCCACTCGAGCTCGAGCATCAACATTGCTTCCAGTGCCATTGACTCTGGTCCTTGTTCAGGCAAAGGCAATAGCGGACCAGCGTTCCAACATTCCGGCGCAATGAACATGCGTCTCCCAGCCATGCCGAAGTCCAGCAACGACTTTAGCAGGTCATCTAGAGCTTCAGAAGAACAGCATGAGGTTCGAGGGGCCAGCTGGAGACGTCCGAGCGTCGGGCTTAGTGCGATGCGTCCTTGCGGGCTTCGTACCTTCGTACCTTCCTGCCTTCGTCTGATCCTCGGGCCCTGGAACTCCCGGCCCTGGCGCGCCTGGCGAGCACACTGCCTCGTGTTTGGCGATTGACGGGTGCGCATGTGCGTTGCGCGTTGCGTTGCATTGCAACCCCCAATCTATCACATCTCCGATCTCGAGATCCACGTCGTTACGATCTGCCGGTTACGCTACGGCGGTGTGTTGTTCTTCCATTGTGTGATTGTGCCGTGTGCCCCTCGATAGTACCGCGCCTATTCATGGCTCTGCCGGACGCCCTCCTCAATCAATCCGATCCATTGTTTACCTCACAATCGCCTACCACAGTTGGATTTGATCGGCTCTCGAGTCCATTATACCAAGAGTTCGAACCAGAACTGCCTCGGATAGATCGGTAAGAGCGGGCAGGCGTTCAGGCGTGCTTGAGGGAGCAACAGGCGTGCTAGTCAGACGTCCAACCAGATGCGCGGTACGCAGGGCTTTATCAGCGCGCTATCGGCTGGCCAGGATAGCTATCGGGTGATCGAGCTAGCGGCCACAGGGCAGGACCACATGTGAGCACCCCCTTTTTGTCAAGCAGCCGATCTTGGTTGAAACGTTGAAACACCGTGGGCTAGTGCTAGCTTTGTTCCTATGTTCCTGCAGGTCAGCACTAGCACTTCGTCTGTATGCAGGCATGAGTCAATTGCGGGTCTGGACCTGACCAAGAAAACGCCATTACGCCACCTGCCAACATCAGTGTCCATAAGCGTTGGACGCAGCTGCCAAGTTAATCGAAGCGTAAGACGGCTTTCGTCGACAGTTCCCAGGCTAGGCGTTGTTTCTGCTTCGATGGCTGTGAGAACTTTGGTTGGTGTAACCATGAAGCGACGCAGTCAAAAGTTGTCCCGTCGGTGGACCAGGTGTCACGCAGCGGGCAGGGTCGGCAGCCCCTGCGGCGAACGGGCGCCAGGATAGGCGGGCAACAATCGACGAGGACCAAGGGTGCAGGTCTACCCAAGCCGACGATCGCACTTAGCAAACGGCCGACGGTAACGACTGGCGAATGGAGATTGTTCTCTGGCTGGGATCGAGCAGTCGCGCGACCGTGACACCCACATCCCCAGACAGACCCCACAGTCCCCAGAACACGGGAGCTTCCACGAGCCTGTGCACTGTTCATTCTTTCGATGGGCTTTAGGCATTGGCGAAAGGGCCCGGGAACTCCATTGATCCCCTTCCCCACATAATGAAGGGAGTGCGGTATGGAGAGGTCTGGAGAGGTATGGGGAGCAGGGACGTCCCGCGGCGCCCGTCCGGTGGCGTCGACACGCGGCCGCCTCCCCCCTCCTTCATCGCCGGATACTGTGCTCCAGAGCAGCAGGTACTCAGCGCACCTCACAGTCATCCATGACCCGGTGTCAAAGCCCCCTGCGTGCCCAGCGCCCAGCGCCTTCCCCACATCGACCCCGCATTCGCCCGTTCATCGTTGTCAATGCGTCGGGCATCGCTGACTCGACATGGGCTGGCGTCGATGCGATCAATGCGATAGTCCATCGATAACGGTCGAAAGCTGGGGCCAAGGACGGAATGTTATCAGATACCCTTCAACAATGGCGGGTTTCGATTGCATGCCGTTCAGATCCCTGGGTCAGTTGCTCGCCCGGCTGCCATTCTGTGCTCCAGAGCAGCAGGTACTCAGCGCACCTCACAGTCATCCATGACCCGGTGTCAAAGCCCCCTGCGTGCCCAGCGCCCAGCGCCTTCCCCACATCGACCCCGCATTCGCCCGTTCATCGTTGTCAATGCGTCGGGCATCGCTGACTCGACATGGGCTGGCGTCGATGCGATCAATGCGATAGTCCATCGATAACGGTCGAAAGCTGGGGCCAAGGACGGAATGTTATCAGATACCCTTCAACAATGGCGGGTTTCGATTGCATGCCGTTCAGATCCCTGGGTCAGTTGCTCGCCCGGCTGCCATTCTCCCTTTGTCCCACCTATACTGCTGGCCCTCTGTTGTTCACCGATGGACGGGTTAAGGGCCGTCGCGCAGTTAGGACTCTACCACCCGTATCTCCTCTCCGATCCTGGAAACGGTGATAGACGCCTGCTGTTCGCCCCGCCTGGCTTCGATTACCGATTGATTTGCATTCTGCTTCTCCTTCTTACATCTCCTCGCTCCTTTTGCTCGTTCTACTCACCACGCCCCCTGTGAAGGGACGGCTGGTTTCCCTATGCACATGCTGTTCTGCACGTCGCACTTAGCGGCTTAGAGGAACTTGTTCTGCTTGAGCCACTGTGATGGGTCAGCTTATCACACGGAGTGTATGGAGCTGGGTCTTGCGGCGGGAGCGACATTCGAGGGTGCCCGCCATGTTATGCGTGATGTGCAGAAGCACGTCACGATCACACGTGCCGGGTCGCGAACCCCGAACCTTGCTTGCAGGTTACACGCGGCTGAAACTACAAGCCGCTGCCCGCTTCGCCTTCGCCGCCTCCTCTGGGGGACTCACCTGCTCGACGTCCTGCTGATCACGCTCGAGCCAGTCCGACGCGGCCTGGATCGTGTCGTAGACCTGGTGGACCGAGAGCTTGTAACGCGAGATGTCTACTGTCAGAACTGCACTTGTGTCTGAGTCAAGGTTCAAGAACTCACCCCTGCCGTCGAAGAACTTCTTGATCTTGGCAAGGTCCTCCTTGGAGGTGAGCGAGCCGAAGGCACCCTTGATGAGGTGCGCGATACCGAACGAGGCCGAGAACTCCTTGTCGAACTGGGGTCTGTCAGCTGTGCTTCTCGGAAGAATGTGTGAGAGGGTGTTTGACTTTCGCGGTGATTGGCGTTTCTGAGCGGTGCTTCTCTGCGAGATCGGGGACATGGGACGACCGCGGATACACTTACCCTGTCAAAGTTCTCCATGAAGTAGTCGCCGATCTGGCGGCGGGACTCGCGGTTGGAGGCGAGCGCGAAAAAGGCAATGTAATAGTCCTGGCTCTTGAGGGATCCGTCGGTGAACATGGCAAAGGTGCGGTCGATGAGCTTCTGGTCCTTGGGCACGCCGAGGGCGAAGAGGGCGTCGACCTTGGTGTGGGGCGTGGGGGGCTTGTCGTACACGGCGCGAATCTTGTTGTACTCGGTCTCGCCGCCGTGCTTGACCGCGACGCTGTACGTGATGCGCTGGAGGTCGGGGGGGATGCGCGAGTCGTCGTTGTTCTCAAGGAAGGGCTGGAAGCGCGCCTTGAGCTCGGCGAGGACGTCGGCGTCCTCGGCACCGGCGCACGTCGAGATCGCAAGCGTGCGCAGCTCCTTGACGTCGGGCGCGTCGTTCTCCTTGTGGTCGTAGCCCAGGCGCTCGACCACGGGCTTGAACACCTTGATGCGCAGCGCGTTGATCGCATCGCGCACCTCCTTCGGCTGCTCCCACCACGTCGCGTTCAGCTTGCCAAGCGCGAGGTTGATCTGGTCGAGCGGCAGGTACTCCTTCTCGGTCTCGGCGAGCTCGTTGATGAGGTTGAGCGAGCCAGAGGTCTTGGCGTAGCCCGCGCGCGCGATCGTGGCCGCGTCGCCGATGAGGCCGACACGGTCCTCGACCGAGAAGGACTGCGCCTGCTGGCCGAGCTTGGCGAGACGCTCGGGCGTGTACTTGACGCGGTAGACACCGATCGAGTCGCCGTTCAGCTTGAACGAATCGGAACCCTTGAGATCGTACGTCGTCGAGCGGCCCTCGAGGAACGCCTTGGCGTCCGTCGAGACCTTGCCGTCCGAACCAACGGTCTTGACCTGGAGGGGGACCCACCAGATGGTCTCGTCCTCCTCGGGCTTGACGTCGCCGGTGGACAGGAAGCGGTTCTGGGTGAGCTTGATGGTGCCGTCTCCGGGCTCCTCGACCGAGATCATGGGGAATCCGACCTTGAGGGTCCAGTTGGCCATGACCTTGGAGACGTCCATGCCCGAAGCCTCAGAGATTCCGGCCCAGAGATCGGCGGTAACGGCGTTGGAGTAGAGGTGCTTCTTCAGGTAGAGAGAGACACCCTTGAGGAAAGTCTCCTCTCCAACGACCGACGAGAGCATGCGGAGGACCGAAGCGCCCTTCGAGTAAGAGATAGAGTCGAAGATCTGGTTGATCTGGTTCGCGTCGGGGCAGTCAACCTCGATGGGGTGTGAAGAACGCTGCGAATCGAGGCCCAGAGCGCTGACAAGGTGTCCGCCGACGAATTCCTGCCTAACCTTCCACTCTGGCCAGATCCTGTCGGGAATAACAAGCTCTCCCATTAGCGTGGCAAAGGCCTCGTTTAACCAAAGGTTGTCCCACCACGACATTGTGCTCCGCTGTCAGCGCGTGTTGAAGAGTGTAGAAGTCGTTGGAAGAGGTTGGGTGGATGTCGGGAGCCACCCGGTGAAGTGCCACACTGATTTGCCACTGTCACGTGGGACCTCCACCAGGCCTCCACCGACCTCCAACCAGGCCCCGCTATGCAGCCCCAGCCCTAGACTGTGCTGCGGGATGCATGGCGAGCGGGACGAGGGCCAGCCAAGGCATAGAAAGAGAGAGCGGGGAAGTATTGGTACTTACACGATGTCACCGAACCACATGTGGGCGAGCTCGTGGCACTGAACGGTAGCGACGCGCTTCTTGGCGGAGAGGGAGGACTTCTTCTCGTCGTAAAGGTACGCGGTGGTGCGACCGGTGATGAGACCCCAGTTCTCCATGGCGCCGGCGTCAAAGTCGTGGGCGACGAGAGTGTCGAGCTTGGGCAGGGGGTAGGGGATGTCGAAGACCTCCTCGTAGATGGGGAGAGCCCACTTCTTGATGTCGAGGCCGAACTGGGCCTGGCCGATCTCGTTGGGCGTGGTGTAGATGCGCAGAGGGACAGTCTTGCCGGTGAGCTTGGACTTGAACTCGCTCTCGAGGAACTTGAACTCGCCACAAGCGAAGGCGACAAGGTAGGTCGAGACGAGGGGCGTGGTCTCGAACTTGGTGATCTGCCAGTTGTCCGACTTGGAGGACTCGGTCTTGCCCTCCGTCTTGCCCTCCGTCTTGCCCTTCTCGGTCTCCGATCTCCCTTCTCGGTCTTGCCCTCCGTCTTACCCTCCGTCTTGCCTTCGGTCTTGCCCTCAGTCTTGCCCTCAGTCTTCTGCTTGGGGAGACCCTCAGTCTTTCCCTCCGTCTTTCCCTCCGTCTTGCCCTCAGTCTTCTGCTTGGGGAGACCCTCGGTCTTACCCTCCGTCTTGCCCTCAGTCTTAGACTTGGGAAGACCCTCAGTCTTGCCTTCGGTCTTGCCCTCAGTCTTACCCTCCGTCTTGCCCTTCTCGGTCTTGCCCTCAGTCTTGCCCTTCTCAGTCTTGCCCTCGGTCTTTCCCTCAGTCTTGCCCTCAGTCTTGCCCTCGGTCTTGCCGAGAGCGTAGACGTTGGTGAGGAGGGAGCCGATCTCGTACCCGTCCTTAAGGGGCGACTCGGCGGTGACGTTCGAGGCAGGCTTCCAAGGCTTGGTCGAGACGGCAGGCATGTTGGCGAGGACGGTGTTGCCCTCCTTCGCGATCATGCTGACGGTGAACTTGGACTTGAGGAGGGGCTCGTCCCAGGAGGGGAACGCGCGGCGGGCGGCGGTGGGCTCGAACTGGGTGAGGGCGTAGCTAGGTTCGTCAGCACACTCTTCTGATCCACCTTGGGGGACTCACATGGGCTTCTTGCCGTTGGCGTCGGCGTCGCCCTCGGACTTGTAATAGCCCATCATGTTGTCGCCGAGTTCGGCCTCCCAGCGCACGAAGAGCTTGGCCTTCGAGCCGGCAGTGAGGCCGCCTCCGGGCAGGGAGGAGACGTCGACCTTGCCGCGCTCCTGGTCCTTGTCGATGCTGAACGCCTTGAGGGGGATGCTGAGCGCGGTAGAGGTCTTCTGGTCCAGGTTCTTGATCGCAATGTTGGTGACCTTGAGGTCGGGGTTGATGTTGAAGACGATCTGCTTCACGTCCTCCTTGACGTCGAGGTCGATCATGGCCTCACCCAGGAAGGAGGGGGGAGAGGACTCGAGGTCCGTCTTGAACGCCAGCTCGTAGTGCGTAGGAGCCACAGAGGTAGGCAGGCGGTACTCGTCCCCCTTGGCGGGAGAGGAGGCAGCGCCTCCAGAGACTGCAGTCGACATGCCGTTAACGGAATCGATGCGGCAGCAGAGGCAAAGAGTGCGGCGGAGAGAGGGGACGCGGCGCTGGTGTTGCGGTTGCGAGAGGCGGGATGCGCTGGCACTGATGGAAGGTGTCTTTCGGACAGCTAAGGTGCTCTGTGGGGATGCTGTCAGTGTTCTGGTCTGGTGATGCGCCCTAATGAATGCAGGTGTGGGAAAGTGCCGCAAGCTGCAAGGGGAGCGATCTGGCTAGCGGAGGACTACTTACAAGGTTCGCTCGGACTGGCAGAGGCGACGGACGACGGAGTAAGTGTCGAGATTGCGTTTGCCAGAGCCTAGAGGTAGCGAGCATAAGAGGAGGAGGAGGGAGGAGCGGATCGGATCACGAGGGACGAGAATGGACTGTCGCTATCACGACACTACTCTGCACGCTGACGGTTTGCTAGCCTTTGCGTTTACTGGGCATCAGACACTCAGGGCAGCCGCCTGGCTGCCCGACCGATGATGCATTTGGTCACCGCTCGCACGGCATACTGGGCATTCCGCCGTCACGTGCAGCCCAAGGTTACACATTAAGGCTATGAGGTCAGCTCCGAATATCCAACTCCGGCCCTCATCTGTCCCTGTTTTGCACCAATCAGTAAACAACTGGTGTGCTCTCTGCATGCTCCGACCGCTGCACCCACGCGCTGCCATGCGGTCACTTCTATTTTTCTATTATACACCGGCTCGCACGCCGTATGAGCCGCCACTATGCCACTTTGCCCACGCATCGCAAGCGGCGAGGTGAAACTAGCGCCGCCCAACCCTGCGGGGGCCTAGTCCCAGTCCTCAATGTCGTCGTCCTCGAGCCAGCCCAGTTCCTCGTCCTCGGCACGCTCGGCGGCCTCCTCCGTGTCCCAACCCTGACGTTCAGGAACGTCACCCATGCCATCTTCCCCGGCCATCTGCGCATGGCCCAGGTCAGAAGCATCTGGACCCGAGGTCTCCGTCAGCTCCTCGGACGACGATGCAATCGTCGACGTTACGTAAGGGGGCATCGTCAGTGGGCGGACCGAGATAGGAAGTAGCGGGTCTGTACAATCAGCTACCTAGCACCATCCGCTAACTTGCCACTTACTGTTCGTCAGATGCTGTATTTTCACCGCCATGGGAACCAGCTCTGTTGCGAGAACCGCTCTCGAGGCCATCCCGCCCCAAGACGCCGCTCCGTCGCCCTCATTGCTAGGCCAGTCAGGGTGCGATGCGACGGCTTTCCGAGCCATGTACCCTGCCGCGACGTCCAACAGGGCGCCGTTGTCGCGCTCGGTGCGGTAGCTCTCGAAGAACTGAGGCTTCGTCACCTTGCGATTCGACCCTCTGCATAGAGTCAGTCTCATGTGCAACAGCCTAACTTGCCTTGACACTGGTGACGGTAGCCCCATGAGCGCACCGCGTACATTTAGATGCAGCGCATAGGCGATGGCAACGGGACTCGATTGCCACTGTCGCTGGTCAGCATGCCACGCGCCCCTTAACCCACGATGTCGTCGTCTGTGCGCATCAAGTCCGCTAAACCGAACTCGTCGAGGATAGCACTAAACTCCTCGATCTCCTCGCAGAACTTGGGGATGTTGGAGTGCAGCCAAAGTGCGAATGTTGAGGCGTCGACTGGCACGGTCGGCAGGAACGTCTGTTGTTAGTCATTCCCAGAGATCGTCAACTCACCTCCATCTGTACGAGTGACTTGCTTCGTTGAAACTCTCGCAGATGACGCGGCAGCGGCAGATCTTTCGGTAGCTTTTCAATAGCCGCCACAGCCTCCTTGTCCTCCTTGTCATCGGTTGGATCTCCGAGTCCTTGAAGTCAGCATTCCAGCCGGCTTCATCAACACGCACGCTTGTTGTAGAAGACCTTGCCCAAGGCATGGAACAGGTTTAGTGACTGCTCGCGCAAAGTTATAGCCTCCAGACTGAGGATTAGCGGCAGGGGACAGAGAGCACTCACGCTGTGCGAATCTCGTCGCTGAGGTCTACTTTCGCTCCCTTGCCACCACGACTGCCGCGGCCGGTTGCCTTCGCTCGGGGAGCGTCCGTTTTGCGCTTCTTAGCCATGGCCTTCAGGGATTTCCCCGAAGACAGCATTTGCAGCGAGTTGATGGCACTCCGCAGATCTCCATTGGACTGGGCGATAAGCTGGATCGCCCCGACAGGCGGCCGTAAGGCAGGATCTTGGATTGCCATGGAGAGGACTCGGTTCAATGCCTTCGTGATGAACGTGGGGGCTAGCGGGCGGAAGCTGCGGTCAGTTCTTCTGTCGGAAGAGCTGAGAACTTACTTGATCTCGGCGCTCCACGGCCCGTCAAACACATCACGTCCCACCACGTCCAGAATGCTCTCACTTCCTCCATTCTCTCGGTCCATCCAGCTCGCCTCGGCTCTCCCACCGCTGCCCACATCGCTATGGACGATGATCAGAGGACAGCTACTCGAGTTGTAGCTCTTGCAGAAGCCGAGCAGAGCCTGATGGAAGGCGAGACGAGTCGGAATGTGACTGATGTTGGGCAGCGATGTCATGAGCAAAGCACGAGGGCGGGCCTTCGACGAGCTAGCAACGTCGAGCGATGGATACGCATTACGAGAAAGCCAAGCTGCAACTTTGCCGGTGCCAGTCTCATGTTCTACGGTCAGTCATCTAGAACGCTTGGAAACTCACCAAAACCGCTCCCGAGCCCACGCTCCTCGACACCCTCGCTCCTTTCCGAGAGGTCGATCCCAAGCTCTTTGGCGACTACGCGGACCGTGGTAGTCTTGCCGATACCCGCAGGTCCAGTGACAAGTAGGACACGCTGCTATCAGTTCGCGGAATTTAAACAGTGACTCACCCTGTACTTGCGTAACCGATCGCGCGTTGTCTGCGACACGGGTGCGCCAGACTTCCCGACCGATTCGGGCACGCCATGGACGGCCTCGTACAACCATTCGGCTACCTTGGCAACGCGTTGTTTTCCGGGTGCTAGTTCTGACTTCATCGTGTTAGCAACTCAGCAGGCTAGTCCTGTAACATACCACCTGCGTGGGGGCGTAAGCATCCGTCCAGAGACCGCCGGTCGTCGTGGCGGTGTCGGTCGAAAGAGCTAGCTGTCAGTCATCATCGGCTTAAGGAACATACATGACGAACCCCGCTTCTTTCTAGGGGCCTTCTCTTCCTCGCTCACTTCGTCGTCGCTGTCTATGATTTCGATCGAATCGTCGATGTCATCTCCTGCTTTCTCCTTCCCCTTCTTTGAGCCTGAAGCCGATCGGGTCCGAGTTCGAGACGGGACCGGAGGCGGGGGCATGAGCTTGCTGTCATCGTCACTGTCCTTAACAAGCTTGGTTTCTGATGACTTGGCCTGAGTGCTCGCACTCGAAGAGGAATTCGTTCTCGCTGGGGCCTTCCCAAAGTTCAGTGTAGGTTGAAACTGGTACAGTCAGCTGATGTACTTGAGCAATAGTAGGTCTTGCTACACTCACTGAGCTAAGAGAACTGAGCTTCCTCTTAGCAGGAGATCCCTTTCCCCTCTTGGCCGGGGGCATGGGTTTATCTCTGTCTGCCTCGAGCAGCTTTCAGGCTCCGAGAGGATGAGGAGAGTGCGGTTGCGGAACAACAACATCTCAGGAACTGCTATCTCAGCCAGAATGCGGGGTAACCGGTCGAGCGGGACTTTTTCCCCGCACACGCACCAGACGCGTCATGTGGACGCTTTCCACGAATCTTGCGACTCTGGATCTCCACCGACCTCTATCCCACGAAAGAAGACAGGCCCGCAAGATGGTAAGCTGCGTTGGCATTCGATAAACCTAACGTCCAGTCGGCTCTCTTCAACTTCCAGTCGCTCCTGTTCCTGGTGATCCTCTTCATCTGCACGTGCACCTACATCCGAGCCCTCGCTCCAAGCCTTGTCGACCGCAACCGTGAAGGGTGAGTTAAGGACACATCGCCTGCGCTGACTCAACAGATTCCTCGGCCTCTTCTTCAAGAGTGCGCGGATAGGCGAGCGTCTCTCTCCTTACGTTTCCCTCGCCTGCATAATCATGGCGGTAACGATGTGAGGGCACTAGTTGCCCCACCATATGACCCTCCGACTCCCTCGCCTTGTATCTCCTATGTTATAGATTGGATTGATTGGATTACTGACCGTCACCGAACATCTATCGGCCGATTCTGACTAACAGGGTTGGCGTTCACTTGGACTGATCACAGGATACATTTTCATTTATCGTGAAGAACTTTGAGTTGCAAGCAACGCTGAGAGCACCAAACTCTTGGCCAATCTGACACCTGGGGTTCACCCACGCCTGCTTCCCCTCCATCTGTTATTTTTCCTCTTTCTTTTCTTGCCCTTCCTCCCGCTGGACTTTGGCTGCCCTTCAGGCATAGATCGGAACTCAACTCCGTCTTCCCTTTCAAGAAGCGCCACAGCTGTAACCGGGTCACACCAGTCCTCGGGCCAGCTAATACTTTCGTCGTAACGCAGGCTGCTAGCCCAATAGCCCGTAGCTGCAGGCCAGTTCTTGACTATGCTTCGGAGCTCGAGGTTCCGGATCTCATTACTGAATACTCGCCGCCAGACATCGGACACAACGTCGTCATCGCCATAGTCATCAGCCCAGACACCGCTGGGCATCGGCCACTCTTGGATTGGCTCGTGGAGGGCAGCATCAGCTTCAGCTGGGCTCTCATCTCCACGAGCAGTTCCGGAAGTAACGTTCTCCTCATCTATGCGGCCCAACGGGGTTGGACGCGAGACCAGCAGCTTGGGCACAGGGCTCTTCTGGATCCTTTCCGGGGCATCTCCGAATGGGACCTTGTCATGGGTCGCGATCAGTGAACCTTGGACGTCGCGCGAGGGCACATTGGACTGGGAGCGAAAGGGTGGCCGCCAGGCTGAACTGCTTCCGTTAGGCGCCAGGCAGTGCTCCTTATCGACCTGGGCGGGTTGACTAGTTTCTTGCTGGCTCCTGCGTGAGGGTGTACTCTTGAGACTAGGCAAGACGACGTCCCGCCACATCTGATTGTTAGCGCGCCGCTGTAAAGTGACTGCACTCACAAGCTTGTCAATGGGAGTCACAGGCGGGGATATCGTGGGGAGCGACTGCCTTTGGCTGGCCAGCGAGTGGCAGCAGTTTGGAGGAGCCGGTTTGGCGAAGTCGGGGATCGGGACCGGAACGAGGATCAGGGAACAGCTCATGGTGGAATGGTTGAAAGTCTCGATGACATGCAAAGTACGGGAGGTGCTGGTTTAAGAACATTTTGCGTCGCGATCTCATGTGGCGTTGACAGCACGCGGCGATGCCGGTCACAATGTTTGCACCTGATGCACAGTGACCGACATCCGCAAGTGTTTTTAGTGATGCCCACAAAAGGGGCTCGAAGGCACACTGTCGTGACGGGGTAGTGCTCAGATGTCGATGAACGGTCGCTGTACAGTTACAATGACATGGAAAGGCATTGTTCGACTCCGCCACGATGTATTCTCCACAGACTTACACGACCACAAACAAGCGATAGTACATCACAATGGGTATTGCTGTGCAGGTGATCGTTCCTCGGACTCTTTCATCGTGCCACTGATAATATTCAAGAGCGTCGCCCCGATCGCCCCGGGTACCGTGCCATCTCATCGCTGCGGACCTTCAACAAAGGTTGCCGCCACAGACCGCTCCGTCCCATGGCTTCGGGTATCCCTCAACACTCAATGTAGACTAAGTTCTCCTGCACATTAGGTTAAACATCTCCTCTTGCCCAACGTGATCCTCGAGACGGCCATCGCAGGCATCGCAGGCCGGCGGCGCGCTGGCGGGTCGGCCGAACTCCGAACCCGATGTCATGGCCTCTTCGCTAGTATATCGGTTAGTATAATCGCCTCTCAGAACGAGAGATGCCCCTCAGGTGTTCGCGATAGAGCAGGGTTCGACTCCCTGGCGGAGAACAAGGCTGCATCGCAAGGTGCACAGGCTTTTCTTGAGCGGAGGAGCTTCTTTTGTCTTTTGTGAGAGGTTGGGCAGGGTGAAGATCGGACAGCGCGCCACCAATGTGTAGCCTCATCCTTATCGCTTACTTGCCGTCACTTCTTTCGTCCTCCATGCGGCGTACATACATCAAAGCTAGAGCATAACCTCGTATTACTGCAGATCACACAGCATGAACAGTGACAATGCATGCATAACTGGTGCTGCTCGTTATCTTCAGCGGCTCATTTCCTGATTGCTTTTCGCACTTTAATCCCATGGCCACGAGATGATCTGCCTCCGCACTAGCACCTCCACCCGCTCAAGATGTGCGGCGACTGACGGTTGTATCAACATTCACCCCTTGACCCAGTCGGTCATCTCCACAACGACCCAAAGATGGTGGATCGCAAGGCCTCCACGTCTGGAGCATTCGACCGCTCTTCCGATGTGGCCAAGCTGTCAACCGCTTTGGAATCTTGGGAGTCTGGAGGGCGCGACACCATGTGAGTAGGATGGCCGCGCGCGCTCCGATCTCGTAACATTACTGACAACCCAGTGCCGGTGTCTTGCTCGAGCAGACCAAGGCAGCTACGGCTGAACCTCTGAAACAGTTGAACTTGTTTAACAGCGTCATTACGTTGTTGAGATCGGCACTCTCGGCGGATGTGCTCGTAGCGCTCTTCAACGACGTCTTCACAAGCATCAACGAGAACAGCGCGTCGGAGGCGGAAGCGCTGGGATCGGCTGTCATCGACGCCATAGACGAGGTCATTCTAACGGAGAGTGACAGCAAGGATCGCCAACCCGAGGAGTTCGACTCGGCCATTCTCGATCGCGCCAACATTCTAGTCAAGGAGCTCGCCGTAAGTTCGGCACACTCGACATCCAGCTAATTCAAAGGCGTCCAAGACGGTTCCACAGCATGTCGTAAATCTTGTCTCATCTGTCGAGAACCTGTCGCCGCTGGGACTGCATCCGACGCCTCGAGACGCTCAGCAGCTGCACCGCGGATACATCAAGCTGCAGACCTCGACTTACTTCAAGCAGCGAACATCGAATTTGCTTCGCGAGGCATCAGAGGGCTTCTCACATCTCATTGTTCTATTGACTGGGCCGCTAGTCTTCTCGAAAACCGCAAAGAGCTCCGACGAAGAGGTTCGGCAACACGCGGAAGATGTCTGGACGCGCATCCAGCTCATCATCGGAACCTTCGGTCTCGCCCCCGTTCGCGTCCTCGATCTCATCATCGAGATCGCCAGCTGTCACGTCCCGACGACTTGGCGCTTTTTCCGACACCTCATCGGGCACTTCGCTCAGAATGGCCCGCGACCGCTTCCGCATTACGACACTGAAGAGGAACGGATAACTCACGCCTTGGACGTTCTGCCTGATGACGACAGTACTATTGCAAAGACGCTGGGATTCCGATACCTTTTCTACCAAAACACCGACAACGGCCAGACACCAACAGGACTATTGGTCCTTACCGCCCTACTGATCAAGGAGGGTCTGGTCAAGCCTGGCCACCTTCTGCAGAAGCTCAGCCCAGACGAGAACGGCATGGAGGACATTCTCTCTCGATACAAAAATGCCATGAACACCCGTTCGGGGCCGAGTAACGCCCTCGCAAACTCCGTGCTCGTTGACGACGATGCCCCGGAAGGAGGCGAGGCCGCGGCAGAGGAGGAGGTGGAGCCCGAGAAGCCGAAAGCTGAGCAAAAGATCCAGCTGCTTCGCGCGCTTCTCGCCATAGGAGAGTCTAACATGTCTCTCTACCTTCTGGCGAAGTACCCGTGGACAGTTGTCGCCAACCCCGCCCTCGGCCAGCTCATCATTCGCAACATCGACTACTCCCTCACACCGCTCTACCGAAGAATCGTCCGTGGTCCCGGTTACTCGGAGGTGGAGGGCCACACGCCGGAGGAAGTGGTCCAAACGCTGTACACTCCGGTACCACCATCGACGATCAACAAAGAGTTTGAGTTCTTCTACCCGACCTGGATGGATGAACTGGAGCAGTGGTCGGAAATCGACGACATCCACGTTCGGGGAGAGCGGTGGCTTATCCTACTTCAAGGCCTGGGTGGACGCAACTCGTCACTGATGATTAAGATCATTCGCCTGATGAAGCATCAACTCAGTGAACAGCTCATGGAGAAGGTGAAGAATGCGGTGATGGAGGGCAGCTCGGACAAGGAGGTAAAGGGGTTCAAGTTGAGCCTAACGGACATCAAGCCCTGGACTGGCATTCTCAGGAAGGTCATCCTTCCCGCCCTGTCCGTGGCCGATGCCGCGAGTGGTGCCTTCGACGCGGAGCTTTATGAGCTTTTCGAACTCCTTGATTGGGACCTGCTCTGCAGTCTCTTCGGAGAGTGGCGCGACTCGACTACCAACGCACGTGATCGCAACAACCTTCCGCTGGCCGTTCACGCAGCCGCTCAAGCCCAGCGAGAAGTGAAGGGTGCAATGCGACGAATCACTGCCGCTGCTGCAAACCCGTCTGGCCCTCCAGTCCCCGCTTCTCAGGCAGCTGAGCGTGGTCCCGCCCGCGCGCTGGCCGGCATCGCTCACTCCAATCCTCTGGTTTTCTGGACGACAGCAAACAGCCAGACCATGTCGTACGGGTCGGTGGGCAATATCGGAGAGCACATGGTCGAGGTTGGTCGCTACACGAACATGCTCTCGAAAGACATCGCCGTGTTCAGTTGGGTCGACACTTTGGGTAACGTCTCCCAACTGTCTGGAAAGTCTGTCGACTATCTTGCGACGTTTGTTGGACTTGTGAATCGCCGCTACGCATTCCCGCTCGACCCTATTCTCAAGATGATCGCAACGCAGTTGAAGTTCACCGATATGGCGGCGTTCACTGTTTTGGAGAAGCTCATGAACGGTATGACTGGCGAGGACACTGTCGAGGAGTTTGCCATCTCCAACGAGCAGCTCGAGTCTTACGCTGCTGGACCGGAGATGGTGCGCGAGGCGTTCTTCGCCACGGAGAATACCCGCGGTTCGCGAAAGCCCCTCCGTTCAGCCGAGCTTCTGGATCAGGTGAAAAAGAGCGGCCCTCGCTTTGTTGAGGCGCTACGCTCCACTGGTCTGGCGGTGCCCATCCTCGTTGGCCTGGCCTACACTGCCGCCGAGGCGCCGTTCCTCGACCCGGATGCGCCTCTTCTGACCATCCAAGGTCAGCGCGACTACACCCGCAACATCTTCATCCGGTTCTGCATGTATGTGGCGGAGGTCCTCACTCCGCAGGAGCGTATCAACCTCATTCCGACGTTCACCGAGCTGTCAGAGGAGATTGGAATCGAGCCTCAGATGGCCTGGATGATTTTGCGACCGAAGCTGGCGGCTCAGGAGGACGCTCCGTCTGGAGAAGCCATGGACGTGGACAGCCAGTCAGAGTGGTGGCCCTCTCACCTGACAGGCACCATTCGCGAGCTTGAGGTTCTTCCTGAGTACCGACCCGTCAAGGATGTGTTGGGAATGTGAGTACCAGACGCTAGCTGAAGCTGACAATAGTCCTTTCATCGTTCGCTATAACAGTTTAGCCGTCAATGACATCGCCTGTGCAACCAACCAGTACGACCAGGCCAGTGCTAGAATCGCCAAGCTTCTCCGAGAAGTGTCCAAGACGTCGAGTGAGGGCAAGCGACTTCGTGCGCGCGATGACGTGCTGCGGAAGGAGAAGGCGACAATGGAGAAGCACGTCGAGGAGGTGCGCGGACGCCTGCAGGAGGAGTGTCGCAACTGGTTCAACTCCGACGTGGACCAGCAGCGCGAAGGTCTGATTGCTCGCCAGCTGCACGACCATTGCTTCTACAACCGCGCTGTCAACTCCCCTGCCGACGCTATGTTTGTGGCTCGCTTCATCCGCATGGCGCACGACTTTGGTACTCCTGGATTCTCTGCCGCTCTGGCCTATTCGCACTTCTTCTCGACTGGCTTATCGACGCGAATCTACACCTGCACTGAGAACGAGGCGCGCAATCTTGGTCGCTGCTTATATCTGATGCTTGTCGATCTTGACGCTTGGTACCTCAGCGAGAGCAAGTACAATCTGGAGGCGCTCGGCACCGCCGATGGCTCTGAGGCTACGCTTCCCGGCATGCAGTACCGCACCAAAAACGCGGACACGAAGAAGACGATGGACTACGACAGCTTCAAGAACTTCTACGCGAAGCTGCACAACAGCCTGTCGACCAGCTTGAAGGCTTGCTTGGTTTCCAACACCGAGTTCAGCCCGAAGAACGCCATCGTTATCGCGCTTCAGCTTCTGCCATTCTTCCCCATCATGGACACCAACGCTCGGAGTATCGAGGACTCGGTTCGCAAGCTGGTGGAGGGCAAGCTGGAGAATAAGATCGGCCCCGAGCAGGTCCCCGCATTCAAGTCGTACCTCAACCAGCTTAAGACTCGCCAGACTCAACGCCCTTGTGTCTCGTACGCGGACTTCCACCCTAACGGCGCCAAGCAGTTCGCTGTCAACCAGAAGCGCCTCGCTGCCAAGCAGGCTGAGGAGAAAGCCGCTGCCGAGGCGGCCGCTGCAGCCAAGGCAGCCGAGGAGAAGGAGGAAGCGGCCAAGGCTGAATCTGAGAAAGATCAGGCTGCTACCGCTCCCGCCGATACTCAGTCTTCTGCTCAGAACGACGCCAAGGCACTGCGTGAGAAACTCGAGCGGACACGTAGTGCCCGTGCTGCCGCAGCTGAGTCGAAGGCTGAGGACAGCCCCAAGGCTACGCCAGGCGACGAGCGCCGTGACGACGGCCGGAACGGCAGAGACGCTAAAGATATCAAGGAGCCAGAGAAGAGCACGATGCCGCCTCCGGAGAAACCTGAAAAGCCGATGGACGAGAAGTCAATTGAGGATGAGCGCAAGCGATCTCGAGCCCGCAGGTTCGGTGGTCTTGTCGACCAACCTCCGTCGTCGCCCATGGATCGCCCTGGATCGCGAGGATCAACCCCCGTACCGCCCCGTCCTCAGCGTAGCGGAACGGAAGACAGCAGGACGAGCGATCGCAGCCGACGACGAGAAGACGAGAGGGAGCGAGGCGACCGTGCCAGTGACCGCGACAGGCGCCGCGATGGCCGCGACACCCGTGACGAGCGAGATGAGCGCGACGATCGACGTGGCGAGCGCGGTCATCGCCGAGAGCGTGGTGAGCGTAGTGAACGCAGTGATCGCAGCGATCGCAGCGACCGTGGTGATAGGAGCGACCGCGGTGAAAGAAGCGATCGCGGCGAACGAAGTGAGCGAAGCGAGCGTGGAGAGCGACGAGGGGAGAAGAGGGAGCGGCGAGAGGAGCACGAGCGTCCTCCCCGTCGTGAGGAGCCTCGCGAAGAGCGCCGCGACGAGAGTAGTCGCCGGTCTCGACGCAATTCTCCTGCGCGCGAACAACGCGATGGGCGCGACAGCCTCCCGGCCAAACCCGTCACACGCAGCCCTCGTCGCCATGAGCGGAGAGAAGAGCCAACTCGTGACCCGCGTGACCATCGCGACCGTGAGCCTGCGAGGCACGAGCGCGACCCGCAGCGCAACGAGAAGGCCTCGACACCCCGTGGCGAGCGGCCACCAAACACCCCGCGCGGAGAGGGTCGTCCGGGTGATGGGCAGACGCCTCGTCAGTCGGAGCGCGACACACCGCGCCAGGCCGAACCCGCTCGCCCATCTGAGCGTGACGTTCGCCCGACACCAGACCGTCCCGAGCGCGAAGCGCCGCGTGAACTGCGCATTAACCCCCGCGCCCGCGACACCAGCAATGCCGGCGGCTCGCTAGCTGCGCGCATGGGTCTGGTTGCCGAGAACGGCTCGGCTCCGGGTAGCCCGAATAGGAAGCGGGCATTCGACGATGACGGCAAGGACTCACCAGACCCGAAGCGGAAGCGCAACGAGGGCGGCGACGGGCGCGACCGCGAGAGGAGGAGAGAGGAGAGGAGGGAGCCGCGTGATCGCGGAGGCGGCGGCCGCCGGAGAAGGGGAGAGGGAGCCAACCGCGCCCTGCTGGATAACGCTATGAAGGCTGCCTCAGGAGGCAACGATACCAGGCATTAGACTATGCATACCTGTTACTCTGCCGTACATGCCGCGTGAGGTCATCATGATGTTTGCTGATGCTGTCAGTCATGCGGCTGGTCGGAAGACAGCCAAGCGTAGACCTGCGCTCGCAAATGCAACTAGTTAGTCACGACAGCAACGATTGCAGCTAGAGAGTTTGCAGAAAGTCTGGGATACATGGCGTAAAGCTACGTGATACAAATCAATGGGATGAGTGGTTACAACCTGTCGCGTCAGCTGAAGCCGTCTGTGAGAAAGCTGGACTGGAAGTGTTGCCCTCAGTTGGCCGTTCTTAATGTACAGTCTATTCTTCAAGCCCTAGGGCAGATCAAGAATTAGCATGGAAATGTAAATCATCAACGGGCAGACGTTGACTTCCAGTCCAAGCGATGTTCGAGAAACACTTACGAGATAAGTCTATGACATGCGGGTGCCCGTCCACTGTAGACAAACTGCAATCCGCCATTCCACTTAGCGTAACCGCTGCCCACGCATTCCAAGCTCAGAAGACGGAGAGATACGCGAAGCAGCGGTCGAAAAGGTGGAATAAAAGAACACAAGTCTGCCTGTTTCGTTAGCTAACGCTCACAGAAGAGGTATGCTGAAGTTTCCCGGCTCAGTGGGCACGAAAAAGGGTATGTGCGTGTCGAGTCGTCATTGCTGTACAGCACATCCGACTGGGGCGACAAAGAGCTCATCATCGCCGGCATAACTCGCGAATTACTCACTCTGGTGGGATGGGTGATGGAGAAGTACAGTCGCGGCGAAATCTTATATCTGCCACTGCCGGCGCTGGTGCGAGCGCGTGCAGCCTTCGCACCCAAAGCAGGTTCGAACTTTTAGAGTGGAGGTGAATTTTGTACACCTATTTTCGTCATTTATCCGAGCCATAGGTTTGGTCACGTGTCGCAGCTGGGTCACCTGCACAGAGCCCAGCAACGAGAAACAGATACATGACGAACGAGGGACGGGGTACAAATGGAGGCTTTGAATGTGTGCAGGAAGATGTAGAGATGCGCAACAGCTACGGCCCAGCGCGCTCTGTCTCCTCAAGCTGACGTTAGCGCCACTCCAAGCCTAGCACTCACAATGTCCAGCACCTCGTTCAGCTCCTCGAACACGCAATATTGCTTCGCCAGTTGCTCGAGTTCCTCGATGCGGTCGAGCAGGCCCTCAGCCGCGACTTGTCGCACGTCCTCGGCATTAAAGCACCTCGCAACGGCGATCATACAGTCCATCTGCCCATAGATGTTGTTCATGACGACACGCCCGACCTCCGAGTTGTGGAGGCAGATGCTCTTGAGGATCTTGCGCATCGTCTCGAGCGCGCTACGCTTAGTCGCGAGCGGCGAGTGCGCATGTGTCTGCGTCGACATCGTCTTGAACATGTCCTCGATGTCATGCGCAACCTCGTAGCCGGCCTCGTACTGCTTTGAGCCCGACTTCCGGTCGTGCTTCTTGTTTATCGCATACCACGCCGACTTGGAGTAGTGGTCAAAGTCGTGCACGCGAGCACGCTCGGCCGCTTCCTTCTTCTCCACCAAGGTCTTCACGGCACTGGCGACGCTTTCAGTCGTTGGGGCAAGATCCAGAAGGATACCCTCCAGCTCGTCGCGGGACAGCTTCCTGATCTGAGCGTGCAGTTCTGTCTGCGTCAGGGCAGACGGGACCTGCCCAAGCTCGCCGTCATCGACACGCGCGCGCTTGAGGGGGTTTGAAACGGAGACAGGCGAACCAGACGGCATGTTCAGTAAATAGACTGGGTGGAGAGCTGTCAACAACCACTGACCGCCCTTTGTCATGTCTTTGGACGCGTCGCGCTGAGAGCGGGATCCCGCACTCGCTGATACAAGGTCAGGCGCGTCGAAGGGCGAGTCACGTGCACGCGCTCTTGAGCCTGCCCCTTCTTTGCGGTGCTTGATGCACGCTATGAGTCAGAGTGAGTAATTGCCAGCTTATGGGGTGGTCGGGGGCAATTGGGAGTGCATGGGCAGATGCATAGATTGCCTGTAGAGAGGGATTTTTAAGACAAGTATTGGTGGTCGATGCCCACACTTGCCGGGCAGAGACGCGTCCCTGATCTGTCGACATGTCCGCAGGCCCGTCGAGCTCAAGGAGACTCCCTAAATACAACGCGCCGTTGGCCTGTAACGCAGCGGCCACCTCTGAGGCACCTCCGTTCCGTATCGAGCAGGGGTGACATGTCGCATGGATAGCCTCCGCCACGAAATTCGCCTCTGCGCTGAACATCGTGACTTCTAAGCTTGGCAAACTCAAGGCTGTGCATTCGGATGATCAGAAGTCTATCCCATGCCCCAAGTTCGAAGAGCTGGCAATGGACCGGTCAACGCTGAGGACATCCATGTGGTGTTTCCCGGAACCACACGCCCCTACCTGTGCTCAAACCTGCTCCGCTCCTCAGCGTCGAGACCGCCCAGCTCAGATTCTATCGGAATCGTTCAAGCTTGACGGAATGGACTCTGGGTCGTATTAAGTTCAGCGTTGCGAGTGCGACGTGTTTGTCGATCTCGATCTGGGGTCTGGACCGGGTGCGCACTGCCTTGATGCGTGCTTTCCCAGCATTCCCAGGTTGTGCATGCGTATCCAGAACAAGCATGTGCCAGACAAGACCGCGTCGTCAGTCGCCTCGTGGGATGGGATCGACAGCGCCGACAATGCACAGACAGGTCCCCTTTCCTGGGGGCTCGACTCCGTGCGTGTCCGATTGCAGCTGCCGTAACGGCGCATTGTCACCCGGGTCTGCATTCTACTTCTGGTAGCCAATTTGGAACAATCCGCGAACGACAACAGCTCATGCGACTGGCTCCTGCTCGTCACGATGCCATAAGACCCACCGCCCGGCGAGACTTGCCCGCTGGAGGACGCGACGCGTCTGGAATCCGTCCTTGGTCCGAAGTTTATCGCGCCCGACGCATTGAACGGGCACCTCGGCCCATCCCCTGTTGTCACACCCGGCCGTTATCCTGGAAATCCCAGAAACGGCCGAAAGCCCTGGCATCCTGCTGCCTCTGCCCCTGCACATTGTGCATTCATTCATGAGCCGAGCTATTCTTGCGGATCACTGTATCGGGTCCCGCCAGCTTACCCTTCCTCTGCCTTCAGGTCCGTTCCTTGCGAGCTGGAACCGCGACGAGGAAGGATTGGAGGTTGGGAGCAGGACGAAGGGGGCGAGCGCCTTGGCGGCTTGTGCCTGAGGCCATGGCAAGAACAAGCGCTCACCCGACAGACCGCCACTGTCGTAACTGAGCCGTAACTGGATGCGCTGGGTGAGCAGAGTGTCCGTTTCAGTGCTTGGTATGGCACCCTCCCTAAGCAGGCTGCCTCATGCCCTGCGTGTAGGGAGTGGCCCTCTGTGCGTCCTTCGCCATCCCGGTGCTCGAGCCAGCAGCTTTGTTGCTGTTTTGTTATAAGGCTGATGAACAACACTGTACTGTTCCCTTCGTCTCCTCCGCCTCCTCTTTCTCACCCCTATCTTTCTTCACTTCTGCGTGTGGTCTGGTACCTGCGCTCCCTCTTGTAGTACACTGTACAGTGTCGTATTCACTCTTTTGTAAAGCACATTCTCTAGATTTCTAACAATGGCTCCCAAGCTTCTCAGCCTGGTCGCCGCAATTGGCCTTGCGACGCCCGCGCTTGGCCACATGGCCCTTTGGCACCCTGCCGTGTTCGGGTGAGTCTGCCTCACTCTTGCAGAGACTAACAGCTCAGTTTCGAGGGCAAGAACGGACCCCACGGCGACAACTGGGACGCGCAGGACCTCGCCAACCCCCTCTTCCAGAGGAAGAAGGATGGTCCCGGCGGCTGGTGGTTTCACGGCAAGGTCGACGAGCCTCCCGTTGACGGCGAGTTTGTCGAGCTCGTCGCCGGCGGTCACCTGAACGCCGAGCTCAGCTGCAACCGTCATTTCACGACTTGGGGCAACACGCTCGGCAACTACGGAGACGAGAAGCGCGCGTGCGGCGCCCACGGCATGCGACACTGCGAGGACGGCGATAACGCTTCTGAGCTCAAGGACGTCAAGGGCTGCGCGATCGCGATCGGGTACGAGAGCGACCCCCGCAAGCTCGACCCTTCCAAGATGGTCGTCATCTCCGTCGACTATCAGTGCCCTTGGTTCAAGGCTGCGCGCTTCGAGATTCCCGCTGGCCTGCCGCCCTGTCCCCCCGAGGGTTGCCTCTGCACGTGGAACTGGATCCACAGCGCCTTCGGCGGTCAGGCGGAGATGATGCAAACCGGCACTTCGCAAACCAGGAGCTGTACGTAGGTGCAAGTGAAACAGCTGCGTCCATGTCTATAGATATACTACGTAGCCCTCCTTTGTCTCATGGTCTAGCGCAGTGGGGACCCCCGCCTCCCCCGGGTTGTCTACAAACCGCGACAAACCTCAGACGATCTGCGGGGTTTACCCAGACGTCTTATAGGCCAGTTCTCATGGGTACAACGTGCAGAAAAGTCCTCTCCCCGGATGCCCCGCAGATGGCCCCACTATAACCCGAACTTCGAGGCTAAACCAAGTTGCGGGGCCTTGCCAAGACATCGCGGCCCCAGGCACGCCCACCCTGACGACCAAAAGAGGAGACGATGGCCCATCGCACCCTTGGCTCCTACGTACCAGGACTTCATCGACCCGCCGTACTACAACTGGGAGTACGGGTTCAAGAATGGTGCCCAGGACGACATCTTCACGGTCGAGGCTGACACCTACACCAACACCGAGTGGGCGCCCATCGCCTGGAACACGAAGGACCACCCCGTGCCCCAGGTCACGCCAGCGACTAAGGCCAACGTGCCCCCCGTTCAGCCCACACTGAAGATCACCCCGGCGCCGTTCGACTTCGGTCCCGGCACTAGCGCGCCGCCCAACGGCCCTGCCACCCGTGCATGGACCGGGGCACCCGCCCAGCCCACCGCCGAGGCGGCCGCTACTCAAACAGCTTCGCCCTCTGCTCAAACTGCGTCAGGCGCGCCCGCGTCCAGCGCCGAGGCGACTGGTTCGACCCCAACTGCCGCTCCCACTGCCTCCCAGTCGACCACTGAGGGCTCCACCGGCGGCGAGTTCTGGATCGGAGGTGACGACCAGGACGGCAATGAGCAGAACGCTGCCGTGGCCGGGTCGTCCGCGTCCTCTGCCGGCGCTGAGTCTGGCTCTGCCTCGTCAGCCTCTGCCGCTTCCTCCGCCGCTCAGTCAGGTTCCGTCTCGTCAGTCGCTTCGTCTGCCGGCGTGCAGTCGGGTTTCACCTCGTCGGCTCCTGCTTCTTCCGCCGCGCAGTCTGGCTCCGCTACGTCTTCTTCCGCGTCCGCCTCGAGTGCCATCGAGTCATCCGCCCTAGGTGAGGCTACCACCTCTGGAGCTCCCGCGCCGACCTCGGCACCGCAGACCCCGACCGAGAAGCACAAGACACACGGCAAGAAGCCGAAGAAGTGCAAGCCCAAGTCGAAGCGCTCCAAGCTCGAGCACGCGCGCCGCTCGCGTCGCCGCTTCCACTAAACACAACCCCATACGAAAGGTGCTGGCACCTTCGCTGTTCATAATGAATGTCCATAATGCTGTAACTCTGTGCTAGCACACGGATGTATGGTCAATAATGCTGGTTAGTCATGGGCTAGTGTACACGTAGATGCATACAACTCTCATGTGCGAGAGGGGAAAAGGGGCGATGAGGAACCGGATCGCGGCATGCGAGTCGGGAAGAGCGGAGACACTGATCGATCGGAGCCAGCATCGGCAGCCCCCTCTGACGGGCTGGACGGCTCGCGCTCACCGTCCGCCGCTCGCGACGGGAAGAGGGGGGAAGCTGAGCGCTCGCGCTCCTCCCGTCGTGATGGGAACAAGGGCGACGCTGATCGCTCCCTGTCCGCTCTAGAAGGGAAGAGAGGCGACGCCAACCGATCGCGATTCGGGAAGAGGGGCGACGCCGACCCATCGCGAGCAGGGAACATGGGCGATGACGCGCGGCTTCCAGCATCGTATTCGCTCTCGCTCTCCTCCGTCGCATACAGGTCCTCGGCACTCGGCTGCACCCGTCCATACACAGGCGACGACTCCTCTCCTCTCCGCCAGTGTCCGAGCAGAACGCGACCCTCGTCATCCTCCTCCTCCTCATCGGCGGACTCAAACTCCCATCCGTCCTCCCGCTCCACGTCGAGCTCGGGGAAGACCTCGTGCGCGGCCCCCCAGCGTTCCGGATCGATCACGCGGCGGGGCATACGCTTCATCGGTCGCCGAGCGACCTTCTCCTTCGTCTCGGCGCTCAGCGCCGGCGGCAGCGGGTGCGACGGACGCATAGAGATCGGCCGGACGAGGTGGCCATTCTCGATCTTCCAGAACTTGCCCCGCGGCTCGGTCACCAGCCGCATGTCCTGCGCGTGCTTGCCGCCCGTCTGTACGATGGCGCGGCGCAGACGCTTACGCGCCCGCTTCGCCTCATCTCCCTTTGACGACGACGCCGAGCCCGACGCATACTTGACATCCCATCGCGGCTTCGCCTCAGCGAGACGCAGCTGTGCGCCACGCCAGTGCGCACCCGACATGATGTTCAGGCCTGATGTTAGCTCCGTGAAACCTAAGGAAGCTCGCCCCTTCCAAAATTGCCACTCACATTTTCGCAGCTGGGCAGGCGTAGTCTCGATGTTGAGATAGACGAAGGCGCGGGGCTCTCCAAACGCATTGGGCCCGGGGACCTCGAGGTCGAGTACTGTTCCGAAAGACTTGAAGCGGTCACGCAGGTGGTCCTGCGTGATCTGTGGCGTGAGGCCCGAGATATGCAGTCGCTTGACGACTGTCGGTTCGTTCATGGGAGGCGATTGTTGTGTTGTGGAGTGTGCAGTCTTCGTTCAGCCGGGTCACGAGATGTCGCAGCGAAGGAATGACGGCTAAGCGCTTGCAAAGTCTATTCTGAGCGACCGGGGAGCGGATCTACTTGATGCTATTCGGGCAAGCGATGTTCGGGTGAGAGGTTATGGCCGCCGAGTGGGAGAAAGTGGGGGTGGAGGAAGGAACAGATGCAGGTGACCCGATCCACGATCGAATTCGGCGATGCAAGCTACAGACCGTTGTCAGGCCTGGAACCAAGGCATCGACGGTCATGGGATCTTGAAATTGTAGTCTCACGTGACATGCCGAACGCTTGCCGAATCGCTGCCGTTGTGACCGGTGCCGGTGCCTGATCGCGTGGCGCCGAAACGCGGTGGCGAGCTGCCCCGGCGGAGGGCTGGCTCCGATCACTCCACCGAGGCATGCAAGCCTCTTGTCTGACGTGAGGGTCAACAAGTGAACCGTCGTTCCTCCGCATGGTCAATTAAGTGAGTACCGCTGCCGTGCACACGACACATAGAGACCGAATCCACGTCTGGTTGACCCAGAAACTTTGGCCTGCGTCTGCTCGGTCGTGTGGACGTTCTGGAATACATTCAGCCCGGCTTTAAAGTGTGCGCTAGCGAGTAACTCGGGTCGTTTGGATGCCGGGATGATCGCGAGACAAGTGTGGGGGATGGACTTTCTGGCGCCGGCGAAGGAGTATGACGCCAGGACAGGCCCCGTAGTTTGCTCCGCCCCGTGTCCTTTGGGAATCTCGGTGTACGTTGTCTGAGTGAGGGCTGGAGGATCCTGGAAGGTGTTGATGGTCTAGCGCAGTGGGGACCCCCGCCTCCCCCGGGTTGTCTACAAACCGCGACAAACCTCAGACGATCTGCGGGGTTTACCCAGACGTCTTATAGGCCAGTTCTCATGGGTACAACGTGCAGAAAAGTCCTCTCCCCGGATGCCCCGCAGATGGCCCCACTATAACCCGAACTTCGAGGCTAAACCAAGTTGCGGGGCCTTGCCAAGACATCGCGGCCCCAGGCACGCCCACCCTGACGACCAAAAGAGGAGACGATGGCCCATCGCACCCTTGGCTCCTACCCTGTCGCTCAAGCCTCCTCCACCCACCACTGCGGCCAGGTGAGTCTCGATCTCTGGTCAAGTGGGCACGTCGACTTGGTCACAGGGGCATTATCGTCTCAACATGTGAGAGGCCCCTGGCCATCCGCCAATCGGATAAAGCAATCTAGGCCTGAGGTACAGACGAAGGTGGGGCCAAACGTGTCTCCAGCTCGCCAGACACAGCCAGATAATGGACGGAAGTCGGAATCCCAATCCCGCCCCGGCCATTGGTTGTACCCCGCGCAGTCGATCTCTGCGCATCGCAAGCTGTGGAGGCGATTGTCTTTGAGACAGATTGATTATCGCGCGGGGTCCCGGCAAAACCACACGGGGAGGCTGAACGACTATTAAAGCTGGCCGCGACGTGTTGTTTCGGACTCCTCATCCTTCGGGCAACAACTCCTCTCTCCTCTACTCTCTCCTCTACCACAATGTCGACCGAGAAGCAAGAGACCCAGTACTTCGAGAAGGCGAACGCGGTTGAGGGTGCCTACAGCACCGAGCAGTCGCTCGACGGCAAGGGCCACGACAGCTTCATTGAGGAGGTCGCCGTCCGCCAGGATGGTTATAACAACCTCGACGAGGGCTTCGACCCTGCCGACGTCAAGAAGACCCTTCGCAAGGTCGACGGACGCCTCATCCCCATCCTCATTGCGATGTACTTCGTCTCGCAGTGTGACCGTTCCAACCTTGGACAGGCTCGTGCCGCCAACCACCAGGCGATGCAGACCGACCTCAAGCTCAGCGAGGGCAACAACCGGTTCGTCTACTTTCCAGTCACCATCCGCTGACATTATAGTTACGGACTCATCACCATGATGTTCTTCATCCCTTACATCATCCTGGAGATCCCCTCGCAGCTCGGACTCCGTCGCTTCGGCGCTCGCACTTGGCTCGGTGGCGCGTGTGTCCTCTGGGGCGCTGTCATCCTCGGTATGGGCTTCGTTGAGAACTGGACTCAGTTCCTCGGTCTCCGCGTTCTTCTTGGTGCTTTCGAGTCCTGCCTCTTCCCCGGTGCTGCGTGAGTAATACCAATTTCTCTTATTTCGAATCATTTTCGCTGACCGTGCCACAGTTACCTGCTCGCGTGCTGGTACCCTCGCGCCCAGATCTCGCTCCGCATCTCCATGTTCTACACGATCTCTCAGTCGTTTGCCGGCATGAGCGCTATTCTGTCCTACGGAGTGAGTATCAGTTTGTCACGGGTTCCGATTGTGGAGTGAAATGCGCGGGAGCAGTGCCTTGTCGTTGTGCCGCGATCGCCAATTGCAGCCCGGTCGAAGTGACCGGTGGCACTTGGCATTCGGCGATCGGCACATGACCTCCGACACCGGTCATGGCACCGAGCTCTCGCTGCATCACCATATTCCGGACCCGACAGTGACAGTGCCTCGGCACGGCCAAGACGATGAACAGCAGCTGACTTGCAGATCTCGCAGATGCACGGACTGCGCAACTACTCCGGCTGGCGCTGGATCTTCATCATCTACGGCATCCTGACCATTGTCATCGGTATCGCGGGCATCCTCTTCATCGTCGACTTCCCCGACAAGGCCCACTTCCTGAACGAGCACCAGCGCCACATCATCAAGACCCGCATCCAGCGTGACCGCAACGATGCCGAGCCCGACTCGATGACCTGGCACAAGTTCCTGAAGTACTCGATCGACCTTAAGCTCTGGGTGTTCGGCTTCCTCTTCGGCACCTCTGGCCTCGGCATCTACGCTCTCTCGTACTTCATGCCCCGCATTCTTCAGTCGATCGGCTTCACCAACGCCCTCACTCAGCTCCTCATGGCGCCTCCTTACATCTACATGCTCATTCCCTGCCTGATCACCGCCAAGATCTCTGACAAGGTCCCCCGTGCCCGCTGCGCCATGGTCATCTTCAACTGCATCTGCGCCATTGTCGGCACTCTCCTCTTCTCGCACCTTGAGACCTCGCAGAAGGGCGCCCGCTACTTCGGTGTCTTCCTCGCTTGCGGTGGTGTCAACGCCAACCTCTCACTGTCCATCGGCTGGGCTCAGTCCTCTATCCGTGCCCAGTCTAAGCGTGGCTTCTCCTCTGCCCTCGTCGTCGCCTGGGGCGGTATCGGCGGTATCCTTTCCTCGGTCGCCTTCATGGAGAAGGAGGCCCCCACCTACCCCACCGGAATCTACCTCATCATCGGCATGGAGGTCGCCTCGATCTTCCTCGCCGCGGGCCTCGCCGGCTGGTTCATCCTCCAGAACAAGCGCGCCGACCAGGGCAAGGTTGTCCTTGAAGACGACCCCAACTTCCGCTACCAGTGGTAAAAAACTCTTCTACATCTCTCATACAGGCGTAGAAAATTTCTAGACATTAAGTTTCCTTAAGTTCATCATAGGGTATTCGGTATCGCATCGCAGTTTAGTTTGTCACGAACAGTATCGGTTCGCACGAGAGTAGACCAGCCACAGTAAAGACGTTGTAAAAATGCATTTTCTCATGGGTAACAGCCACATTGCAGAGCAACGAGCACTTTCCTTGCTCAAACATTGACGACGATGAGCAGATATCGAATCCCGGGAGAACCAAACGCTGGGTGGAGAAGTGATGTCGGCCCCCGACTATCAATCCATCGGAAAGGGTGGGTGGGAGTGGGGCCAGGGTCTGCCTCGTCACCGGTGCCACACTTCTCCCCACAGGTGAATGGGAGGCTGTGTCCCTCATTCCTTGTTCCCCATCCCGTTTCAGTGGATATCCGCAGCATGCGGGCTTGTACCCTCCGCTCTGCTCTTGCTGACATTGCGGTGCCGTGCTCATGCCGATTCGGCATGACTGCCGTGGAGAGGATGACAAGAGGCGGGGTGGTACGTAAGTCGATCGCCCGCAACTGCCCGTGCCTCTTCTGCCACGCGTGCCGTACTAGCCCTATGAGCGCGTGTGACGTTGCTTTGCACTTCGCAAACCAGGAGCTGTACGTAGGTGCAAGTGAAACAGCTGCGTCCATGTCTATAGATATACTACGTAGCCCTCCTTTGTCTCCTGTCTCGCAGCTTCGTATGGGTCTGGGAACCAGTGCACCGCGGCGTTGACCATGGTTACCTTCTCCTCTTCCTGCTCTGGTTCCGTTGGCTCCTTCGTTGGCTGAGGCGGAGATGGGGCCGGATGAGAGCTGAACACATGAGACAGCCGTCGTCGTAGGCCACCCATAAGCGAAGCTTGTGAGTCTCGCCGTTGCGCTGACCCAGCTCTTAGAGGAGCCGGCTCACGCGGCCGCTCCGACAAAGACACGGCCCTTGTTCCTCTTCCTTGATGGATGTGGCCGAACACGACAATCTTCGGCTTCACCCTCTGTATCTCGCGCAAGAGGTGTGGGCATCCTTTGCCACCCTGATCCAGGTACCCCCTCGGTGGCCCGTGCACGAGCAGCAAGTCTGTTCCGTCCGGTACACGGTTCGTCCACAAGTCCAGCTCCGGGTCGTGCTGAAAGGCTGCCTTGATTCCTCTCGGCGCGGGCGTGTTTGGGCTTCCAAAGATCCTCACTCTACCCTGTGGCAAATCCAGCTCCAGACTCTCGTTGCAGAGGTAGTGAATGTCGTGCCAGTTGAGCTCGTCTGCCGTGCCGCCGGGCGTGAAGCGCAGGCCCCTGGCTGCAACAAAGTCCGGGTCGAGCAGCATGTCGTGATTCCCTCCTACGACGACCTTGTGCTTGTGTGGCAAGGACGCTATCCAGTCGAGTTGGTTCTGGAGCTCCCGCAGAGTACCGCCATTGCTGAGATCACCGGCGTGTAGGAGAATGTCGCCTTCCTCGACTGGCGGGGTCGCGTTATGCGTGTCTGAGATACAGACTATTCGAATGCCTTCGGGCGGCATACTATTGAGTGAGCTGGATGTGAGTGGAGGAGTAAGTAACGTCAAGAGTCAGTGCAGAAAGTGCACGGTGCACGTCAAGCTCAAGTGCGGCCTACGGTCTCTGAAGCCGCGCCAGCACAGCTTGCGGTGGCGAGCAGGTCCAGTCACTCGTCAGCCGTAGTAGACCTCCACCGACGTGACGTGACCGGATGGCCGCATCCAGGCACGACTTCGTCTCACGACCCAGCTCGCCGAAGCCGACACCGATGCACATCGTTTGCTCCACAGTGTTGTGTATCGGGCAATTCCAACATCTTCGCCCCGAGGCCAAGCCATGTATCTCAGTCTGAACGAGGAATGCAGCACTTGACTGGCTGCGCAGTTGCCCACCCGCCCCTCCGGCCCGGAGAGACCGGGATCTTCCAACGGCGGTAATCACCGGATAAGCCCCTTCCCTTCCCTGCGACCTGCACCATCTCGACTCGAAATATCAGACCTTCCGACGCTATCATGCTCCCCTCACTACGCACTCTCAGCTCAGTCAGCAGGATGACCCAGACTAGCGCGGCGAAGCAGCCCCGCGCGCTCGTGTTCGGCCTCGGCGCCATTGGAGGGATCTATGCCGCGATCTTGAAGCGCTCGAATGCGTGCGACGTTTCCATCGTCGCGCGCAGCACGTATGACGGCGTCAAGAAGCATGGGCTCAGGTTCAACAGCGAGAAGCACGGCAACGAGGTCGCGCAGTTTGGAGACAACGGTGAGTCCTAGCTGCGACGTCCGCTGGCGCCTCTGGCAGGGAGGAAGATCAGCGTGGGAGCTAGTGAAGAGTCCGAGATAAGGGCCGCCGGAGGACATCGCTGATTCTCAGTGTTCCGGGACACGAAAGAGGCCGCTGCTTCGGGTTCGTTCGACTACGTCCTCTGTGCGAACAAGGCGCTGCTTGACGCGAAGCCCTCGCTGGCTGAGCTGATCTCGCCGGTCATCGGTCCCGAGACTGCGATTGTGCTGCTCCAGAACGGTGTCGGCAACGAGGTTCCTCTGCACGCCGCGTTCCCGAAGAACACCATCCTCTCAGCGGTAGTGTGGACGGGCGGCCGCGTGGTGCCGACCACTGACGGCTCCGTGGAGGTGGCCCAGTTTGCGCGAGAGGGTCTCACGATCGGCGTCGACCACGCCGAGGGCGCGGACCCGGAGCAGGAGAAGGCGCAGCTCGACCGTTTCGTCGACATTCTGCACAAGGGTGGAAGCACGGACACGGTGACGACGGACGATATCCAGTCCGCGCGCTGGATCAAGGTTATCTGGAACTGTGCTTGGAACTCGCTCACGGCCGTCACGCGCGTGCGCACCAACCACATTTTTCAGAGCTCCGAGGGCGCCGCCGACCTCTCTCTCGAGCTCATGAGGGAGGTCACGGCCGTCGCGAAGGCGAAGGGACTCAACATCCCCGACGGTACGCCGGAAAAGCTCCTCAACGACGTCCAGGTCGTTCCTGGTCCCGGACTTCCGAGTTCGATGATGATGGACAACGAGGCTGGAAGGCCAATGGAGGTCGAGGTTATCCTCGGCACGCCAGTTCGCGAGGGCAAGCGTCTTGGCGTTCCCGTGCCGATCCTAACGACGTGAGTACATGCCCCCATCGCAAGCTGACACTACAGTCTCTACACCGTCACGAAGGCTCTCGACTGGCGCAACGCCCACCGGAGTGAGGCGGACATGTGAGCGGATGGACGCATAGATCAATGAAACGCTAGACACAATAGGACCCGTTGAATCTTTGTATGATGATGAGATTGACATGGACAACGACGAAGCGCAAAGCTACGGAACAAGAGTGATAATAGTGCTAATAGTTTGTTTGTTGATAGACACGGACCAGGGGCTGGAACCACGTAGGAGAGGGGGATGGAATCGGGGCGAAGGATCGTTGCCATGCCGTGCGTGGGATGCTGATGAGGGTATAACAGATGGGGGAACGAAGCGTCTAGGCCTCTTTGCGGAATTCTGACCGTCAGCTACACAAAAGCTCAGGATCGACAGCGGGGCTGACGCCGCCGGGACACGTCCCCCGGGTATGTTCGGCGCCGCCATGTACTCACCGACCAACACAGAGTAGATCTGCTTGAAAGCCATGTAGATCTCCTCGCGCACCTTGGCTCCGGTCAAAACAATCTTGCCGGAGACGAAAATGAGCAGGACGACCTTGGGCTTAAGCATACGGTAGATCAGACCGGGGAACAGCTCGGGCTCATAACTGCTGAAAGCACCGTGGCTGAAAGCCAGACCCTCAAGACGAATGGGGAACTTGACGTCGCAGGATCCGACGATGTTCTGAATCTTGAACTCGGCGAACTTGGCGTCGAAACCAAGCTTCTGGATAATACGAGCGTATTTACGGGACGCAAGACGAGAGTCATCCTCGGACTTGGCACCGGTGACAACCATCTTTCCAGAGGCGAAGATGAGGGCTGTCGTTTTCGGTTCACGGATACGCATCACCACGGCGGCGAAACGCTAGGGATTGTCAGCTTTGAAACTGGAGACGGCTTTGGTAGCTCTGACGATTACGACGATAACGTGATCAGAAGCACGCCAGGGAGCACCCAAGCTCAGACTCCACCCGTCGTTCACTACTCACCTTGGGGTTGTACTCGGCGTTACGCGCATGGAGGGCGATGGTCTTGAGGTCAAGACGACACTCGAGGTTGACAGTCGCAACAATGTTCCTGTGGAACAGGTTAATAAAACCACTCGGTGATCACCGCAAATGGAAGCACCATCTACCCCGCCAGCCTCTCATCCACACGGCAACTCTGATGATACCCACTGCAAAACGGGAACAAGACCCTGTACGGGAGAAATCTCTGGAACGCTGGCTTGCGGACGAACCACAGCGTTGTTCTTGCCGTACTCATCGTTCTCTCCAGTCTTCTCGGGGGTGTTGTTAGAAGCGGTGTTCGAGCTCGAGCTCGCGGCGGCGTTGGGGACGGCGAGCGACATGATGACGTGCGGAAAACGAAAAGCAGTTGACGGCTAGGGGAGGGAAGGCGCAGGTGCAGGCGAGGAGGGAAAGTGGATGGAGATGGGGGATGACTGTTGTTTCTGGTGGCGAGGGGTCGGATCAAGACTGCTTGTTTGTGATAATAATTTGCGGTTTCGCGCGAACGCCTGCCCGGAGCGCGTCCTCAACACTCGTAGTGCCACGGACGCCAGATGCGATGAAATGGGCGAGAAGGTGAGTGGATGCAAGAGGGTCGAAGATGGGGTGGTGTGAGTGATGTTGGCTGGGGTGTTCCCAGAACGACGACGAAGGGGGGCGGGGCGGCTCTCGTGCTTCCATCCCTTTTATACTTCCGGCGCTTAGAGCTCGTGGCAGCGTCCAACCAAGGGCCGCCCTGCCCGAGCCTTGGTGCACGTAGCTTTCTACATGTAACACCATGCAGCACGGCTTCTCAGCGCTCGTTTATTATATACCACATGCGCTGCAGCTTGCATGCATGACTGACTCAGCCTCCACTGCCTCCACTGTGCGCGCCGTACACAGCAACGCTGCCTCCTTTTATCTTCTAGGCACTGGGCGTTCGGGTCAGGACAAAGGGCCAGTTGTCCGAGTGTTAAAGCGTGATCGACATTTCGTCACAACAATCAACGTTTGCCCTCTATGCTTCGCTGTAATTTCAAACCTAGGAATCATGCATGTCACAAAGTCTCTAATCACTGTCCGAAGCAACGTCGTTGGGGTCAATGACATCGTCGTCCTCTGCGATTTGGTTAGCTCTGTCCCTCCCTGCATGGACTGCGTGGTTCTTCATCCGAGCTCCGAAACCGCTTCGCGGAGTGACGGCCCACGAAGCGTGCACGCCGCAAGACAATGGCAACGGCGTCTCCGACAACTCACCCTCAACGACATCTCCACTGCTAGCAACCATGTTCTCGGCCTCAACTCTACGCAGCATGGCGCGAACCTTCTCGTCGTCCGACTCCGGGTCTGCAGTGTCACGCCAAGGAGGAAGGAGGTCGCCTGGCCGCTCGTTATGGCGGTTCTTAACACTTCATGTCAGCTCCTTGACAGCGCGATACAACTCACTGTTGGTCGGCGCCAGCCTCAAGAAGTGATCCGACTGGAGGGTCAGCACGATTGACCATAGGGCAAGCGTAGGCACGGACCGCCAGTCGCGCCGCCAACTCACCCAGATACAGCCTCATCCCCGGCTGGTCCTCCCACTTCTGGCGAACAGCAATGTGCAGCGGCGTGTCACCGCCCAGGCGATTCCGGACATCGGGATCGCAGCTGTCGTGGTCGAGGAGGTGCTCAAGGATATCCGTAGATCCGTTCATGATGCTGTCGAGTCAGCACGAGCCAGTGGAGCAAAAGCTTACGCGTAGTGAAGAGCTGTGCGCGAGTCAGTACTTCCAGAAGACGCCCAAGGGGCGTTGCTACTCACCAGTGTTGCCGAGTCTGCGCGCGTTAGCGTTGCTCCAACCGCTCCACGAATAGCCCGTCATCATTGAGGGTGGACCACAGTGTTTCTGAGGTCCAACTCCTCGGGCACGGTTCACTAACTCACCCATCAGCATAGTTTACATCAGACAGCTGCGAGAGGGCCGACTGAAGGAGCTCCTCATTGTCGGTCTTCGCGGCAGCAAGGAGACGCTCGTCTGGTGTTATTAGCTCGCCGTCTCAGGTTAGGAAGTGTTGTTGCACATACTGGCGGAAGCACCGTCCTGCTGAGACTCCTCCGGCGGAGGAGGAGGAGCGGCGCGGCTGGGGGCGCTCATTTGGTGGGTGATCGGAGAGTTGCAAGGTGATGTGGACGTTGTCACAAAGGTGCATAGAAGTCGTGTCGTTCGTGTCGCGGCTGTGCGGCGCATCGTCTGGGGCCCAGCCCGTCCACAGCACGTGGCGTTCGAGGCGGGACTTTCACCCAACCTCGCCAGAAAGATTGGGCGACGTCATATCCCGCCTCCTTCCTCGATCTCATCGCGCTGATCCCATATTCTGTTTATCCATTCATCCCCATCACCATGTCCGACACGAAGAAGACGACGAAGGAAGATCTCGACCAGAAGAGGGACGTTCCGTTCTCTCGGTAAGCTACATAGGATCGGTGCGGCGTTCGCTGACAACAGCCCTGCCACCCCCGCTCTGCGCCAGGTTCGTGGACCTTCCGTCTGCTTCGGCAACCTATCGAACATCTACCAGTGAACTGACAGTTGCAGGCTCAGACCGCGGTTGTTGGTCTCGGCGAGATGGGTAGGCGCATTGCCACCAACCTCGCGCGCACGCTGCAGGAGCAGGGGCACCCTCCTCTTTTGGTCTGGAACCGCTCTTCCGACAAGTTCGACGAGTTCAAGGAGTATGCGAAGGGCAAGGGGGTCAGCGAGGACGCCTACAACATCTGTCCTAAGCTTGATGACCTCGTAAGACGGTAAGTGACTGCATATCCCTGCCCATCGCGGATGGTGTTGGTCATCGTGTCCACGGGCTGGTGGGGATGCGTGGCCGTTGGCCAATCGCGGATCGCTATCGGACCGAGGCCGAGGATCTAGCTTGCGGCAATTGTTACTAACACCAGATCGAACTTGATCCTCACTTCGCTCGCTGGCGAGGAGGCTGCAAAGGAGGTCTACGACAGGATGTTCTCGGTGCAGGCTGTACGTGATCCGCGAAACGTGTGAATTGCTTGGCATGACTAATCCGCAGGACCACCTCCCGGAGCGTCAGTCCGAGGCCGACCCCGCTCTCCGCGGCACCATCTTCGTTGAGACGTCCACCGTGAGTACCGAAGAGGTGTTGACGCTGTGCAAGATGATCGCGGTGCATGGGAACGGGTAATGGGTGCGGACGGTGGTGACGACGGTGGCGTCTGCATGGACCAATATGATCGGCGAAAAAGTCACCTTGCCGGCGGCTCGAGCTATGGGCTCCGCCAGACCGTTGCTGACCTCAGATTTACCCCACGGCCGCTGGTAAGATTGAGCGGGAATGCGCGAAGGGCGCTCTCCGCTCGTACCTTGCGGCTCCCATCTTCGGTGTGCCCCGCCAGGCCGCCAAGGCGGACATCACGATGGCCATGGCCGGCGACTATTACGCCAAGAAGATCGCGGCTCACGTGCTCTGCCCCTCCATCTGCAAGAAGGTAATGGACCTCGGCTCCAACCCTGAGCGCGCTATGAGCTTTAAGTGAGTAGGCAGCTTTCGGACCGCTTGCACAGCTAACGTCAGGTTGACCGGAAACGCGCTTGAGCTCGGCTTCATCGAGCTGATCTCGGAGTGCTTCACGCTGGCGGACCAGACCGGTGTTGGCTCCGAGAATCTCCTCGAGCTGATCCGCAACCAGCACAACTCGCCTGCGCTTGTCCGCTACTCGGAGCGCATCACCCAGAATAAGTTCGACGCCACCGGAGGCTTCACCATTGACGGCGGCCTCGCCGACAGTCAGAACATCCGCCACCTGGCCGACCACAACAACGTCCCCATGCCCGTCATTGATGTCGCCCATGGCCACCTCATCACCGCCCGCGCCCAGGGTAACGGCCAGATGGACTGGACGGCACTTGTCGGCGGAGAGCGCATTGCTGCAGGCCTCCAGCCCTTTGCCGGCAAGACCCACCTGGAGCCGTGGACTGAGGACGAGGAGTCGTAGTGTGGTTCCTATGTTACGTCGAATGTACTCCGTTTGATCTAGTCGCAAGATGTATGTCTTCTCGATGGCAATGTTCCCTATGCAGGCGGGTCCCGAACTATCGTGACTTCCTCGTCGGATGGGGCTCACCAGACGGTGGGCAGCCGGAGCGCCCCAGCTACGAGTATCCGAGCCGTAGCCGCCCTTGACATCGAACACGAGTACTGCTCTCAGCTGACTGAGCCTGGCGCCTGGCACGACGTGTGCAAGTCATTTGTGAGCCATGGCCACGATCACCGCGGCGGTCTCAGCCGACACCGAAGCACCAGACCGCCTTCACCTCAACGATGTGCACATCCGCATGTCTCAAAGACACTCTCCCCTTCTCAGCCAGCGCTCCCACTGCATCCAACCACTGCAACTCTCAACACACGCGTCTGCACACTCCACCCTCCCATACTCCCCAACGTCACCCCTGCCCACAAGTCTGTATCTGTAAGAAGCCTCATGCATGCCCACACCCTCTACTGTACAGTAGCCTTACTCGTCGGGCACAACGATCTCACCGGCGTCGATGGCCTCAATGACGTCGTGAGGGGGACGGCCGTCGACGGTGCAGCCGACGGACTGAGCGGTACCGAGGATCTCCTTAACACCACCAGCGAGGTTCTTGGCCATGGACTTGTGGGCCATCTTGCGGGCAATCTGAAGGGTCAGCTCTTCATGGGCCTGTGGCTAGCTCACGTTGTAGATCTCGTCGAGGGCAACGTTTCCAGTGTGCTGGATGTTCTTCTCCTTCTTGCGGTCACGGACAGGCTCCTTGAGGGCCTTGATGACAAGGGAGGAAGCCGAGGGGACGACCGAGACGGTGGCCTGACGGTTCTGGATGGTGAGCTGGACGGTGACACGGAGTCCCTTCCAGTCGCCAGTGGCCTTGGCAATGTCCTCTCCAACCTTCTTGGGGGACTGTTTGTCAGCTCTTGCACTCGCCGATGTGATGGAATGTCATTCGGTTGCAACTGTCGAACCGCGAAGCAAGAGACAGTGTCGGGCAAGAAATGGACGTCTCAATCGTCCTGGATACGCAGCCATTCCGACGGTCATTCCATTCCATTGCTCGCGTCCATGTCTCGTACGCTGCCAGCCGATTGTTCCGAGATGTCGATTCCGTCTCTACTCACGAGACCAAGGGGACCGATCTTGGGGGCAAGAGCCGAGGAGGCACCAACCTCACCACCAGTGGCACGGAGGTAGATGATCTGTTGGTCGTAGATGCAAATTTCAGAGTATCGATTCAAGAGTCGGTCCAAATGATCCAGCACAAATGTTCAAGAGTCGAGAGTCATCGCGAAATCGAGAGCACAGGTCAGCACGTATTCCATGTTTTCCTTCGTTTCCAGCATGAACCGAGAACCCGAGATGGCCGCCGTCGTTCCTTCCTTCATTCCGTTCCATCCGACAAGTCTCGAAGTCCTCGGTTCTGCCTCGACAGATGCGCACCTTAACCTCCTGCGACTGTCAGCAATTCACTCTTCGATGTCTCTAGCGCCCTGCGCGCGTCCACACGTACCGAGGGGTCGAACTTAGGCGGCATTTTTAGAGAGTGTGTGGGGGGGTTGGAGAGGGTAGAGAAAGACGACGACTCAACAACTGGACGAGGAAAGACTTACCAGAGAATCCACCCACCGTACGCCGCGACCCTCGGCGCATCCCCTCCCCCTAACGGAATCAAATGCATCACGTGACAAACCTGTCCGATTTTCAGCGCCAGCGCATGCGAACGTGTGCCACCGTGCCTGGTCGGATTTAGGCTTAGCACCGACATCTGCGGCGAAACTGTTTCTGCGTCGTGAGCTGTAGGGTGTCGACTGGATGTTTATGGTGAGCTGTCCGCCGGGACGAATGCAGAATGATGATGCAGGACGTGGTCCCGTGGCTCGGTTCTCAGATATCAAGGTGCATCGCAATCTACGGCAATGGGCAGTAGTCACATCCTGACGGCGCGCCCCTCGTCTCAACAGTCACACGTCCGTCATCAGCTCCCGAGTCAGTGCAGCTCTTGGTCATGCTCGTGCAACAGTAATTGGTCGGGTACATAATGCATCCCAGAAACATCCCACAAACTCGTCGAGAGTAAGGTCGAAGTCGACTTTGGCCACGGGCACCAAAAGTTGACTAAGACGCTTACCTGTAGCGGCGGAGAGAGAGGGTGTTGTGCTTGCGCCAGGTAGCGGAAACGGGGGTGTGGTTGTACTTGGAGCCCTTTCCGATACCACGGTTCTTGCGGCCCTCGGCGGTGAGGCCACGAGCCTCGCGGTGCTTGTGGACGGGGTTGACGATCCAGTTGATGCGGGGGTCGCGACGGATGGCCTTGTGCGAGGGGTCGACAAGAATGACCTCGTAGTAGGCGTAGACACCGTCGGCGTTGACCCAGTACGAGTTCAGGACGCGCAGGTTGCCGCAGCGACGGCCGACACGCTCCTCAGCGAGGGCCTTGAGGCCACGCTGGGGCTTGAGGTGGTTGACACCCTGGCGGACGGGCTTGCCGTAGGTGGCACCCTTGGGGGCGTGCTTTTTGCGGTTACCGCGACGAACACGGATACGGTAGATAACGTATCCCTGCTTGGCCTTGTAGCCGAGACGGCGGGCCTTGTCGGGGCGCGAGGGACGCGAGGCGCGGTGGACAACCGCGAGCTGGCGGTACTCCCAGCAGCGAACGCGCGAGACGAACTGGAGAACGTCCGACTGCTTCTTGGTGTACAGCTCAGTGAGGTACTTGTAGGCACCCATCTGGATGGTCAGCAATTGTTGCTTTGAGAGACAGAGAGAGCGGAATAGCGAAGCGTCGTCGTTCAGCCGGAGACGAGTAGGCGATTGGTTGTCACAGGTTCTCGAGTCGTGGTCAAACACCAGCCTGAGTGTTCTTCTGCGCGTCGAGTGCTTCGGCGTGTTCCCCTATCCTGTCCAGCTCGCCCAACGTCGCTGTGCATCGCTCCTTCTTCTTTCGTTGCATGTCGAGGCCGACCTTTGAAAATTTCGATTCGCACTCAAGACGACACTGAGTGAACCGGTAGACCCGGCGACACCGTCCGAACGTTCGCTTGGCTGTCCGCTGCTCTCTGCTGTCGTGGCTGTGCTCACTTTTTAGTTGATCCTTGAGGGTTGGGTTAACACGAAAGTCGACGAAAGCATCGAAGAGGGAGGAGGGAGCGCGCGAGCGAGCCAGCACCGCTGCCTGCCCAGCAGCCCTCCTGCGGCATGGATTTCGTCGGAGTTAACTACCACGTGTCACCAGAATGCGTGTGGCACTTTCTACCCTTATTTTCATAGTTCCATATAGGATTCTCCTATTCAAAGATTCCTAATGATTTACGATGCCCAGTGTGTAAATCTTGTTTGGTTCGACCATCGATTGTCGGTCAGCTTCAGCTGGCCAGGTGCACAGAACGGTATGGACGGCGAGACTCGGACGCCTTGATCGCACGAGCGGTCGATGCTTATCGTTGTTGCGAACTCTCCAGAGATCTCGATATCTACTGCATGCTGCTCTACACTATCACTTGACACCTCGCCATTGCTCGAGCATGCCGGTTCAGCGCCGGCATTGTGAGAGTGTGCAGACTCGCCAGGTGATCCCGTGGACTTGTGGAGCACGAGACACCTCTTCAAACAGAGAGAGGATCCTGGCTGTGTGTGCGCCAGAGTCGCACTGGAGTGCTCGGTATCACTTCAGAGCCAAAGTGACGCGGTGTCACCAGAGCAGGTCCATGCTCTTTCGAGAACTTGACGCAAGTGACCTGAAAGTGAGTTGGCGTTTGGGGAATAGTAGCATGGTGGCCCGTAGATGTGCTTGCTCTTCGACAGGTGCAGGTGATCCCTACGGTACTAGGTTGAGCGAGGACAACACAATTCTTGACACAAGGGGGCACTGAGGCAGTTACAGAGGAAGAGGAGTTAGTTATTCAGGCGTGAGTTGAGACACTTTGAAACACCGTGAGAACAGGGCTAGCGCATCGGTGGAGAGTTATTAGGGAGCTGGAGTAACGCAGACAATGTGAGATTGCCCCGTCCTGGAAGGGCATGTGTGCACTGAGCAAGCTCGTTGCGGGTTGATGAGGAGGCGGCAGAAAAATAATGGAAGCAGCAAGGAGGTATTCCACCCAGTCCTCGGCGCAAGTGTTACGGGATACCGACGTCACTCGATCACTGAGCTCTTGTCAACAAAGTGGAGGGTGGAGGTCAGTCAGTTCAGTCGGCCGGCGGCTGCGTAGCGGCACTTGGCCAGGCAACCAGAGAGATAGTCACCCGCCAGGGTGCCTGTGCGCACAAATTCTAACGTCGACGTTGTCTCCTTCCAAGAAGAACGAATAGGCTGTGACTGCAGTGGGATGCTGAGCATGCCGTGGGTGAATGGTGATGGTAACAGACGTAGATGACAATTCAACGCGCTGCGCTATCCATCCAGTTGTGTGTGTGCATGGTCCGGATCGTGCGCGGCCTCGGGAGCACTGTTCCAGTGACCCACCCAATTGCAGCCGCCAAGATGGTCAGGTAATAAATTTTCTAATCGGACAATAATAAAGGTCCTACGCGTATACTTGATCCAATTAGGACTCGTGTCATACCGCAACCGAGCGCTGGGCGTGGACGCTCAGGTTTAGTCCAGCCCTGCGCACGCTAGCTCCAGGCTTCCCCGTGACCCGTGCAACCACACACCCACTCCTCTCCCAACTCTCCACAATCCCTCCGATTACACACCTGCTCTTTCGACCATCCTCGCGACCTTCTTTCCTACTTCATTTCCCTCCTCCCCTCCCTTCTCGCGGGCGACCTCGTCCCCGCGCCTCGCGACTCTCTCGTCTCCCCTCTTGGGCCTCTCACACCCTCGGCCCCGTTCGCCCTGTGACTGCCCCTTAATTCAATTCCTCCGCGCGTGCTCGTCACTTAAATCGTCAGCCGCTCGACTTCTAGATTTTCGGCGCGTCTGGCGTGAGCGATCAAGCGCGGCTGTAGACCATGGCCGGTAAATCAGCGACTTCTGGGGCCTCATCCGCTGCTTCCTCATCAACGTCTGCTCCATCGACCCCGGGCCCTTCGACACCTCGCAGCTCCGACGTGCAAGATGCTACCCACGACGCTCATTTCTCCCTCGTCTCCAACGAGGCTCTCGGCACCTCTCTGAGGGAAGGACCCGCCCCGGACCTCATGCAGAATCGCCAAACTCTTGCTGAATTCCGCCAGCAGGAGGGCCCCGCGGTCCGTTCGGCCAAGCTTAGGCAGATGTGGTCCACGCTTCCGCGCCTGCCCTCTGTTGATCCTGATAAGCCGACAGAGGCTCAGCGCATGCGCCTCCCTGGTCAAGATACGCCGACAGCTTTGAGCCCGGAACGTGCCGAACGTCTGCGGACCCTCTATCAGGAAGAACTCGTCAAGCGGTGTGGAGAGAACCGACCGGACGCTCTGTTATGGGGCGGTGCCGATGACCTTCAACCGGGAGAGGGCGACGAGTTCCGTGAGAAGGGAATATCGTGGAAGTCTTTCCGGAAATATCTCTGGGACCAGGAGCGACAGCTGTGGGACATGTTCCAAGAGCTCGACAAGAATGGCGACGGCGTCCTGGACGTCGACGAGATCGGCGCCGCCCTCAATCGCGCTGGTGTCGACCTCTCACCGACCATTGTCCGCGACCTTGTCCACTTCCTGGCTGGCTCCAGCAAGGGGTCAGCTGTCTCGTTCCAGGAGTTCCGTGACTTCTTGCTGATGCTTCCCCGACGAGCGACTCCTCTTGAGATCTACAAGTTCTACCAGGTGCACAAACGGTTCAGCGATGGCCGCGGTGCTGCTCGAGTCAACATGGACGGTGATCCCAACCCGTCATTCCCGAAGGCGCCAGGAGATCCTGAACACTCGACAGCTGAGGGTTTCTTACATCCGCAACCGCGACACGACGAGATGCCCGCGAACGACGACTACGACGACATTATCGACCTTGACGATGATGAGGAGTACGATGCCGACTACCACAAGCATGACGCTTGGCGATTCCTGTTGGCCGGCGGCATCGCTGGTGGTGTCTCGCGAACAGTCACAGCACCGTTTGATCGCCTGAAGGTGTATCTCATCACTTCGACCGCGCATCCAGAGGGAGGCAAGCCATCACCGTTCCGTGCTCTTCAGAATCTAGGCAACGCCGTCCGTCTCATTTATAAGGAAGGAGGAGGCATCCGAGCGTTTTGGGTCGGTAACGGACTGAACGTCGCGAAGATCCTCCCAGAGAGTGCTATCAAGTTCGTATCATACGAGCAAAGTAAGCGCTTCTTCGCCAAATACTGGGACAAAGTCACGGACCCGGCCGACATCTCGTCTTCGTCGCGCTTCATTGCTGGCGGTATTGGAGGTATCACGTCCCAGCTCTCCATCTACGGACTCGAGACGCTCAAAACTCGCGTGCAGTCTGAGCTAGGCCCCAGCCGAGGATGGAAGCAGGTCGTGAACACGATGAAGATTATGTGGCGACAGGGAGGACTCAAGTCTTACTACCGAGGTCTGACTCTTGGTCTCGTTGGAGTGTTCCCGTACTCGGCCATCGACATGGGAACGTATGAAACTCTGAAGACGACATACTGCAAGCAGATGGACGTCGACGAACCACCAGTCTACGCGGTCTTGTGCTTTGGAGCTCTTTCTGGCTCTATCGGAGCCGCCACTGTATACCGTGAGTTGCGTGACCTTCCGAGAAGCTAACATGCAGCCATCAACCTGCTCCGAACGCGTCTGCAAGCGTCGGGAAGTTCTGGTCACCCTCAGAAGTACACCGGCTTCAGGGACGTTCTGACGACCACCTTGAAGAACGAGGGCTGGCGAGGACTGTACAAGGGTCTGCTGCCCAGTATCCTGAAGGTTGGACCCGCCGTCGGCGTGTCATGGATTGTATATGAAGACGCCAAGCGACGACTTGGCGTCTAAACCTATAGGTGTTCCACCTCATAGAGTGTCCTTACCCAAGAGCACAGAAATCATTCAGTAGTTCATCATAGATAATTGCACTGCATTGGCATCTACAGTAGCACACGTTGCAGGCAGGTCTCGGCCTCAGCACGGACGCGCCATGATCCAAAATTGCTGACACGAAACAACGGAGCTAGTCCCGCGCGTGCAATAGGCAACTCGCGGGGTCACGCGAAGGGAGGAGGGGAAGAGGACGGGTAATAAGGTTGTATGAGGTGAGTCACGTGATGCGGACCGACGATCATTCCGCTGTTCCGGATTGCGCGCAGTCGCTAAGTTGAATCTCTGATCGTCATTCGCAGTCTAGTTTCCTTCTAAACTCGGCCATCATGAGAGAAGGTGAGCTAGACGACGAACGACCTCCGCAGTCACGACTGACATCAGTGCGATCGAGTCCGAACTCGCAAGCCACGACTCTGCCATCTCCGCCGGACCGATGCTGCATCTGTCTGATGGACTTGAAGGACGCCACCAAGGCTGGCAAGTGCGGACACGAATTCTGCGTAAGTCCTGCGAGAGGAATGACATCAGACGACTCTGTGGCTTTCTGAAAACGTGAAGAGTGGTCGGATGGCTGGCATTCCCTACATTGCTTCGCCTTCAGAGAAACCCGTCTGTCATGGTGTTGTTGACATGTTGTCGCCACCCCTCGAAAACGAAGAAGCCATGTCCCTACCGAAAGTGACATCTCGCTGACAGCAGTTCGAATGCATTGGGGTGTGGGCAAATCAGTCCCGCCGGTGTCCACTATGCTCGGCACCCATGGACGATGTGCTGGAGCACGATCTCGACTCTCACACTGGTCCCACGAAGGTGAGTTACACCCACGAGCGCTGTCAATGCTGTCGGGATCCGCCTGCCAAGGGGCTCCCATGGCATGCCAGGGACTAACGACCGAGTGTGGTCGAGCTAACGTTTTGCAGTTTCACCTTCCCCCTCTTCCGTCACCCAGCCGCCGTCGCCACTCGCCCACACCAACGACAAAGCTTGCGTACCAAGCTCACCTCGAAGACCAGGCGAAGCTCGACAAGGCGCTCGCCAAGCGAAGACGGATATACGACCGTGACCTCTGGTACATGCACATTCCCTCGAATAAGTGGACAAAGTACACAAACATCTCGCCCTACGACTTCCGAAGCTCGAGCGAGGTCGGCAATGGAGAGTCGAGCTCTGATCCTGCGTCGAGCGAGAGTGAGACGGCCAGGCGAGCTCGGAGCTTCCTGACACGGGAGCTGCAGCTCTTTCCGCAAGTCGATCCGCAGGCAACGACGACACAGCTCATCAATCTCTTCAAGGTTGTTGATCTTCGCAGCGTGATTGCCGGGAACCTTCTACACGACCTGATCGGGATCGAGGGGAACCGCGTTCTTCACGAGCTGTATTCCTTTCTCCGCAGCCCTTTTGAGCTCGAGGACTGGGACGATATCAACCAGTACGGTGCCGACGAGTGCCCGCGCGGTCGTACTGTGTCGCGGTCGCCTCCGCCGGAAGCTGAGTCGCGGGGAAGATCACGAAGCCGCTCTCGAACCTGGTCCCGGAGCCGATCCCGCAGCAGGTCATGGTCTCGCTCGCCGTCGCGGGACCGATGGAGCCGGGATCAGTCCCGATCTGTTTCGGCGGACCGGGACCGGCGCCGTCGGGGCGATCAGTTTGTGCCTCCGGTGCTGAGTGGGGAGAGGCGATGGGACAAGTCGGACTCGTGGGTCGACCCAGAGTTTGCCCGACCAAGACGGCGACGGAGAGGCGGCAAGCGCGAGCGGGAACGTGAGGCGCGGAGAGAAGCAGCAAAGGAGCGGGATCGAATCGGCGTCGAGCAGCCGCACATCAACCCAGCTCTTGCTGGAGCCACTGGCGACCTCAGCATCAAGGGCAGCGCGGAGCGACGACAGAGTTTGCTGGAGCGCTTGGCGAAGCTGAAGTCGCAAGAGGTTGCCGGCGCCCTTCAGCAGACGGTCGTCGTGGTCGATACTTCCAAGACGGAGAGCAACACATCGAGCCCCCAGAACGAGGAGGACAAGGCTGCTCAGCTGAGAGAGAAGTTGATCGCAGAACGGAAAAGGAAGGTTCTGAGAGAGCAGTTGCTGGCACGGAAGAAGGCGAAGACGGAGGCCAGGACAGAAAATAACGGCGTCACTATCGCTGCTGCGCCTCCCCAACCGACGAGCATCACAGAGTCAACCTGAGAGTCTCATGTCACAATCGACGGCCACTCTGTCTTGCGTCAACACAGCTAGCCAAGGTCGGCCGTGCATGTAGTTTGTAAAGATCCGTTGAGGGTCGAAGGAAGGTCGACCAACCTTCTATATATGATGCACGATCGGCCAAGAGTCCAAGTTGCACGCAAACGACCAGATATGGTGCATAGCCTGCATGAGGTGTTCGGGGATGCTCTCGGCACCGCCGCGTCAAGTTGCAATACGCAAGATTGGACTGGTAAGAGATCAAGAGAGAATCGCCGCTACAAGCTATCTCATGGCAGTGGAACAAATCCTCGTCCGTGCCAGTTTCCATACCTGACGTGACAGTCAGCAGGAACCCCAGCCGCCAGTGGACTGTTGGTATGGACGGAGATGCATGCATTGACGGAGCTAGCCCATCGACAGTTCATGGCCGCCATGCAACGCGTCCAGTCTAATGGAAAAGGAGGAATGATGTCATCAACGCCATACCGCTCCTGGTAACACGCAAGTGAACGATGGCTCAGCATCAACCTACAACGGTAACAACGCTCCCGTCATCACCACATTCCCCACCAAAGTTTCAACGCTGCGAACACTGACTTCTGACAACAGTTGCGACAAAGCTAAGGGCGCTCTCAGCCACGTCTCGGGCTTTCGCGGATGCAGGACGGGGAGGCGCAGATGAGGAGCCCCATGGGTATGCCATATATGGCAATGTTCCCCTGGTATCTGCGCATGACGTGCTGGGAGTTCAGCGCGACAGCGGGGTAGAGCATCGGAAGCGCGATGGGCATGCCGTCTCGCTGATCAGCTCCGAATTTGGTGGCCAGAGTAATAGGCCCGACCCAGCCACAGAAAGCAAGGGTGAGCCTCCCGAGATGTCCCCTTCCACTTGCCGATGCACTACCATGCGCCGCATGGAGAACCGCCTCGAGCCTCTGCGGCCTTTGTGTTCGATAACCAGTGGGAACCAGTGCGAAGCCGCGGGCGAGGAAGACTTCGCAGCCTTCGGGGAAAGTTGAGAGCTGTGTCCAGGCTCGTGGAAGCTTACCGCATGCAGGCTGTGCCGAAGTCATAGATCGCCTGGGAGTTTACATTCGGTCACAGAAACGGGCAAGATGTTACTGACGTGACACGAAAGAGGCAACTGCGGGGTGCGGGGATGGGATGACTGGATCTGACAACGCAGCGTGTCTGGATCGCTGCGGACGGAGGAAGCGCAAGGGAGGTCGGACCTAGCTCGAGATCATCGCGATCGCCATCCTTTTTCTCACTACCGTGCCCTCTTCGCCCCCGCCCTTCGGTCTCATACTCCTTCATCAGTGGGCCTTTCCTCAGACGCCTCGATCAACTCCTTGCGCCTGCACCCGCCTTCTCCTCGCCCTCCTTTAAGCTCCTTCAGCTCGACAAATTTCCTCCTCCACGAGACTTCCCTCACTCTCCCCTCCCTCTTCCTGCCTTGCACAGCAGCCCCATGGCGCTTCCACTCAACTTCATGACTATCCATCTCCTAGATAACCATATCGATATGCCTTCGATTCGTAACGGCCACCCCGGCCCTGCTTCGCACGACATCCGCTCCAACAGCGTTAACGGCGTGAGCGTCACGAACCTCCCCGTTATCGGTAATGGCGTGCCGCCTCCGGTCGGCGTGGCCACTCCCGTGAGTATCTCTTCCATCCTTCTCTATGAAGGGACGAATCTTAATCCAACCGTGAAGCCTAATACGCTCTTGATTCATCACATCTCACATGTTCTCTATTATCCGATCAACATCTCTGCTTCTGGTGTATCGAAACGAATGCTGACTCCACAATCTTCTCAGTCTTATCCCTCCGACGGCCATGTTTCGAGTCATGTGAGTCATTGCCGAGACCGACGATGTGCACCGGCGGCTTCCTGCCCCGATCAGTAGAAGCTAGCTGTGCCGAGAGAACGGCAACCCGCGCCACCTCTAACTCTCGGCGCTCGCATAGTCATCCGCTGACGTTAGCCATTCACCCGCCTGATCCGCTTCATCTCTAGCGGTCGCGAAATGTGGGGAGAGCCTGTCGACCAGTCGCTGGACGGTGAGTATAATCCCCCCTTTCGCTGTGGAGGGTGCCATGTTTGCTGCCTGCCCTTCGATCACGTCGATCGATTCTCCTCTGTGTTCAGACGATGACGAAGTGCAGAGCTGATGTCTCAGTCGGTATGGCGTATGCAAAGAACGTTCCCATCTACGCCCACGTCCTCTCGGGGCACTCTCCCTGGACTCTCCAAGGTCGAACTGGTCAAGTGGTGCAAGTTGACGAGGTGAGTCCGAGCGTTAAAGTCCATCCTTGCCCGCAGTCAATATCGGATCGTCAGCACTTCACACATCGAAGCAAACAAGGATGGCCATGTCGCATGACCTCCAAGACCCTTCGCAGCCTAAGCTCACTCTCGCAGTTGCTCAGTCCCATCTCGCCCAACCAGGCTGGAACCGTGCGCGCTATCGGTCTCAGCTACGTCGACCACGCTCGAGAGCTTAACCAGCCCCTGCCTTCAGCACCTTCCGTTTTCTTCAAGCCACCTACCACCATCGCCAACCCCGGCGAGGCTATTCCCGTTCCTCGGTGCGCTCAACATGATGAGGTAGACTATGAAGTCGAACTCGCTGTCGTCCTCGGCCGAGACTGCAAGAACGTCGCTCCGGACGAAGCGATCGACTTTGTTCTGGGGTGGACATGTGCCAACGACTTGACGGCAAGAAGGGTCCAGGAGACGAGCAGTCAGTGGGGCTATTCCAAGGGTACGTCTAGTTAGCGAAGCTCGATTGCTCGATTGTCGGTCGTCTGACCCTCAGGCTTCGATAAATTCCTCCCTCTCGGCCCCTGCCTCGTATCGACCGCACTCCTGCCGGACCCACGCGACCTCGTGCTCGAGACTCGGCTGAACGGAGAGGTCGTCCAGAATGGTAGCGCGCGCAACATGATTTGGCCCGTCTCCGAGTGAGTTAAGTCCAGGGATGTGGTTCTGGGGGGTCTCGAAAGTGATCTCGTGACTGATAATATCTCTAGACTCATCTCTCACTTGAGCCAGGGTACAACACTCCCTGCCGGCACTGTGATCATCACCGGAACGCCGCCCGGGATTGGCGCTAGCCGCGGAGTGTGGTTGCGTGATGGTGACGAGGTCCGTTGCTCCATTTCTGGTGGCATTGGTGAGTATAGAGTAGCATCCTTTCCACTCAGGGCCCATGCGGACCAAAAGCTCAGCCACACATTGAGCCGAAACCCGAGAGTCCACTCCGGTGCTAGATAATCTCCCGGTGCTATTATCAGCAGCGAGGCGACGTGCGGATAAGCGGATCCGGCTCACGTTCGATCGTTTTGCGCATGCACGTTCGAGAATCTCGGTCGAGCCTGAGAGCTGACGTTTCCAGGGTCCCTCGTGAACCAAATCGTGTACCAGACGTAAGTAGCCGCGACCCAAAAAAGAACTGGACAAGCGATTTAAGGTATCGACTGGCCGTCCAGAGGCACGAGGAACGGAATGAGGCTGCGACAGGGTGGTGCGGACATGCGGGGCTGAGAGGGCTCTGAGGGGGGAGGGTCGAGGACGGCGGAGGGGAATAGGTGGAATTGATATACGACGCGTTTCAGCGGCCGAGAGTGGCATTCAGGAGGGGCAGGAGAGGAACGATGACGGGGTATCTGATTGATCTAGGAGTTATGCATGTGCGTGAGGCGTCGATTGGCGTAAACTCAAAGCGCGCGCTCACGATCGTGCGTTCTGCCTTGTGGTGAGGGACGGGCCGTGGCTCCGAGTGCCTACCGACGCTGCCGAGGGGGAGGAGCCAGTGGACTTTGTCGGACGACCGAGATTGATTCCAGGCAGGGGCAGGCTGTGCGTGAGTGTAGCTGGCACTTATGCTTGTGATCGAGTGTTATTCGGCCGTGAGGAATTTTCGGGGTAATGTGCTTGCGAGCTTTCGCCTAGCGGCCTGAGGCTCGGATTATCTTTGGGTGATAGACATGGCATGTGCAGCGCCGTTTAGCACTGATAAGATTTCCGTAACCAGGGTCTCGAGGGTCCGGCTCCACACTAATGGACACTAGCGTCGAAAATATCTGATACTCGGCGCTCGTCATTGGACAATGACGGAGTGAGCAGCAGCCGTCGGTCCGGGACGCCGCACTCGCCCGCACGGCCGCCGCGGGCAACGCTGTACGCTGCTCCGCACTCGCAGGCCCCACCCCCGGGCTCGAGAGCCAGCCAATGCCACAACCGGTGCCTCTGACCGAGGGTTGTGATCGCGGAACTTGGACATCCTGATCCGGTCACGTGACTGCTGATAGCGGATTCAAGCGGACTTTGGGTGCTGGACGCATGCGGGTGTGTCTGTGGTGGAGGGGTGGACCAGTCGGCCCGAAAATTTTGCTCCCGGGTGGTGAGCGATGACAGGAATAACCGCGCAAAGGCGAGGCAGGCGTGGACTCAGGCTGAGGGGCCGCAAGTTCCAGGGCCAGAAACCAGTCGCGCGCCAGTGCGTCGGTACGGGCCGCCGCATCCTCACGCACGTTCGTGAGCTTGGTCTTGGCCTTGTATGGATCCACCACTGGCATGTTCGTCACCACCGAGCGCTCCGTCGACGTCAACGGCGTTCGGTCACACGACCTCTATCACATGCACCGATCTACATGAGCACATCAGGTCGACAAGGTATTTCTTGCGTGCCAAGCTGCAAACGTGACTGCTCGCCAAGCCGCAGACCATGGATGGGATGCAGACAATGAGCTCAGAAGGACAAGTGGTGCGGGATTGCAGGTGTGCATCGCTTGGCGATTCAGGGTCGTGTTCGGACAGAATCAGGAGGCGGATCGAGCGGCCATCGACAGGCACGACGAACGTTTCTAATGATCGGGCCAACTCCGCCTCTGATTGGTCCCAGATGCACCCACGTGTGGCACTGAAAGATTTCTGCCAGACAGGGCACGCCCCTCGCCTACGCCCAGCCAGGGGGGCGCGCCAGGGCGCAAACCACTATCTTTCCAGAAATCGTAAAGCACCGCAAGCTCCGCCGGCACCTGTAAGCGAGTCGGCGAGTCCTACTGCAGAAGCGACCGGCCAATACGTCAGGGATCCACCTCGCAGAGGGTTTTTTCTCCAAAGAGGGCGTTCAGGCATACCGGGCGCGTCAGGCGTAGCTCGTCAGCTTCTGCACCAAAGGAGGCCTACGAGCTGGCCTCGGGCAGACTGCGACTCCAGCCAGGTCCGGCGCAGGTCCGACGCGAGTCTGTCTGGGGTATGGACCCAGTTTGCGCACGAAATCCTAGCGCAGCCCCGGCGTAGCCACCGTAGCCGGGTCTGCCAGCCGCCCGCATTTATTACTGCCCAGCGCACGCCCATTTCTTGGCCTTTCCCTCCAAACTTCTTTCCGACACTTCTGTCACCCACTCCTGTCTTATCGAGACTTGGCATCGAGCTCGACGACTTGGCGCCGTACACGCACACCACCGCGCGCACCCCCCAAGCTAGCTTCCAAGCAAAAAGCACACCTATTCTCGTCCTCGCCAAGACCACCGCCCAAAGCTCTACAGGATGTTCCCTCCTGAGCTCCGCGACGAGGACCGTCTCCCTGCGGGCGAGCAGAAGGTCGACTTCTCGCAGAAGCACCCTCTCTTCAACGACCTTTGCCCCCAGGACTCTTACACTGAGGAGGGTGTTTACTGGGTGAGTAGCGGCAATCCAGCCGGTAGGCGGCGGCGACGTCAGCGCCTTCGAGAAAGTTTGCTACACGCGTCTTCCTCGCACCGCACGTTCCAGCCAGCCGGCGGCGAACTAGCCAATCCATCCTGTATGCAGCCAGCTGACAATCCAGGCCGACCTGCCGTTCAAGCAGCGTCAGCGTTGGGTGAACCGCCAGGCGACCGCCGAGTGCAAGCGTGAGCTCAAGGTCGTCTGGGAGATGTTCAAGAACGACCCCCTTTCGCCCTTCACCGCCTACTGCCGCCGCTACGTCGTTACCGGAATGGGCATGTTCACCGAGGGTTACACGATCTGTGAGTTTCTCTCTCCTGCCATCATGTGCTCCATCCTGTTTCCATTGTTGCGCCGGCAATTTTCGACAGGTGCCTCTTTCGCCCCAGTGGTTAAATTGAGGTATGCGCTTGCTGTGAATGGGCTAAAGTGGTGCGCCCTGCCACTTCTGTCATTCAGCGCCGATCCACTGCACGGGAACGTGCGTGCACAGCCAGCCGGCGCTAGTGCTATCTGCCGAACCCCGGGGAAGTCACCTCGCACCCCACGGCCCGCGGCTCAAGCGCCGATCCAGAACAAAGAAGCATCATTCATGGCGCACATGGCACGATCTGTCTGAATCAGCCGCTAACTACCACCAGTCTCTATCGGTAACATCTCGTCGCTCTTCCAGTCGGTCTGGCCCGAGTGCTGGAAGACCCACGAGGTCTGTGAGGCCAACTGGGTCGCCGGTGTCTCATACATCCAGATCATTGGTATCATTTGCGGTCAGATCGGTGTCGGTTTCGAGGGTGACTGGATTGGTCGCCGTGTTGGTCTCGTCCAGGACGCTCTTGTCATGGCTCTCGGTCTCGTCATGCTTACCGCTTCGTGGGGTACCACCCTTAACGGTTGGGTCATCTGCTATGCCTGGTCTCAGTTCGTCTACACCCTCGGTGTCGGTGGCGAGTACCCCATGACTTCCACCACCGCTCTCGAGGCCAAGACCTCGTCCTCTGGCTCTTCGCAGACCGACGACAAGCTCCACCGTGGCCGCAACGTCGTTCTTGCGTTCCTCATGCAGGGTTGGGGCCAGCTCCTCAACCAGGGTCTCCTGATTGTCATGCTCCTCATCTTCCACGGTGGCTCGACCCCGCCCTACTCGAAGACGACCGCTCAGTGGACGTTCCGTCTCTCGTTCGCCTTCATGATCCCCCCTACCCTCTGGCTCGCCTACCACCGTTACTACAAGCAGACCTACTCCTCGGCCGCTCTCCAGAAGTCGAAGAAGAACGCTCGTGTCAACCAGTCTGGCTACGACATTCAGTCGCTTCGCCTCGTTGCTACCCACTTCGGTGGTCGTCTCATCGGTACGACCATGGGCTGGCTCACTGCCGACTTCCTCTTCTACGGTGCTAAGCTCTTCGCCTCGTCGTTCATCAAGGTCATCACCCCCGGCTCCAAGTCTGTCATGACCGGATGGCTCTGGAACCTGCTCAACGTCGGTGTCTCGCTCGTCGGTTACTATCTCGCTGCCCTGATGGTCGACCACAAGTTCTACGGACGCAAGCGCATGCAGTCTATCGGCCTGCTGTTCTGCGGTATCCTCTACCTCCTCCCCGCCATCTGGTACACGCAGCTCCGCTCGCGCGCCCACATTGCTGGTTTCCAGACGATCTACTTCCTCGCCTCCTTCTTCCAGCAGTTCGGTCCCAACTGCACGACCTTCCTGCTTGCCGCTGAGGTCTACCCCATCTCGGTCCGTGCCACTGCCCACGGTATCTCGGCTGCCTCTGGCAAGATTGGTGCCCTCATGCCCGCCGTCATCTACAACTACATTGACGACCACACCAAGTTCTGGGTTGTGTGCTGGTTCGGATTCCTCGGATGGATCGTCACTGAGATCTTCATCCCTGACGTTACCGGCCTCGACCTCCGTGAGCAGGACCGCTACTGGGCTTTCGTCCGTGAGGGCCGCGCCAAGGACTACCACGGTATCGCTGTCAACCCCCGCCACCTGTCCCTCTTCGAGCGTGTTGTCCTCAAGCGTCACAAGGCTTACGACCCCGAGCTTGACCGCCAGAGCCGCATCAAGGAGCTCCGTGTCATGTGGGAGGCCCGCCAGCAGCAGAAGGCCCTCGAGGAGCCCGGACAGACCATCATTGTTCCCGCCGAGGACGACGAGCTTTCGTCCAACGCCGAGTCGTTCTTCGAGAAGGAGTTCAAGCACGCCGAGCTCAACGACGACTTCCCGCATCCGTCGCACGACGACCAGCTCCAGATCCAGCGCCAGATCACCCGCCAGTCGATCGCCGATGCCATCGGCGACCACCACAACGAGAAGCGCTAAGGCTCTCTCATAGATCCCGGCGGATCTTCGCACGCCACTATACAATGCGCTAGGCAATCTCATTAGATTAGTTTCATTCTCCTCATCATAACGCTCATCATATTCCAGCTCTCAGCAGCTCTGTAATGTATTCATTAGTGCACCGAAAGGTTAAGCTTGCAGTGGGCTCTGTCTTCTCACACTAACTGAATTAACGATCGCTGGACATCGCTAACAGCAGATCGGTGGATCGGACCGTCATCTGGACTCTGATCTGGAGATCGACTTGCGTCTGGAAATTTCAGAAATTCTCACGAGCTTAGAGCAACGCTCCACGCATGACAGGAAAACTCGCAAAACTTCACCTCTCCGCATACCGACCAGGACTGGATGGCGGCGGCACTAGCCGTTCTGACGCAATTCGATCCCTCGATCTCCGCGCTCCAACTCCGTTCCGGCTCTCGGGCTCGGGCTCCGGCCCCGACGCCGCTCTGCCCCCGGGGGCTCGCGCAGCATTCCGCCGAAGCCAATGGTCCGAGGCAAGGCAGGAAGGCGCAGCGATGCCGGCTTTGGACCTCAGGACGGGTGAGCGCGGCGGGGCGAGTTCGATGGGGAGAAGCGGAAGAGCATGCGGAGCCAGCGGGATAGGAAGGCAGTGTGGCTCTGGAGTGACGCAAGACGCAGCTAGCTGGTCCTTTGGCGTAAACTTGACGCAATGCAGCATGAACACTGAACGGCGCTAGCCAAGGTCTGACGCATCTCAGCCATCGCGCGGCAGGGGGGCTCAGTCCAGTCGCTATGATAACCCAGAGCCACTCCGCAGCTTCACTTGTCTGACCACAGAAAAACGTAGACGAGCTCGCCTGCTCGCTTGCTCCAATATGCCCAGCGAGCTGTCTCCGACGGCAATGTGAAGGTCCAGAAGGACGAAGGCACGATTCACAGCAACAGGTTTGGAGAGTAGCACGTTCGTGAAACGTGTGTGCTGAAGGTGTGGTGTGGTGTGGCAGCGAGCACCCTCGGTGCAGATGTCCGTCTCGGCACCGGCAGGGGGCTTCGGTCAGCGTGCCTTGCTCTTGTATCCTTGTATCCTGGTGTGCGTGAAACAGGTCATTCGAACGTGTGGAGCGAGCGAGCGAGTGCACGAATTGAGGCGGTATTTCGCGCCGATCACATTGATCACATTACGACAGCACGCGGGCGCCTCATGCCTCCTCCGTCCGAGCGGCATGGGCGGCATCATCGGCACGCGGAAGCGAATGACACGAATGGCACGAATGGGCACGAAACTTGGCACGGGTCGGCATCTCTTAGACTTTGGGTGGCACACGCTCCGAGACCATCTTAGCTCCACATATAGAGTCAAGCGACCCTGCAACTCCACCGTGCCTGTCCAGTTCGGCTCTGACAATGCCACGTTCGTGAGTTCTTACAGATGCGTACTCCTGCTGGGCGTGACTGTGGCACAGAAGGGGATGATGGGGCCGATTGCGCGATCGGGGGCTGCGTTGCTCCGCGTCGCACGGGTGATGGGGATGCGAGTCTCGATGTTCGATTTGGGAACGTGTCGAATGTCTTGAGGTTGCGACACTCCTCCTTCGACCTAGAAGCTCTCCCCCCCAACGGAACCTCGAGACTCGTCTGATACTGCTGTGTGAGCTTCATCCCGGTACTAACATGGAACGGCGGTGGTCAGCGGCCGGGCCGCTTGCGAGCATTTGCCGTGGACGAGGAAGAGACGCGCGACCATCAAGTTTCGACCGTGTCAATTGCGCTGAGCCCGGCACGGCGCGGTCTGGAAAGCGCTGACGCTGACGCTCTGATCAAAGACGATAGCATGACCCCCGATGGACTAACGCCCGATAACGTCCTAGGGATATCACCACCAGGCGAGCGAGTTAGCCACCGATAGCTGAGATTGCTCGCGGGGGCAAGCCAGGGGTTTGAACGTCCTGCCGCGACCACTTCGAGAACAGGGAAGGAAGTGTTCAAGGAAGCACTGCATCGGATATGGGAACTCTACCCCTCACCTGTCGCGTCCTTGTGCGGGGTGATTCTGTCGCTCTCGATCAACCCCCGTCCTCCTGCCCACTCGCTGCCAGGACCAGCCTGTCTGACGATGGCTGGGTTCAGCTATGAGAACCGAAGGGGGATTCGAGCTTTACCTTTCTGGACCGAATTGGCCTGTGGCAGATGGACCGGAGGACTTGTTGCCGGCATCACACTGACGATTAGCTGTGAAGGCCCGTCGCAGCTCACTCACACCGCCTCTGCTGACTGCTGATGACGCCACGGACAAAACTTGCCGGCGCGGTCAGTCGTTACTCGGCTCAGTTCATGGAAGAGCAGGTACAGGCTTTCGCAACGCCCGATCTGAGATCAGCTTCACTCCAAGCGACGATCTAGCTCACCCTTGCACCAACCCACTGGCGGAGCCTTCTGTTTAGAGGCGCCGATGCGAGCTACGCGACAAGCCGTAGAAGCGCCAGCACGCAGCGACTTCATTCAACATGTCGTTTAAGGCTAGGGTTTGCCTGGGCCGACATCGAACTGGGCCAAAGACGGAAGCCCTGGAGTCAGCTTTCGAACCATTTGCGACCAGCTCACCGGGTCGTCGCGAGTCCGGGGCGCTTTCCCTAGGAAAGGTGCCCGCTCACTCCGTCCATTGGCCGTGCCGGTACTAGCTTCAACTTCATCGCTGATCTTAGCTAAAGCGACTCCCCCCTGAGCTCACCACAATCACCCCTTCGGTTTCAAGGCAGCACTGACAACTCTTGGGCTGTCCCACGTCGCCCCCAGGAACGGCGAAGCGCTACAGTGTCTGCAGATGGCTCGTTAGCCGTGGATCCATCAGCGTCATTGACCTCGCCTTGTTGTCTCGGACGATGGGGGCAGGCTGAGCAGTTGCAGAAGCGGAGGCTGGGGACAACGCGATTGTGCTACGTCCTGGAAGTCAGCTTGTCAAGGCAGCGAAACGAACCAAGCTCACCCTGCATCCTGCCATTTCCCCGCGGAGAAGCGTCTGGCGTCAGCTTCCGCAGATACCCGCAACAGCTCACGCCCTCGGGCCTGCTTCCTGTCAACCTCAACTGGTGGGGTGCTGTAAAGCGGGTGTTCCTTGTTGATTGAGATGGCCCGAAGGTCGGGTGACAGTAAAGGGTAGGACTGGCTAGTGAGAAATCGAGTCAACCGCTGCTTAATTATGCACCGTCTAGCGCAGCCGCGTGAGCTGGGCTGACAGCGCTTATGAAACGCACACTGCGCCCTCTCTGGCAGGTCGAGACCTGCCCAAGAAGCACTCGGTACGCTTCCATTGCGCCCCAGCGTTGTAGCCCTCAAGTATCTTGGCGTTCGTCCTCACGGTCCCCCCGAGCCAGTGCGATAGTGCACAGCAGCTGTTGTGTATGATCTGCAAGCTAGCCGTGCTTGTGCGGCTCGAGCACATCTACGTGTTGCTCGGAAGGCAATCTCGCGTCCTGCAGCACACCGTCTCTTCTGTGGCAACAATCCTGCCGCGCCAGCTGAGGGCTCTCTCCGAAGCTCCAGTAGCTCTGGGAGATCTGGGAGAGCTGGGAGAGGCCCTTCGGGGCCCGTGTCTAAGAAAGCTCGCGAGCCACACCTCCCGGGCTTGGGATGTTGAAGGAAAGGTGTCTCAGCTAACGAGCGGTGATCACCAGGCCAGGAGGACTTCTTGCACTTCCTCATCGCAGCCCTCTTGTACCACTTCGTATGCTGACCACCGCCTCGTGCCACACTGTCCGCGATGTTTGTTGAGCTGGATGTCCGTTGCAGCGCGTGCAGCGTCTTCGTCCCTCTCAGTCTCCGAGAGTTTATGTGTGTCAGCAGACATACGCTATGCATACACCCAACTGCCTGAACATTGCCAGTGCCACCCCTGCACGCATCTCAGCTTCAAGGAACCTCCTCGCAGCACGCAGCGAGCGACGTCAGACCCATCCTCGTACCCCGCAGAGCGGCGTTCTGATAAGCTTGTAATTGGATTAGGCTCAAGTCCTAATGCGATGACGACAGATTGCGGTGCGCACCGCAATGGCTGGTTGGTTGGCGAACATTGCCCTTGGCCCCACGTGAGTGTGGGGAAGTGTGGGATCTGCGCAGCAGGACGTGCGCTGATAGACGGCGCTGGGTGGTTGATACCGGTTACCCGGTGGAGGTTGTCAGTGTCAGCTGCCCACGCCGACTGAGGGTTGGGAAAAGAGCGCTGACGAGGTTGCTATCGTACTCTCATCTATCTCACACGACGCGTACTCGACTGTCTCAGATCAACGCCGACGCCGAGAGTGCCGACTCCGAGACCGACAACTCCACAGATATCGACCGCCCCGGCCCACAGATAAGAACCGCCGGCCTTCCCCGCCCACCGCTTACTCACCCACACGACATGGGCAACAACGCCTCCCGCCCCGGCGTCCCCGGGCGCCGCCGCTCCGCTCCTGCCGGTACTGGCGAGGAGCCCACGATGCCTCCTCTGGAGCACTCGCAATCCGAGCAGCCGTACCGGGACGACGACGCGGCGTCGATCGCGCCTTCCTTCGCGGGCACGCTCGCCAGTATCTTCAGCGAGCGTACCGCGGTCTCCGACCGAACCATGCTCGACAATGCCTCGCTCTACTCGTCGACGGGCACGGTTCTCGACGAGGCGGTTGTCCCTCCCTCCGACGCGATCCGGGACGGCATGGCCTCGGCCATGGAAGCGCTGAACGGGGAGAAGGGCTGGTCGGCGACAGTCGCCACTGCGCAGCTCGAGTGGCTTGCGCAAGATGCTGGGCGCCGGGCGCGCTGGCTCCGCGCCGAGGTGGCGATGCAGCAGCGCCGCGCGAAGCGGAACAAGCGCGGCATGGCACGCCGCCACTCGGGCGGGAAGCAGCAGGTGTTCAACCTCTCACTGGCGGGCGAGGAGAGGGCGAAGGAGGAGGACGCGGCCGTCGTCCGCCGCCTGGCGATGGAGAGGATGGCGGGCCAGCACCGGACCCGCTCTGAGGAGTTGGCAAAGGAGATGCTCGAGCAGGCGCTGGCCGAGAACCCTCTCCCGCCCCCCTGTGAGGAGGCCGATGAGGAGCGGAACGCGCTCGAGCTCGCCGTCCGAGGCGCGCACAAGGAGGCGCGCGACCAGTACCACGCCACCTGCAAGGAGGCGGCGGACGCACACGCCACGGCCCTCAGGAACGCAGACATCGCACACGGAAAGGCATACTCGGCCGCCAAGGTGCGGTACATGGGCGCGACGCTGCGGGCCCCCGACCTCCCGACCGGTGGCACGAGCATGCGCCAGGCGAGCGTCGGGCCCATCTGGGAGTAAACGGAGGCAGAAATGAAGTGTACACACGCACGCTCAGCAGCGAAGGAGGAGAGAGAGAGGTGGCGACACCACCGTGTAGCGATCAAGTGGTTGTACCCGGCAGAATCGGAAATGTATCAGGACTCGACTCATCAGTACTTTGTTGCACAGACTGCCATCCTGACTGAAGCCCCTCTGACCCCCTATGCTACGCTACGCTCGCTGCGCTCGCTCTGCATGTCGTGCACATGAAGATATTGCATTGGATGGGATTAATTTACATTTTCTTTCTGCTGACAAGCTAAACCCAGATATATTTTTGATGAAGAGACAGACTGTCACGCTCGCGCGCCCAGACGCTCGCTACGCTCGCTTCTCTACTTGATCTCCTTGAGGACCGAGTCCATCTTGTCAGCGAGGATGGCGACGTGCTCGGGGCCGAAAGTGAGGGTGGGGCGGAGACGGACGGCGCGGTCTCCGCATCCGCCAATCTGGACGCCGGCAGCACGCATCTTGCCGAGGAACTGGTCGCGCTTCTGCTGGTTGGCAATGTCAAAGGCCTGGAAGGTGGCCTCGTCCTGTCCACGGTGGTTCTCGACGAGGCCCTGGTGGCGCGAGAAGACGTCGCTGAGCGCGGCAGTGAGCACGTCGCCCGTCGCGCGCGTGTAGTTGACGAGATCATTGTCCTTGATGATGCGGATGATCTCGCGCGCCTGCAGCGCGCGCATCGGGTCGCCCATCCACGTGTTGTAGTTGCGGTACGGCGCGTTGGGGCGCGTCTCGGCGCGGTGGAAGATGCCCGCCTGCTGCATCTTCTTGGAGAAGGTGACAAAGTCGGGCGCGTCCTCGGCGCTGAGACCCCACTTCTCGTGCGCCCAGAAGGTGCCCGTGGCGCCAACGCCGGTCTGCACCTCGTCCGCGATGAAGAAGGCACCGTGCTTGCGCGCGATCAGGCGCAGGGAGCGGAAGAACTCGGGCGACGCGTGGCAGTCGCCGCCCTCCGAGAGGATGGGCTCGATGATGACCGCCGCGACGGGCTTGTGCGCCTTGTGGCGCACGAGAATGTCCTCGTACTCGGCAAGGCAGCGCGCCTCCTCGGCCTTGTTCGCGGCCTCGTGCTCGGAGAGCGGGTACTGGAGCTCAGGGAAGGGGGCGACGGGCCAGTCGAACGCGGGAATGTCGATCTTGTGGATAGCCTTGGAACGGGTGGCCGAAAGCGAGCCGAACAGACGGCCGTGGAAGCCCTGCTTGAACGAGAGGACGCAGAGCTCGGGGGCTCCAGGGGCCTGGTTCAGCATGCACGACTCGAGCTCCTCCTGCGTGAAGGGGGCGTCGGCCGAGCCACGCTCACGCTGGCGGTAAGCCATGAACGCCGCCTTGAAGGCGGTCTCGTTGGCAGACGATCCACAGAGGGTGGTGACGAGGTGGTCGAGACCCTTCGGGCGGACAGTCAGGAGACCCGTCTCGAGGACCTCGGCCCAGTTCTTGGGCGGGAACGAACCAAGCGCCGGGCGGTTAAGCGCGGCGTGGATGAACTCGGGCTGTGGGTCAGTTCAGGCTCGATGAGGATCGCAAACTCGTGTCGAGTGCGGTGCCTGCCGTGCAAGCTGGTGAGCCAGTGCAACCCGGTATCCTTCTCAGTGCGACAAACGACGAACGGGGCGCCGCGGTGACGTGGGTGTACCATGGGTGCAGATACCGGAGGAACCGTCTGCTCAAGAGCGGAGGAACTCTTGTCGCACGACCGGCGCACAGCCGGCACACGCCGAGGCACGCGGCACGAGTACGCTAGGTAACTCACAGTCTTGGCGAGCTCGATCATCTGGGGAACGTTGTAGCCGAGAGCAGTCGACGAGATCTGGCCGAACACATCAAGGAGCGTGTTGCCGTCGGCGTCGACGAGGTAGTTGCCGCTCGACTTCTCGTAGTCGCCGACGACGACGTGGGTGCGCGAGTCCTGGATCTTGTCGATCTCGGCGGACTGGACGTCAGTTGAATGCATCGACGTGACAACTCACGCAGGCCTTGCTAGCGGGGCCGGGGACGGAGTCGGTGTGGACCTCGGGCTTAGCGGGCTCGTTGGGGATGAGGTCGCGGGAGGAGAAGGCGCGGACGGCGCCGGAGCGGGCGACGCGGGCCGCGCGGAGGGAGGAGACAGTCGGGCGCATCATCTTGAGTGACACGAGAGACAGGGGGGAGAGTGGACGGTGACAAGAAAGGGGCGGGGTCGGGCAATGGGACACGGGTTTTATCAGCGCGGCGTTCTTACGACGAGCAGCGGCCAGCGACTAGCCCATCAGCGTCTGGCTGAGTGCGTGCAGGCTGTGGATGGCGCTGGTGGAGGTTGTGAGTCGCTGATACACGAGCTCGGCTAGACGCTCGGCTCGAACTGATTGGCTGAGGAATCAGGTTCAGGCGGATCCCTCACCGGCCTGGGCCGTAATCGCATACCGCTCTGCTCTCGAACCTGGGCCCCCGCGATTTCTGTGCTTGCCGCGTCGTATATTTGGTCTGCCTCTCCCCCCACCGATACAACCAGGCGCTCGTATCGGTCTAGACGGGTACGACTCTTGCCCACGCAAAGCAGGTATGCATGCGACGACTCAAAGTCTGCCCAGATATCGAACATAAGTCAGAAATGGTCAAATTCTCGACTACTACCACTCGAGTCGTGAGTCACTGCCTGTCAGGGAATTTTGCGTCCAGACCACCAGGCGGCGGCCTTTGTTGGGCCTTCTGACACTTCTTTGTTCATCTCTCACACCTAATCCAGTGAATAACTACAACTAAGGCTGATGAGCCTTGCGGCGCAGGCTGTTCCAGAGCGGGGCATGAGCGTCCCGCGGCGTCGGTCGGGGCCTCGCCTCCCTCTTGGCCACCACGCTCCGCATCTCTCCCCGTCTCCGGCTCCCCGGCCCGATGTGCCCAGAGCACTCAGTTCTTCGGGTCGTGAGCGACAACCTCAATCTCCGCCTTCATACCCGGAATGCCGAGGCGGGTGACCTCGACGCAGGTCCAAACGGGGCAGTGGTCCGGCATCCACTTGCGGAAGTTGGCGATCATGAGGTCCATGGCGGCATCGTCGAGGGTGAGATGGTACGAGCGCACGCGGAAGACCTGTGACCAGCCCTTACCGCCTGCAGACTTGAGCGCGAGCTCGACGTTCTTGAACGCCTGCTCGATCTGGGCCTCGACGTCCTCCGAGATCGCATTCGGGGGCTGCGGGTCCCAGCCGCCTGAAGGGGTCAGTTTGCCGGAAGCAGAAGAGGGCGCGGGAAGACAATGGCGTCTGTCTGAAGGCACACGGGGATGAGAATGGGAATGGGGAAGCGGGTATGGAGGTACTGATGAGGGAAGCCACTCACCCTGTCCCGAACACTCGATGTTGTCGCCAACCCGCACGGCCTGCGAGTAGTGGTACTCCTTGAGCGCCGTCTGGCCCCATCCCTCGTACGCGGAGAACTTGACGGTGGACTTGTCAAAGGTCATTGCTGCTGCTGCTGTCTGTCTGTCGATGTGGGGCCACGTCTGGGGGTTCATTTGGCTCTATAAATGCCTCTGCATCTCTCACACCACATTGAACGGGAGCTTGGCAGCCCGTGCCAAGGTGCGGTTCTCACCCACATCCTCCGTCGTCGGTGGACTAGCATCGCGGCACACTCGGCAGACGTGTTCGTAGTGGGGGTGAGTTGGGGCACCTGGGGACCGTCAGCGTGGTTAGCATGATCAGCATGTGAGTTTGAGCACGTTGCTTGCGGTGTCTTGCAGCTACATCCGGGCTCCCATCACACTCGTAGCGCTTCCGCCGCTCAGGCCGCGGCGTGTCCGCACCAGTGTCCAACAGTTCGCACCCGTGCTCGGTCCCAAATTCACCGATCGTGCTTGCTCCAGATCAGCTGAAACCCGGGGGAAGTCACCACGCGTGGTCCGCTGGCAGTCTCCTGGCAGAAGCTGGCAGAGGCGGACAGACATGCCAAGCCACGACAAGCATGTGGGGGCTTGGCAACGGAGGCATCGCGGCGATCAAGGGCCCCGTGAGCGGTAGTCCGGCGCGGGTTGCGCGGCACGGCCTGGTGGTGCGGCGGTGACAAGACACCGAGAGTCCGGCACCGGAGAGGAAGAGGAAGGTTGACCGTGAATCGCAGGAACGGCTAGCTATGAAGTGGTGGGGATGCACGTGACAGCATGCTGCACATGATGTTCGGGAGCAGTGCCGCGCGAGAAGCACGTTGTGGGATGCGATAGCAGCTGGACTACGACGTATGCATAAGACAAAGGAGCAGGGGTGCAGCTGTATAAGCCCTAGAGATTGCGACATGGATAGAGGACCGCCGGTGGCCTTCGGCCGATTCGGCCGCTCCGGGGACGTCTACTTCGGGTCGTAGGCCACAACCTCGATCTCGACCTTCATGGCAGGCAAGCCGAGCTGCGGCACGCCGATACAAGTCCACAGCGGCTTGTGGTTCGGGCACCACTTCCTGAAGTTCTCAACCATGGCGTTGAGCGCCTTCTCGTCCAGGGGGATATGGTACGAGTTAACACGGTAGACTTGGTCCCAGCCCTTTCCGCCAGCCGTGCGCACTGTCAAGTCAACGTTCTCGAAGGCCTGAGCGATCTGCTCCTCGATGTCGTCCGGGATCGCGTTTGTGGCCGGGTCCCATCCGCCTCATTGTTAGCTTGGCAGGACTTGTGAAGACGATGCGAGGTTGAGCGATTGGTAAGAGCGCAACGCACCTTGGCCGGCGCACTCGATGCGGTCACCGAGACGCACCGCCTGCGAGTAGTGGAAGTTCTCCAGCGCGTACTGGCCGTATCCGTCGTAGGAGCTGAACTGTAGTGAGGACATTGTTGTTGTTGCGCGATATGGCAGCTTAGAGAGGTTCCGGATTCTTAAATATGCGGCATACCGTCATGACGTCGATGGAATTGCAACCAGTGAAGCAGCTGGCGGCAGCCAGAAAGAGCACGTGAGCATGTTCTCGAGAGCACGTCCTACAGCAATTCGACAGTGCTTAGTGAGTGGACGGGTCCTGATAGTGCTTTGTAAGCCATCGGAGAGTTCAGACGTGCTCAGCCCTCAGTCGTTGCACCTCGCGCGGTCCATGATGATTCCGCAGTGCAAGCGGCGTGATGGGGCCCATCCGTCCCTCCCGCCCGCCACAGATAGAGCTCGTCGAGGGTGACTACGCGGCAGTCTGGATGTCAGCATCATAACAATGGCCTGGACATCGATTTTGCTGATGGCCTCGTGGTAAAGACCTGCAAGAAAGCTGACCTGATTGTCCCAAAGTTCTCAGTTCTGCAGTGAGTGCCAGGTGAACAATTTAACGGCAGCTAGACCGTACATCTGGGAACTGGTTTGCCCAATGGCCCGATGGACTGCTCGTGAGCATATCGCTAGCGATAGGAGTCAGTCGACAAGTTGAGAGGTTTCTGCAGTGCGATAGTTGTCTTCTAGTGCGATAACGCGGGTGTCTCTGTACCGAGACGGCCACAAAGAAGCGGCGACCAGTGCCGAATTCACCGAAGTCTCCCCGGCCAATCTCGGCGTCTGCCACTCAGAGTACCCAGCGGCCAGCGGTCGTACGCCATGCTCGCTCTCCCAGCGAAACCGCGGCGGCCTGCGCCCTTCGGTGGCATTCGAATTGAGCAGACACGACAGCGTCGTCCATGGTAGTGGTCGGGGGTTGCTTCCCTCGGCAGAGATACCGCGGCCCACCCGGCTCCAGGCCAGAGTCGGGTATCGCGTTCCTAGCACGCCACTGCCCACTATCTTTCGGCTGAGGCCGACGCGCCCAGCCGGCCAGGCCACGGCCAGTATGCACGAAGACCATGCGGCCCCACAGCGGCCCGCTATCTGCCGCCCCGAGGTCGCTCACATATAGCTTGCTTCTTCGGCACCACCTCCGTCCTCCGCCCTACACACCCCGATACACATCACACAGCATGACTGTCAACCCTCAGGACTGGGAGGCCGTCTCGGCCGGCAAGCGCGCTGCGCGCGACGCGCTCATCCCCAAGGCGTGGATCATCAAGGACGTCGAGGAGCGTAACGTCCAGAGCGTCGCCGAGAGCTGCGGCGTCCTTTCGCCCGAGGAGATCAAGATCACCGACACTGAGGCGCCTGAGCTTGTCAAGAAGATGGTCAACAAGGAGCTCACGTCCGAGCAGGTCGTGACTGCGTTCTGCAAGCGCGCGGCCGTTGCCCAGCAGCTCGTGAGTGCATGATGCGAAAGAGCGTGGCCGTCCCGCAGCGCAACAATGAGCGCCCCTCTGCACTCGAACCCGTACTAACGACAGACCAACTGTCTGACCGAGATCCTGTTTGACGACGCGATTGAGCGCGCCAAGGCGATCGACGCCGCTTACGCCGAGACCGGCAAGCCCGCTGGACCTCTGCACGGTCTCCCCATCTCGCTCAAGGACAACTTCAACGTCAAGGGCGTGGACACGACCGTCGGCTTCGTTGCGTGGGCCAACGACCCGGCCTCCATCGACTCGGAGCTGACGCAGCTTCTGCGCGAGCAGGGTGGCATCATCTTCTGCAAGACGAACGTCCCGACTGCCATGATGATCGCCGAGAGCTACAACAACGTCTGGGGATACACCGCCAGTCCGTGGAACCGCGACACCTCGTCTGGAGGCTCCAGCGGCGGCGAGGGTGCCCTTCTGGCCTTTAAGGGTGAGTTGCTGTCGAGCCCGATCGCAGAACTGACAAATAGGATCTCCCCTCGGCGTTGGTACCGACATCGGCGGCAGTATCCGTATCCCCTGTGCCCTCTCCGGCATCTATGGCCTGAAGCCGTCCTTCGGCCGTTTCCCGACATACGGCGCCCGCTCCGGAATGCCGGGCCAGGAGGCCGTGCGCTCCATTAACGGGCCGATGTCGGCTTCGCTCGAGGCGTGCAAGCTGTGGTGCCGCACTGTCGTTGGCTCGCAGCCGTGGCTCCGGGACCCGTATGTCGTCCCGATCCCCTGGCGCGAGGTCCAGCTCCCCGAGAAGCTTTGCTTTGGTATGATTGTTGACAACGGTCTCGTCCGCCCTCTGCCGCCGGTGCAGCGTGCGCTCCGCGAGACCAAGGCTGCTCTCGAGGCGGCAGGCCACAAGGTCGTCGAGTGGACGCCGTACGACGCGGCCGAGAGCAAGTCGCTCCTGGAGCGCTTCTTCGCCGGCGACGGTGGTGCGAAGATCTCCGGCTTCATCAAGGAGGGAGGTGAGCCGTGGCCCAAGGGACTGGAGGCTTTCGAGGCGGCCGCCGAGCACTTCAAGGACAAGCCGCCCGCGGTCGGCGACCTCTGGACGCTCCAGGCCGAGCGCTCCGCTTATGCGAAGAAGGCGCTCGACCACTGGATGGCCTCTGCCGAGCTCACCGGCACTGGACGGCCGTTCGACGGTGTCATCTCGCCCGTGTCGGCCTACGCCTCGTGCCCCCGCTACACGTACGAGCATGTCACGTACACGTCCATGTGGAACATCACCGACCAGAGCAGCGCCGTCTTCCCCGTCTCGTTCGTCACGGAGCAGGACGAGAAGGTCCAGATCCATGACTTCCGCGACGACGTCGAGAAGCGCATCTGGGAGAGGTACGACCCGCAGGAGGTCATCGGCGCTCCCGTTGGTCTCCAGGTTGTCACGATGCGCCTCGAGGAGGAGAAGGCGCTCGCCCTTGCTGAGGTCGCCGCCAAGGCCCTGGGTAAGATCTAGTCTGTAGTAGCATAGTAAACACATGAATTGAACACATCTTGGGATCACAAATCGCCGCATTGTCTCGGCCACCGACGATTGACAGCGCCTCCTCGGGCTTTGAACGAGCAGCCATAATCGGCCTGACCCATGAGCAGCACGCCTTGGCCAGGTGGGCTGAGACGGCAAACTAAAGTTGAACACCGCTCCTGCCTGGCTGCCTGGCCTGAGCCAAAACAGCTGATAGACGAGTTAGATAGACGAGGTCTCGCGTATCGAGAGTTCGCCGCAGTCCTGACTCCCCCACTCTATAGCACCGTATACGCTGTGGCGCCGCCTTGTCCATAGCGGGTTGAACTTCCGCCTAGCTCTTTCTCAACTGGCCCTTCTGCCTCTGAGGCGATTGCCCGCAATCTCTGCTTTGAGCTTTGGGACCCAATAATAAGACCTCTAAGCTATAGGATGATAGCGCCCCGATAACTAACTTAACACATAGATAGTCTGCAATTCAGAACTCTGATGTGGCTGTCGTGAACAGTTGTGGTATCAGTCCTACACGGCAGAAATTCTGATAAGTGGGCAAAAAACCCGCGACGAGCCTCAGCCACGACTCGGCAATCGCTCTCTTTAGCGCGCTGCAGCCGAACCGCAATCTGCACTTCCGTGCTGCCGCCGGCGTGGGGAGCGTGCGGGCAGCAGGTGGCTTTGCGGTTGCAGGTGGGCAACAGCCTGGGCGGCAGCACTGGCATGCAGAGGCGTTCGAGGTGAATTCTCGTCAGCTGGCGCACAGGCGCGCGCTCCCGTGCCACGGAGCGGTAAGGGCCCGGGACCCAACACCCGACCGCGGTTCTCCTCCACTTGGATCCTGAGCCCTCGTATCGTGCGATCGCACATGACCGGCTCTGCCCTCGCCCCTGCCGGGCTCGCCCTTGGGTCGCGTAGGCCTTCTGCCGCTGTAACAGAATGTAAAGTCATTCCGAACACTATCGCTGAACGCAGGAACGTAAGAGAGCGGGGCGGCTTGCTCCGCAACACAACTCATACACGACTTAGACGCGCCGCGCATTTGCGCATTTGGGCAGTATTTACTCGGTCTGGCGCCGCAACCGAGCGATCCGCGACTCGAAGATAACACCCCGGCGATTCCGGCAAGGTTCTGGCTCCCAGAAGGCGTTCGGCCGGCATACAAGCCCACACATAAGAAACACGTCTGCCAATCTTTCGAATCGTTCTCTCGCATCTTCGCATCGCGATCAAACAGAGCTGGGACTGGAGCTCCGCTCCGCAACCGAGTCCGTCGCTCCACATCGCATCACAGACCGCATCACATCACATATCCCCACGTCGACGCGCGCCCAACAGCGCATCGCACACTACCCGATCACCGAGCACCCCCGCGGATCCGACTCCACGAACCGAGACAACTCACGAGCACGATGGGCAAGACACAGCGCAAAATTGAGAAATTCTTCTGGGGCGAGCCGCCCGAGGACCCCAAGGAGCGCAAGCTGCTGTTCAAGCTGGACCTTGTCATTCTCTCCTACGTGTGTCTCTCGTACTGGGTCAACTACCTTGAGTGAGTCTTGCTTGTGCTTGGGTGAGCTGGTGCTCGAGAGGCGTCGCGAGGCTGGCGGGGGTGGGCATGAGGTGATGCGGTCATGTGGGCCATCTGCTCCACCGGTCAGCTGCCGCCGGATGCAGCGGCTGATGGGGGGCGGAAGCAAACTGTTCTGAAATTGGAGTATAGCCAAGCCGGCTGTGGGTTGGAGTGAAGGCACGTGATTTATCGCGTGGTTGTGGCGACTGAGCGTGGTTTGTGGTGATTTCGCACGGGGTCGTGGCTGCCAGCATCCAAAGCAATCACAACCGCTTTGCACGCTCTTCTGGCTCCATGGCGTCTCAGATTTCTATGGCAAGGGGATCCTCCAGCTCCCAAAATTGCAGCAGCTGACCTCAACAGCCGCACGAACTTGTCCAACGCCTATGTGACGGGAATGAAGGAGGACGTCGGCTTCGTCGGAAACGACCTGACGCTCGTGAACTCATGTTTCACGGCAGGCTACGTCGTAGGCCAGTGGCCTAGCGCGGTCATTCTGGCATCGGGCCGCATCCCACCACGTGTCTGGTTCCCGTTCTGCGTGTTCGCGTGGGGACTTTGCACCTTGGGACTTGCATTCGTTTCCAACCCCGGTCAGGTCATGGGAATCCGCTTCGTGATGGCTCTTTTCGAGGCTAGCACGTTCTCAGGCTCGCACTACATCCTTGGGTCATGGTACAAGGACTCGGAGCTCGGCAAACGGACGGCAGTGAGTGATTTTCCCGAATTTTCCGCCTTTTACCTTCCTTCCTTCATATCTCCCTCAATTCTTCATCAATCTTGATGATTCTTGGCTCTACGTGAAGCTGCTGACCCGAAAGGTGTTTGTGACAGCCGCGCAGTTCGGTTCGTTCTTTTCGGGAGTAATGCAAGGTTCTATCCAGAAAACGATGCACGGAAGGTCCGGTTTTGCTGGCTGGAAGTGGCTCTTCCTCATCGACTTTGCGATCACGGTCCCGGTCGCGCTGTACGGCTACTTCATGTTCCCGGACACTCCGCACACCACCAAGGCCTTCTGGCTCAGTGAAGAAGAGCGACAGCTGTGTTTGAAGCGACTTCCGCCGACGGAACACTATGTCATCACTTGGCCCCGGTTCCGCGCCTCGTGCATCAAGATCGTCACCACGTGGCGCTTCTACCTCTTCAGCGCCCTGTTCATGCTCAGCGCGACGTCGTTTGAGAAGGTTGGAGTGTACTCTGAGTGTCTGCTGTGGCTCAAGTCGATTCAGTGGAACCCGGTTACGCTGAACTACCTCGGTCTGACGCCTATTGCTTCCGCTATTCTGGGTGAGTCTTTGGAAGCCAAAGCGCGGGGCGTGCGCAAGCTGACGAGCGCAGGCACGTACATCCTGACTGTGTACTGCGACGCAACGGGACACCGCTTCTGGGCCAACGTGATCATGTACATCAGCGTTCTGATCAGCTCGATCATGATCCTCGTGTGGGACATCAGCACCGGCGCCAAATTCTTTGCGTACATCATTGCAGGTGAGTTTGAGACTTGGAAGCTCAAGAAGACAGAGGAGGAGACGGGAGGAGAGAATGGTGATTTTTGGCGCGATGGTGCCACGGCCGTGTGCCACTGATCCACTGGGCTGTGCTGCCACGCTGCCACGGCTTGGGGAGGGGTGGCGAGGAAGGCGAGGATGACGGGGCATGGCGAGGGAGACGCACTCGGCCGCAGTGTCTGTGCGTCCGTGCGTCCTTGCGCCCCTTGCGCCTCAGTCCACTCTGAGTCGCTGTCACTCGGCCACCGGGCACCGCCCACTGCCCACCAGCTCCCTCTCAGCGTGCCCAGCGACTGCTCGGGGTCGGCGGTCCTACGGTGAACCCCTCACGCCTTTCTTTCATCTCACTCCGTCCTATCATCCCCCTCTTCACACAACGACGACCAAACCCCACTAACGTGCAGGAATCGGATACGCAGGCCAAGCCTCCAACTTTGCGTGGGCGAACGCCTTGACGCGCGACGACGAGATGCTCCGCTCCATGACCCTCTTCAGCATGAACCTGTTCTCCAACCTCTGGGCGCTGTGGTACGGCATCGCGCTGTGGCCTGTCTCGCAGGCGCCCAAGTTCCGCAACGGCCAGATCGCCACGATCGCGACGGGCGGCGCTTCGGTGCTCATCGCCGCCGCCATCGTGTACTGCTCTCGCAGGTGGAAGCCCGACCTGCCCCAGGACCATGTGGCGCACGTCGAGGACACGGAGAAGGGGTATGGCGAGGACGTGTCGCAGGTCGACCATGTCGACCAGGTCGAGTTTGACAAGCGTCCTTCCGTCTGAACCTAAGGAACTGGAACTGGTGGAGAAAGAATGGAAAGGAGGTACGGGGCTACCCGCTCCACAGTGAGGAAAACTCTTGTCAATTGTTCGGGTTTATGGTTTATGCATCGTTGTCGTCTGCACAGCTCACTCATGCTGATGCACGGTCGTCTGACCGTCGTCGACCTGGTCTCGATCTCGGACCATCTGCTCCCCTCTACGGCCCTAGTGCTGCCATGCAACCAAGGCCCGGTCGAGATCACCCCTTCCCACTCCATCTGCCGGCGGTACGTAAGCTCCCATGCTCCGCATTCCACAATGACGCCAGCAGCTGCCCAAGAAAGTCTTATGAGTCATACATGTTTCTGCATCCTTTTACAGTTTCCAAGGTTCCCTACTATTGTTACTTATGACTTATTCTTGACACGGGCGCTCCCTATCGCGCCCTTTTTCCCAACCCTTTGATGGTTGTTACGTTTCTAGATTTTTATACATGATAGTTGCGATGTGGAGCGACCGCTTAGTCCAGGAACGGACGCGAGTTGAGGCGGTTCGCGACCTCCCACGGCGTCAGGTCCTCGGGGTCGTCGTCGTGGTAGAGCCAGAAGGCCTCCATCATCTGGCTCGCGGCACGGTTGTCGAAGCACGCGTGCGGGCCAAACTCGCTGAGGAGCTCGACGGTCGACTGGCGCATCGGGTCGTCCTTGGGGATGTGGAAGCCGGCAATGATGAGCGGCCACGTGAGCCAGACGATGCGGCCGTACATCGCGAGCATCTCCTTGGCGAGCTCGATGATGGCGCGGGCGGCGCTGTCGATGCGCGGGTCGTTGCTGCCGACGCCAAAGACAATGCGGAGGAGACGGATCTTGGTGGCGTGGCGGTAAGCAATGTTGCCGTACTGGGTGCGCGGGTGGAACGGCGTAAAGTTTGTCGAGTTGTCCCACACCTTGAGCTCGGTCAGGAGGCTGTTGGCCTGCTCCTCGAGCTCGGCACGCTCGCTGAGACGGGGCGTGCCGTCATTGGTGGTGGGCGTGCCGGTGCCCAGGATGGCAGCGGTGTCTGCGGTGGGCTCACCCAGCTCCTGCTTGGGCACGGGTGACAGGGTGTTGTTGTTCTGAGGGAACTTGGCCGTCACGCGCGGGGGCAGGCGAAGGGCCAGCGTCGAGATCTGCGACCCTGTCGTGGCCTTGTGCTCGGTGAGCATGTAGCCCCGTTCACGGACCCGTGCGATAAGGGAACACGCTCGAGCAATGAGGTCGACCATGCCGCGGGACATGCCGAACATCCGCTCAACGCTCTCCCACTCGTTCTCGTTGCTAGACCAAGTCTCGGCTTCGAAGAACCAGGGAGTGAAGGCGTCCCTCAGGATGGAGGGGGCAAGCTCCGTGGACATGCAGCCAAAGACATCACGGACCGCGAGCTGCTCCAGTACGAATCGGGAAGGCGACAGGTGGTCACGCGGCGAGTCGACCAGGAGCGCCTGTGCTCCACCTAAGCGCGAGATAAGAGAGAGCACAGAGGTAAGGAGCGAGTGCCAGGCTTCGTCGGCGGCCAATGACTGTGAAACGTCAGGATGAAATTACAAATAACGGGGCCGGGAGAGCCGCCTCCACTTACAGATGCGATGGTGCAGCTGAGCAAAGCGGCAAGAACCAGCTCGACCTCAGTCTTATCGACCGTCTTGGGCGTTCCGTCTGGACCCTCGAGGGCACATCGGACTAATTCGAGCACCCGGGGGCGGGTGGCCTGCGTGATGCGCCAAGCCCCTTCCTGATCGTTGGGGTTGGACACATAGCGAAGGTGCACGGCACCGACCGCGAGCATGGCTGTGCGCAGAGCATCGGCAGCGGGCGACACACTGGAGACCGTGTCAGCAGACTGTCCATCGAGGAGTAAGCCAAAAGCTCCGAATACTTACCCTGGCAAGTGAGTGAAGGCAAGAGGTGCGTGCACCGTAAGCCAAGGGTTCCATGGGTTATGTGGCGCTTCGAAGGCCAAAATGATGTGGACAGTTCGAGAGAGGTAGTGGCGCATGACCAGACGCTCGTCGCTGTGACGGTCAGCAAGTGGTGTCTAGGGCACGAAAAGACGGAGACAGGGTGTGCACATGGTGTGCTCCACCATCAGGTCCGCCGGACTTTGTGATACTCACACACTCGGGAAGTAAGGTTGGAGGAACGACCTGCGGGTTGTCAGCTCTCTGTCGGTACATGTGGGACGCACGGGTCCATCATCATTTCTGCACGCAGGTGGTGCGGAACAAGGTCGATTTCCCGCTCCTTGCCCTTGAGCGAGCCAATGATCGGGAGCGACGACACAAAGGTCTCCGGAGCATGGAACGGGAGCTTGAACTTGCGGCTCTTGGGAGGGGGCTCAGCAACGCTGTGCGTCCTCGGCTTGCGAGGACGGTTCTTCCTGCGCTGAACGGGGTCATCGGGCGGCCAGGTGCACTGTAGGATTGTCAGCAATGCTGCAAACATGACGGCAAGGCAGCTGGCTCACGTCACGGTGTCCGATCTGGCACTTCTCGCAGATCGGCCTGGACTCATCACACTTGACTTTTCGTCGACGGCAAGTGAAGCAGCCTGAACGGGAACGCTGACCTCCAGGCTCGGGGGCGGCAGGCTCCGGAAGCTCCCCGCCGAAGAGGGCGAGGAAAGGGTCGATGGTGATTTCTGTCGTAGCGGCAGCCATGGCTGGGGTGACGACAGATGGGGGAGGGGAACGGTAGGTGGTGAGGACGAGTGGTGGTGACGAAGGCGATCAATCGTTGCCTCGGGGATGGGCTCGACGATGACGATGCCGAAGGTTGCGGCTTTGGTGTTTGACTGTCGCTGAGCTGTTGAGAGGAATGAGAATGCAGAGAGGTGAGGATACGTGCGTGCAAGCGGGTAGTCAAAGGGGGTGTCAGGAGGGGAAGAAGCGATGTGGTTGGACGCTTGTGGAATAAGTAGTCTTCTGCTCGGTGGTGAGCGATAGTGGTAGCTGCTGGTTTTGATTTTTACGTCTTGCGGTCTTGGTTTGGTGGTTGGTGATAGATTGGAGTCGGTCGTCGGCGGTGTGTCGTTTAGGGAGGTCTGGGTCGTGCCCCTTGGGCCTGGTGCCCGTTGTGTCTGGTGGTGGTGGTGGTGTGCTGGGACGCTGATGGAAGGACCCTGAGGCTGCCTCCGAACTTGATCTTTTGGGCCCCCGTACCATGTACGGCATCCCTGAGCACGGCGGGCGTCGCGGGCGGGGGGCGCAGCAAGCCAGGAGCTAGGAGAGCAGCCAGGAGCCCGCGCGAGGCCGGCGGCGCGACTGGGTGATCTCAGGTTCCTTGGGGCAACCGTAAACCCGTCTTAAGCCCGCTCCGAACCGCACTAGCGCGGTTCTGACGGCCAAACTCGGCTATCATTGGTCCACAATCAGTTCGTCCTCACGCGACACGTGACCCCACCGCCTCCGGAAAGCAGTAACCGGTCGTCGAAATCACCACTGTCCCACCGTTGTCTCGGCATGTGACTCATACTTTATGACGTGTCACACTGATAGGTCGCCGAACGTGAATGCCAAGGAACCCAGAAGGGCCAGGAAGAGGCAGGGGGCAGGGGGAGGGGGAGGAACAGCCGCCGCGCGACAGGGCCGCGGGTCAGGAAGGCTGCAAGATCAGAGAACAACGATTAGGACCGATGTCGACCGCCGCCGCGACACCTCCACTTGCGATCTGACACAGCTGCGTTTCCTCTCCTGTTCCTCTGGCCTAGTGTTTGGTGCTGCATGCTGCTGCGAGTCTCTCATCCCGTTCCTGTCGCCCATCTCTCGATCTACAGATTGCCATTAGCACCCATCGCGCTGCAAGCGAATGCTGTCGTCGGGATCGAGTTCCCTGCATCGTTGCGCGATCACTGCCGCCGATGCCGCCCCCATTTCTATTCTCGCTGCTCACCTGACACATCTCTTTTCTCAGAACTGCCCCAGCTGCTGGGACCTTAGCATTCCACTCTGCACTGCGGCACAGGCAAAGAATGGGCACATGAAAAGAGAACAGGCTGACACCTGGGCGGTGGAGGGGCAGATGGTGGCTGCGACCGACTGTTTTCGTCCGTCTGCTCGCCCGACCCGACGTTCCGTCGTCCGTCGCCCGTCGCCCGGATCCGCAGCCACTTCTGCTAGAGTGAGTGAGACCCATGCTGTCCACATTTTTCGGTTTCGTCACCCCTCCTTTGTCTCCTGTTGTCTCTTCCTTCCTTCCTGCTGCCATGCCATGCCATGCTCACAGCGTGTCACAGAGTTGGAAATCCCAGGTACGAGGTGTTGCATTGAATGCATGCGCATCCAGCAGAGCTTGACGGGGCCTCACCCCTCGATCCGTCGACAGGGGGCCGGGCGTGCACCAATGACGGGGGTCGCAGTGGCCCCCGTCCCTAGACGGACAAATACAGCCCCGCATGACCCCGCATCGTCTCCCTCTGGCCCGCATGTGTGCCTCCCGCGCGCCGCCCGTAGCCCCACACCTTCTCCCACAAACGCACCCACATCCTGCCCATCGCACCCACTAATCGAGCACAGCGCTCCTATCATACACACGCATGCGTGCTCTCCAGCCGTAGCCGCCCGCACACGGCCGCGGGCAGCGAGCAACACCTGACGCCGCGGGACTCCAGTCGTCCTCCAAAACAAGCCGACGGCAACGGCACACATCCCGTGCCTGAGCCGTCGCTGCTCGATCGCTGCCCACTCCACGTGCCCAAGCCTTGCCCCGCCTTAGCTCCGAGCACGGACATTGCGACTGATAGTGGACGAGACAGAGACCTCGCTAGGAGGGTTGTATTTACGTACGCCCTGTGACAGTCAGGTCAAAGGATGGTCGCTCACTCGCGGTTGATCTCCTGGGCAGTGCTGTATTCTCTATATCCATCTCCTCCTTACCATGTGTGTTACTTCCCGCTGTCCTCGCTCCTGATCGTTGCAGCTATTTCCGCCGGAACACTAAAGGGTTCTACAGATGTTCTACAGGCTGAGGACGTGCTCGAGTCCTGGGGCAAGAGTATGTATATCCTGCAGCGCCCTGTGACGATCAGTGGGCGGCAGCGGCACCCAGGAGGCTGACGGTTGTACGCGGCAGTGGTCGCGAAGCATCCCCAGGTCAGAGCGTATCGCTACTCGCTCAGAGCTCAGAGCAGCTCGACAGGGCGGTTCACGGGTCACAGGCACGGCTCGTGTGTCACCAGCTGTCACCAAGCCGCTGGCCGCTGTGTGCGGCCTGTGTGCGCAACCAGACGGCGAGCTCCACCCAGTGCCTTCTCCACAGGTCCACCGAGTACCTCAACTCAACACCGAGACCTGATCTGCCACCAGGCCTGGCAGAGTGCGGCGTCAGTGCGGCGCAACGGCGCGTCTAGAACCTCCAGCTCATATCTATTAGCGTCCCGTCGGCGCGCGTCAAGGTATGTCAGTCATATCCAGCGGCGTGCGATGACGGTGGGCCCCGCGCCGTATCCGCTACCAATGACAGCGAGCGGTATTCCGGTACTTCCCCGAGTCCAACTCCGGTCCTGCGGTCGCAAGCTCACCCATGGACACCGGCCGTTGTGCCTGTTCGTTTACGAGCGGTCGCACGTCTCGGTGGAAGTCTGTGACTGGCTCCAAACGATGTGGTCCGGAGTATCCTCGGCGATGTTTCTCTTGGCAGACTGCGCTGCATGCGGTTGCTCTGCATGCTCTGCTTCCCGGCGTGACTGCTGCTCTCCCCAATGAACGGCCCCAGACCAATACGGACAGCTCACAGGCTCCCAAACGCGCGGAGCTCACTCGTACGAGCTGCTCTCCCGGCTCCCTCGACGCCCCGGACGCCGCGAGCCCCGGGCTGCGCACTCCGCACCCCGCCGGCCGTGGCGTTGAGCGCGGTGCGGAGCCTGCACGCCTGCGTCGCCCCATCCCCTCTGCACACGCCGCAATCACGGGGCCATGAAGGTTGGCCGTTTCGTGATCTGCGGCGGCCATTGGTCGATCGCGGAGCGCGGAGCGCTGAGCGCGGTGCTCTTAGCGAGGTCTGCGGCGGGCCTGGCGGGGTTCTGCCTCATCCCGTCGCACCGTCTGCAACGCCTGCAAGATCCTGTCCGCGGGGTTCCAGTGTGGCCCAATACGAGCACGCCGTCGCGTGCGTCGCCTCGCACACCTGCGCAAGTTCCGGTACCTTTCAATGCCACACAATGCAAGCTGGATGCGACGCCGCACTTAATCGCGCACAAGCACAAAGGTAGCAAACAGCACCTGTCGACGAATTGCACGAGCTTATCAGAGTTTTTATCTCCCCCCGCCCGACTTTGCTCGCATCCTGGGCGTAGACGGTCGCATTCACTGGGGGCAGTCGCACCGTGCGCCCATTCAGTGCCAATTCAAGATTGAGTTTTGATGGGTTGTCTGCCCATCGCTCTCTGCCAAGTCTGTAGACCTACAGGACACGGACTGTCGGCGAGGACTCGTCAGCCAACCAGTCAGCCAGGGGCCAGCGGCCAGGGCATGCACACCTGTTCCTTGTTCTCGGGTCACGGTCCGGTGGCCCCTATCCTCGACCCCCAACCTGATTGATCCCCTTCATGGTCAGCTCTACTGATCAGGCTGGCATCGAAGCGATTGTCAGTGGCATATTCCCAATCTGATCATCTGCGTCCGTCGAGGAGGCCAGGAAGGGGATAAGACGTGCTTTCCCCAGATCCCCAGCGATGGGAACCGAGGACGCAAAATGGGCGTGCATGCAATCGCCGTATCACTTTTAGCTGCGGTGATCAGAAATCTGGCTACATCCGCCAAGACCGCGATCAGGTGGGCAATGTAAGATGCAGATGGCTCGTTACGTTGGCTGCGCGATTGCCGCCGCTGTTTGTGTGATTGCATTCCGTACTGACACCTGAGAGGCGTCTGCGGGCAGCCGCCTCCGACATCGGCATGAACAGGTCTGCGCCGAAGGGGCCGATCAATCTCCGAAACTGAGTACGGTGAATGCACGTGAGCCACCACACGAGGCTGGCACGCGGCTGATGTTTCGCTTTCTGCAAGAGATATCAGTCGCGCCGCATTCCACCAGCCTGGCCAGCCCCAAGGGCCCCCACGGCGGCCCGAGTGGGGTCTGCTTTCCATGCTTGTACAAAGCGCTCTGTACATGGCAACTGGGAGCTGTGGAATGAGCAGCCCGCGTCACGATGAAAGAATGTCAGCCACCAGCCACGGAAGATCGTATTCACCTTTCACCCTTCTCCACAGACCACAACGCCATGACTCGGAGCGTCCGTTTAGTCTTCTTTCACGTGAAGCAGTGACTGCTGCAAGCCCCGCTTTAACAGCGCATACCCCGCGCCACTGGGCCACCTCCCATTGTACTGACACAGCGCAGTTGCGGGTTCGAATGCCTCATGCATCACACGCACGGCAGATTCATGACTGGAATCTATTACCAGACCTTCGTGGCCGTCGTGGCGCAACCACAGCCCGCGGTCAGAGCGCGAGTGTCCGTATCGAAGAGGAGACTTGACGCAGCACTGTCAGATCTCTTCGGTGCCCGCAGTACGGGCTCGTCCGAGCCGACGGGCATGCATGGCCATGCACGGCCACGCCGGACAAGCATATTGTGTCCATAAGCAGAGTCGCATAACCCGAACTGTCAGCCGCCCCGTGCGCCAGATCTGCTCCTGGCTCTTTTCGTCAGCAAAACACGGTCAGCACCGCTCAGGCGTTGTGCGAGTGCACAGACTAGAGTCTGCGCTGAACCGCTGACTGGACGAACGACCGTGCAGATCACGCCGGAACCGGAGCACAACGGCCTGGAATGCGCCCCCGCTACGCCTCCTGGAGCCTAACAGGCTTGGGTTGGTCCTAGTCGCGGAGTTCACCTCATGTCCGTCGGATCCGGCACGCGGACTGGTCCAGCTCGACCACGAGGCACGGAACCGCCGGCTTCACTCCCAGGGAAGCACAGAAGACATGACGACATGACATCAGTGCCAGTAGTCACTGTGTAAATCTCTGGCATCCGCGTATGCCTGCCGTGGTTTATCTCGGTCTCATTGCTGGACATCATTGTTCCGTTTATCTATTCTCTACAACTACTTCGACAAGACTGACGACCATGCTGACGATACGCCGCGCTGTACTCCGGACACCGACCCTTGCTTCGACAACAGCACTGCGAGCTGCGACGCCGCTAGCTACCCGATCATTCTCCAGCTCGACCGTCCTCGATAAGGAGAAGCTCGTCATTCTGGGATCGGGTTGGGCGGGGTACAACACGGCACGGAAGGTTGACAAGGACCACTATGATGGTGAGTGCGGAGCTCTGGCAGCAGCCGCTGTCCACCTTGACCCACCTACGTCCTTGCTACGGTGAGGGTGAGAGATATCAGCGCTCGAACTGCGGAGGGACGGTGGAGGGAAGACAAAGCGAGGAAGACCACAACTGACGCCCGCAGTCACGGTCGTCTCGCCGAACAACTACTTCTCCTTCACCCCCTTCCTCGCCTCAACATGTGTCGGTACGCTCGAGTTCCGCGCTGCGACCGAGGCCGTGCGCAAGCTGAAGCACGTCAACTATGCGCAGGGATGGGCGGACAAGATTGGTGAGTCTGGCCAGCTTTCGTACTGCGAGCTTCGAAGCAGTAAAGCAGCCAGCTTCAAGGTGTGTATCAGTACAGCTAACTCTTACAGATCTCAGCAACAAGGTGGTGCACGTCGCCCCCTCGCTGCCGCCATACGAGGATCCGCACCAGACCTCGCCCCACGACAAGAACTACACGAGCGGCGCCGAGATTCTGCCCGAGTACACGCCCTCCGACGCCTACCACGTACCGTACGACAAACTGATTATTGCGACGGGCTCGCGCTCCCAGTCCTTCGGGACGCCGGGTGTGATGGAGAATGCCAACTTCTTGAAAGACGTGCGCGAAGCGCGAGCGATCCGGCACCGTCTCCTGCAGTGTCTCGAGATGGCGTACGAGCCCTCTCTCTCGGAACAGGAGCGGCGGGACATTCTGAAGTTCTGTATCGTCGGCGGCGGCCCTACGGGCGTCGAATTCGCAGCCGAGCTGCACGACTTTGTGCACGAGGACGTCCGCAAGCGCTTCCCCGACATTGCGGACAAGATTGAGATCCGTCTCTTCGACGTCGCCCCGGGTATCCTGATGAGCTTTGACGTCGCGCTGCGCGAGTACGCCGAGAAGAAGTATGCCCGAGACGGGATCAAGATCATGCCCAATTCGAAGATCTCGAAGGTCGACCGGCACGCGCTCTACCTCGACAGCGGGGAGAGGTGTGAGTCCAGCTATGGCAAGTGGGGCGATAACTGACAGACCCAGACCCCTTCGGTCTCCTCGTGTGGTCGACCGGCGTGCAGGCGAACGAATTCGTCAACTCGCTCCAGACGCTGCAGAAGGACGACAAGACGCACTCGTGAGTCGCGTCCGCTGCATCGCAGCTTGTCTAGGCGCAGACGACAGCTAAAGCCCAGAATCACGGTGAACGAGCACCTGCAAGTGATCGACAAGAACAGCGGCACGGTGGTGCCCAACGTCTGGGCGACTGGTGACAACTGCACACCGACCACGGGGCGTCTGCCAGCGACGGCCCAGGTCGCAGCCCAGATGGCGACGTACATGTCGAAATCGCTCAACAAGCTGGCACAGGGCACGCCCGTGACCGACCTGGCGGCGTTCAAGTGGAAGAACCGCGGCAGCATGGTGTTCATCGGCGACGAAAAGGCCATGGTCGACCGGAGCGGCAGCTCCACCTTCCGCGGCCGCGTGGCTGGCTTCATGGCCTGGATTATGTGGAGGAGCTACTACATGAGCCTCGCGCTCAGTCCGCGGAACAAGATCCTCGTGCCCGTGTACTGGGCGCTGGCCTGGTGCTTTGGCCGCGACATTGTCAACTTCTAGTCCACCCGCCGAGATCCAACGAGCAGCATCAGTCATAGAGCATGGTAGCGTGTCACACGGACGATAGGAGCAAAAAATGCACATATGCACATACAGTATGCACATCTAACATAAAAAAAAAAAGTCTAAGTAAGTCTAAAAAGTTCTAGTATCCCATTCTCGTCGCGACGCCGTCTGCGCCGCCGCCCTGCGCATGCGCAATCTTGTCCAGCTTGGCTTTGCGCTTCTCGACCTCCTTCTGCGCCTTCTCGACCGCCTCGTGGGAGCCCTTGGCGGGGTGCGCGGGGTCGATGGACCGCACGATCTCGCCGTGCGCCAGTGCCTCGGCCTCGGCGGCTTGCGCGGCTGCGAGCTCGGCCGCGGCGAGCTTCAGGCGCCGGTTGTTGAAGTTGTTCATGTATGAGATGTACGTGTTCCAGCCTGCGCGGGGGGGGGTTAGCTTTCCGATCTCTAGTTCGAAGCTATTGAAGCTGGGGAAAGTCTAAGATGCCCTCGGTATCTGAGCGTCGCTTCCTCAGCTGCCAGTCCAAGGAGGAGTGAGTTTGCACAGAGTGCTATCAGAGGGAGGCACATCGGCGATGAGGAATGCAAGAAGGAGGACTCACCGAGACCAACAAGCTGCTGCACGGCCAAACGGTGTTGCGGCGGCGTAAGCGTGAAGTTGACGATTTGCGTCGGTCCAAACACGCAGAGAGACTTGGAGTACGACCCCACGAACGCCATCTCCCACTTGGCCTTGACCTCGGGGGCTGACTTGCCCTCCATCACGCCGTTGCCCGTCCAGAACACTGCTGTTAGCTCAAAACTGATAGAGGTTGTAGCTGTGGTCCAATCCCGCCTCCGCCGCGCTCCGTTCCACTTGGCGACGGCGGAGCGCAGAGACTGCTACGAGCGGCCGGCCGGGGATGAGTACGCCCGACGGCGTGGGTCACGGCGGACTGCATACTGTAGGCACGGGCAGAAAGTCAGACGTAAGCGGGAGACTCACTGGACACAATGAAGGGACCCCACACTCCCTGGTCGAGCGCAACGCGCGCGGCAAGTGCTGATGTCAGCTATGAGACTTAACCTTTCAGGCAGCTAGCCAAGACGGCCCGGTCTACTCACTTCGCCACTTGTTCGCAAACTCGACACGCTGCACGAGGCTGAGCCACGCGTGGTTGAGCGGGCCAAAGACGCAGGTCCCGTAGAAGAGCATTCGGAGTGTGCGTTTCCGCTGCACGTAAGCTTTCGGGGACAGTTGTACAGCTGGGAGCGACGTCCGCCCGCTCAGCACACTCCATGCACTCACGTTCCACTCTGGCGAGTCCTCCTCGTCCTCGACTGCTGGCTGGGACCCGAACGGCCGCCGCCCCTCGATACCGAACTGCGCAATGCTGTCGCCGAGCAGGAACATGAAGCCCGACGTGCCCATCTTGGTCCGCAGCGGGTGTTCCTCAAGCACGCGGAGGTAGGCAGCCCATACCCGCCCGAAGATGCCGGTGCGCGCGGCGGTCGCTGCTGACATGGCGCTGATCAGTTACCGCTGTTGATAATCTAAGATAGGCGTATGCAATGGCGGAGAGTCGGAGAGTTAAGCCGAGGAAGCCGGATTTTTTGCTCTGGCGGCACGAGGGGGCGTGAGGTCGTCGTAAAAAGGTCGTGGGAGCTCCTGGCCAGCAGTTGCAAGAAGTGGTAGTATTATATGCAGAACGAGAAAGCAACGACGGTCAAGCAGATCTCGGGCCGACGTCGAGGGAGGCATGACGAACGGCGTTCAGACTTTTGAGATTTGCTTACGGCGCCGGTGAGGATTGGAGATTATCGCCAGCCAAAATACAACAGTCCGACTCGGCGGAGAGCTGGCTGATTGGCGGTCACGGCCGAGTCCTGAAACCGGGCGTACCTGCCTCCCTGGGTGTCCTGGCTATCTGATGAATTATCTATCGCCTGTCACCGCTCACTGTAGACACCGGCAGGCATAGATGGTGAGCGGGGCGGGAGTTGAGTTTGCATAATACAAATCGGGCGCGCGTCTTGCTCACGGACCACTTTAGTCGGGATGGTGTGGACAGAAGGGAAGGCAGGCATTCCAACATACCGTGCTGTTTGTAATTGAGCAAAAAGATGAGGGGACAGTGCGCTTGACCATCCTTCGGCCGCAAAGAGGCAGCGACAGGGTCCGGCGTGCTTCCTAGCGCCGCTAGCGTGATGGCGACGGTTGCATTACGAGATTGGGCACACGATAACAGCGACGAGATTGAGGCAGGTTGGGACGTGACTCTTGCTCTTGTACCGCTGTACGTATCGGTGTTCAATGGGACTCGTGTGGTGATCGAGAGGTGCAGTCTCGACCAGACCGCGATAATTAAGGTTGGGTGGCCTGACTGCAGAATCAGAAACACGCGACCACCCTGCCACACGGCCAGGGGCAGCGAAACACCTCTTAATTCCGCCTGCCTGAGGGAGGGGGACTATTAGGCATGGGCAAGTTGACGCGCCTGTGCGACACTAAGCGTGCGTTAGGCACGCCCGTCCAGGCTGAACTGCTTCTTGCTGTGCTGGCTGTGCTGGCTGTGCTGGGTCAGGGCTTGCCGGGAAGGTCACCCACCGTAGGATGGTCGCCAGGCGCTGCCGTACACCCGAAGCCTTTGCCCAGCCCAGCGGCCAGCCAGCCAGCCCAGCCAGCCCAGCCAGCCAGCCAACGCCAGCGTGCACTGCGCAACCCTCCCAGGCGTGCACTCGGCCACGCCACTGTCCAACTCTCTCTCATCTTCAACATCCATCCACATCCCAAGTTCGATCCCATCCCACACCAACTCCTTCAGGCCTTCGCCACCTAGTCTCATCTCCTGCACGACTCTCTCAACGACTACCCACGGCCCCATCACCCACGGCCAACGCATATCCATCCTTCCCCGTCCACAGGTGAGTCCTCGTCCCCGCACCTGTTTGATCGTTCCTCGACAGACCCGCGCGCGAACAACGCAGGACTGCACGCGTACAGATGCTGACCCGCGCCCGCCTTGGCCTCCATCATTCGGTTCTTCATCTTCCGAACGTCACCTTGGTTCCTCGACACGCCTTCATTGCCCGCTCACGCCCGTTGTTCATCACTCGCGCTGTCCTCCGCTTGTTGCCACCCCACTTTTTCCCGTGATCCACTTCAACCTGTCGTCACTACTCTCAATCCGCGTTTCTTTTATCGATTGCCTCATTCGTGACTCACCAACAGACCCCCTAGCACTTAATCACGATGGCCGCTACCGCCGAGTACGACTACCTCTTCAAGGTGAGCATCGGCCCGCCGTGGAGCGACAGACAGTGCACCGTCACGCGCCGCCTGTTCGCACCACCGTCACCCCTCACGCAACTTCATTGCGCCGCGACTAGACATGACGTCGCAGAACGTCACTGGCGGCGGCGATTCGTCTGTAACTCAGCGCAGGACAGTGCTCGACCGCCAGCCTAGACTCGTGACGTTATCTGGTTGCCGGGATTGAACCGAAGACGCCCCACGCTGCCTATCCCGAGATTAGAACTCGAACTGACCCATAGCTTCTCCTTATCGGTGACTCCGGTGTTGGCAAGTCTTGTCTTCTCCTTCGTTTCGCCGACGACACCTACACCGAGAGCTACATCTCGACCATTGGTGTAAGTAGAGCTGCCCGTATCTCACTGGAACCCTTAGCTGACTGTATCAGGTTGACTTCAAGATCCGCACCATTGACCTCGAGGGAAAGACTGTCAAGCTTCAGATCGTGCGTACCCCGCGCACTCAGCTGTCCTTAGTCAAAGCTGACGCAGCATTTCGGTTTCACACTCGACACTCACGACTTACTCGCTTCAAACTTGTTGTTCTCGACTCCACTCATTGCGTCACTGGCCTGACCTGCCTGGCTTAATCGTGGACTGACCTCCGTTGCCTTTGCTGCCGCTGCTGCACTTGTCATCTGGTTGCTCTGTTCTGCTTTTCTGGCTCGGCTCGGTACCTGCGGTGCCTTCCGACGCGTCGACACACACTGGTCAATTTTGTCGCACCGATTTGCTTGCGCACTGCGCTCTTCGTCCATTCGCACTGTCAACGACCTTGGGCTGCACACGAAAACAAAACGAAAATGGTTGAACTCATCGTTGCATAAACGTGTTCACACCACTGAAACGCTACCGTCTCGTCACGACTCGTCAATTCTAATGGGTTTCCTCTTGGTTCCTCTTGGGTTTGCTCTGTTGTTTTTGGCGCTCTGACTCTCTGTCTCAACTGTTGTTCTCCTTCGGTTGTCCGTCACGGCTTCTTGGGAATCGATCTGTTGTCTCCCGGCATACTTGGTCTTATCTTGGGTTTTTCCTTCCCTTGGCTCTCCCAATATTGTCAACATTACGGTCAACTAATGTGTCAATATCGCTTCGAAACTCTTCGTCTCCTGTGTTTTAATACGCACCCTTCCTGTTGGATATCTCCTGTTGGATCGGAAAAACTACAACTGTCTGTTTGATTGGTGTTTTCCTTCATCTTTCAACTTGTGTGGATTATTATGGGCTCTCCCTTCGTCGTCGGTCCGGTTCCTTGTCAACGAAAACAAAATCCTGCCGCTGTCATCATTACGGTCACACTTGTCTGGTGCAACTCTTGTCGTCGGTCCACTGTTGTCTTCGACTGCCCAACTTGTCCGCCTATGAATTCGGCGTGTATGTTGTGATACTCGATCCGTACGCCTCCCCTACTGTAAATACACCGTCTCATACGGTACCATGTTCCCCTCCCTCCATGTTCATTCTTCCCTCTCGCCAATCGCCCTGCCTCCTATCCCAATATTACTATACCCCTAAACAGTGGGACACTGCTGGCCAGGAGCGCTTCCGCACCATCACTTCCTCCTACTACCGCGGTGAGTTTCTTCGTCGAGTTGAACCGCGGCCACGCTAACTCTGCACAGGAGCACACGGTATCATTGTCGTTTACGACGTTACGGACAGCGACACCTTTGCCAACGTGAAGCAGTGGCTGCAGGAGATTGACCGCTACGCTGTCGAGGGTGTGAACAAGCTCCTCGTCGGTAACAAGTCTGATCTTGCGACCAAGAAGGTGGTCGACTACGCTGCCGCCAAGGCGTTCGCCGACGAGCTCGACATTCCCTTCCTCGAGACGTCTGCCAAGAACGCGACCAACGTTGAGCAGGCTTTCCTGACCATGTCGAAGCAGATCAAGGACCGCATGGGCTCGAACTCGATGGCTTCTGGACCCGGTGGCAAGTCGACGATCAAGGGTCTTGGCCAGAACGTTGAGCAGAAGACTGGCGGTGGCTGCTGCTAAGTGTGCGCGCCTGGAGCTCGCAGTCATCTGTCAGGAGTAGAGCGGGTGTCGGGTGTTTGGCCGGGAGTGAGCGACGTGCGCGCCGACGGTCGAATGCCCATGGCTGTAGCGAGGAGGTGCAGCAGAGAGTTTTTCTTCATACTAGTTATTATGCGCGTCTCGGCTGTCTCGTCTGTTGCTCGTTTCTCGATACGGTTTCCAAGTGTCCGGCTTTGGACGATACGGCAGGGCGCGTCTTTGTATATACGAATGTGAACGCCTTGGTCTATAGAGGGGCTGTTGCATGCACCGCAGGTGAAACGCCACACTGCTGTCTGTCTGTTACTGATCGAAGGTGTAGCCGTCGGTCGGGGTTGGAAAGATAGGATTGACGCGTCAACGGCGGCAGTGGGTTCGGCGGCCGAAGGTCATGAAGGGCTTGAAGGGGGTGACCAGAATACTGGGTATGGTTTCGGAGTGGGACGCGTGGGAGGGCTGCGTCGCGTGGGCATTTACCGGATTGGGCAGTTTGCGGGGAGTTGAGGGCCAGGGCGAGGGAAGGGCGCGGCGGCGGGGTGTGCACGCCCCTCAATGACGCAGGCAGGATATTGTCAGAGTCTGAACAAGCTCTCGGCCAAGAGACTCGGCCTCACCGGGTTCTCAGACGCGCGCGGAGAGGAAGAGCATCCATTGATTCACAGTCCCCGCACGCACGCGCGCCCTTCATACACGCGCGCAGTGGCCAGTGAGAAGCAACCCCCCGGTCACAAGGCACACATGAACCGACCCGACATCCAAGCCTCCTTCCTACGCGGATGCCGGCCGGGCCTGCGTGACCATGATTGCTCTGCCTGCTCTGCCATACCTTGTTTTGATGCAACTCTTTCACACCCTTGTCATCATTCTTCTATCTTATCTCTTCCTATTTCCCAACGCCACCGCCATCACCGCGTGCATCGACTGAAGCGCACAACCCACCCCGCGCGCGCACCGGTTGGCTCCCGACTCCTCGACTCAAACTCACCCTCCTTCACCCGCCCTCGGCACCAACCTCCGGCCGACCGACCAAGAGGAGAAACGGCGGACGCGATGGCAACCCTCGTGTCCGTCCCGGCGCCCCTGATTCCGCGGCTGCACACGCTCTTCAGCGTCAGCGCATTCGTCACTGCGCTCATTGCAGGATACGTCTCGGGACTGTGGGAGGCGCTGTGCGAGAATGCAGTCGCCAAGTGGCCCGTCGAGTGGTGGCCCAGTGTGAGCGCTACGTGAGTACATACTCGAGCTCGACCGAGCGAAGCGAGGGAGTGCGAGGTGGACGAGGTGGACGAGTCGGACGAGATGGGACCAGCAGAGACGAGCAGAGGGGTCCAGAATGAGCTCAGAAGGAAGCACTCGGGACCCAGAATAGATACGCAGGCCGCTAGGCTGGGCGTAGCTGATTCAGCTGGCGGTGCTAGTCCCAACGATGGGATGGGCCGAGAGGGAGCTAGCGTGGTGGTTCGGGGCCGTCAATTCTGTGGGCGGCGAGGCTACGCGCCTTCCTCGGAGCGGAGCTATCAAGCGACGAGCAGGATATATCGACTCCGCCGCGCCGCCGCTCGCCTTCGACGCCCCGACGCCCCGACGCCCCGATGCACGTTGGAGTAGCCTCAGTAGCATCGGCGGGAGCTACAAACACTTGGCGCGCCGGGCGCAACGAGGGCGCAAGCGATGAGTCATGGTGTCAGCGTCTCAGGACGCCCCCGACATCTGCGCCCCTGTGCTGCATGGACCATGTGCATGTGGCTCCTGGAAACGCCATGAGCCATCTCTCGCTGGCGGCTTGCGGCTTGCAGCCTCTTGCCCGCTGCTGCCTGCGGCTTACCTCCCCCCCTTCGTTCCACACAGCTATCAAGCTACAGATGCTGAGCTGACAAACAGTATCGGCGACCACGCAGCTGCGCGCGCCCCGTTCCAGATCCTGATCGCGCTCACTGCGACGCCGCGGTTCATCTTCCTCGGCCTGCAGTGGCTCGCGCACCGCTACCCGCCCTCTTCCTCCTTCCCCTCTTCCCGCCCCCTGTCGGCTCCCCTCTCCTCGCCCTCCATCACCTCCACCCACGACACGGAGCACAAGCGCTCCCTCCGCTCCCGCTCCCGACTAACCGTCGAGAAGGGCGAGAAGGGCAGCGACGACGAGCTCGACAGCGACGTCGCCCTCGACCCGCCCACGAACGGCACGGGGCGCAAGAAGGCGCCCTGGTCCTCTGGCTCGGTCGATGTCGAGGCCTGCCTCGGACTGGCGAGGACGATCGCGTGCGGAGGATGGATGTTCATCACGAGCCGCGACGAGCACGACCTCCACGATCTCGCCATGATCGTGTACCTCGTCCTCGACGCGCCGTGGATGTACCTCTCCTGGGCGCACAGTACGGACCCGCGCGCGAAGAAGTGGCGCGCCATGTGTGCCGCGGCCTTCTTTGGGTGTCTCCCGCCGCTGATCTACCTCTTTGTGCAGCACAACATTAAGAAGGTCCCCGGAGGTGAGTAGACTGCTCTCAGCCTGGCAATGCCGGGAGCTAGTGGGTCCGTTCGACGCAGCAAGCTAACCACCAGCGTACACTTATTATGCGTTCTTCGAGTGGTCCCTCGTCATGTGGGACGTGGCGTTCGACGCGGGAACCGTGTTCGAGGTCGGCAACTTCCAGATCCGCGTCATTGACACGAGCCGTCCCGAGATCGAGGATGACAAGAATGGGTGCGTTTGAGATGGCCCGCCGAGTTGTACAAAACTGTACTCTCCTCTTGGTACAAACTGTGAGATATGTAAGATTGACACTTTACGCAGACACGCAAGTCCCGTTGGCATCTACCTCGCGCCCGTGCCCTCGCGCCCGATCGTGGAGGAGGACTGGACGGCCAAGCCGTCCCGTCCCTCGCCCATCCCCCACCCCGGCATCGCAGCCTACCTCTCGGACATTTGGTTCGGTAAGCTCGCTCTCTTCCTGCTGGTAGCTAACGACAGCGACGGCGTGGTGGACCGTCTTCACGGGCGTCAGCGTGCAGCTCTTCTACTGGTCCGTGTGGTCTCTGGCGCTGACGGGCTCCGAGCTGGGCATCACGATCAACCTCATCCCGTACCTCTTCAGCAAGCCCGGGTACCGCGCGGCGGTGACGTCCCGCTCCGGTGTATTCTGGAACCGCACGCTGCTGTACGTCTTCGGCCTGGGCGCGTACGCGATCCCACACGTCGCGGCGCGCTTCTTCTGTGTCCTCTTCGCAATGGCGTGTGGCTGGAACGCGCTCCTCGCGGAACAGACGCGCACAAGGGGATCGCCCGAGGCGGGCCAGACGGGGCGGATGTGGGCCGCTGGCGTCGTGCTGTGCATGCTGGGCAAGTACCTGTGCTATTCGAACAATCCGTTCTGGGCGATCGTGAACAGCGACAGCGGGGGGTGGAACAAGACGGGTCTCCTCCTCTCCGCGCTGAGCGTGGCGGAACTCTACTTCCGCCCCAACAGCCTCTTCGCTGCCCCGCCCACGACGGCCCCGGGCAAGCGCGACGACAGGCGCATGGGCACGACGCGCGCGCAGCGCCTCGCAATCACATTCGGCCTCGGCGCATTCATGCACCTCGCGCAGACCTTCCTCTCGGACAGCGGCACGATAATCGCGTGGTCGTGGGACGGCTTCCCGGCAAGAGCGCCGCTGCTGCATCCCTGGGCCGGCATCGTGACCGCGCTGTGTGCGCTGGCCATCCCCCTCTCCCTCTCCATCCAGAGACTGCTCGACCCCGTCGTGCTCGCGGTCCCGTACCTGGGTGCATTCTGCCTGTACATGTTCCCGAACTGGGTCGGGTTCGCGGGCGGCGTCGCGCTCATGGTGTGGCTGATTGCCGCCGCGCCGGCGTTCATCCGCATCGCGTCGGGCGTGCCGCCAAAGACGACCGGAAACGCAATGGCGTGGAACTGTTTCCTCGACGTCGCCAGTGTTTTCACAGTAGCATACGCCTTCGTGCCCTTTGGCTGGGTACTTAGGGAACGCACGGGCTTCATCCTCCTGCTTTTGCTGGTGCCGCTGCCCTTCGCGCTGCGTGCGGGCCAAGCTCTGAATCTCCCCGACGAGTCGAGGCTCGCGGCCCGCTCGCGCAAGAGGCTCCAGACCGGCGCAGTTTACACGCGCTACCTCTCCATCGCTATTGCGTCTGCCGCCATCGTGGCGGGCATTCGGCTGCACGCGCAATCTGCCGAGGTGACGACGCCGAAGCCGTACTACGGTGACCTGAACGTGTTCACGGGCGGGATCTACACGGTGCATTTCGGCATCGACGAGCCGGGGCGCGACAGCCAGCGCCGCATCGCGAGCCTGGTCAAGGATATGGAGGTGGACGTGCTCGGCATGCTCGAGACGGACCTGCACCGCTTCGTGTACGGCAACCGCGACCTGACGCGGTACATCGCGCAGGAGCTCGGATACTATGTCGATCTGGGCCCCGGGCCGAACAAACATACCTGGGGCGCGTGCCTGCTGAGCAAGTATCCGATCAAGAACAGCACGCACCATTTGTTGCCGAGCCCGCATGGCGAGCTCGCGCCCGCCATCCACGCGACGCTTGACATTAACGGCGTCGACGTCGATGTCATCGTGAGCCACAACGGGCAGGAGGAGGACGCGCTCGACCGCGAGCTGCAGACCAAGGAACTCGCCCGATTACTCCAGCTCAATCCCCACCGGCCGACCATGTTCCTAGGCTACCTCGTGACGAAGCTGAATGCGCCGGCCCCCTGGCCCTATGCGCTCTTGTTCAACGAGCAGACGCGTCTCTCCGACATCGAGACGCTGGACAAGTGGAGGTGGTGCGAGTATCTCGGCTTCCGCGGTCTCTGGCGCGTGGCCTATGCGCGCCTGCACCACGGCGACGTGACGGACACCGAGCTGCAGGTGGGCAAGTTCATCCTGCCCCTGCCCAACCAGACGGCCGAGTATCGCAACGACGAGGAAAAATACTGGCACATTGGCGAGATGGACATCCCGCCGCCGTGGCGGCTGCCGAGCAAGTTTAGGGAGGACCAGGGCGGACACTTTTACCGCGTCTGGGACGGACCCCTGTATTACCGACCCCCGCTCGACTCGGGCGTGCTCGACTATGGACGCGGGGGAGGGCATAATGAGTGGCCTCCGCGGACTGACGTGCAGGCGTAGCCGTAGCCGTGGCCATGTCTGTGCTGGCGTAGAGTGTGTTGAGAGTAGTAGTGCATCCTATACATCTTATGCAAAATACTGGGCTGCTAGTACATCCTTCTGAGCGCCGAGTGCCACACTGACGATCGAGCAGATCTGGCGGACCGAGCAGCAGCATCCTGCGGCCTGTATTACTACTCAGCTTGTGTTGAAAAGCTGTGGCATCGTCTCGTGTGCTACTCCACTGCGGACGTCTCCGGGTCGGAGAGCGCAACTCCGAAACATGCTGAGTCTGCTGAGTTTGCTGAGTCGGGTGAGTCGAGTGAGGCTGATAACGGACTACGGACTACGGGGTGCGAACTGCGCGCGGCGCGTCTGCGTCACCCTTGGCGCCGCACACCTGTCTGATCGCCCATCGCTTGCTTCTGATCGCCTGATCCGCCTGAGACACAGACGACTGATGGAGCGACGCCCATTCAAGCCATCGCGGGATAAGCAGCCAGTTGACGCTCGTCCTAAACACGGGTTCCTTCTTGAGTTTGCCAAACGAACCCCCCTCACTTCGTTAGATCGTTAGTGCAGACTCGCTTGCCTCGCGCCTTCGGCGCTCGGCTGCTCTCGTAGAGAGAACTCGTTGCATTCAGCTCCCACACCATCGTACACATCTCACATTGGTGAACCGGTCTAGGAGAACTACACAAGAGCTGGAAAAATATAGAGAAGGATAGAGGGGGAGGATGGGCGAAAAAGAGATATGAAAGAAAAAAGGAATTTACTCCTTCTTCTCGGCGGCGGCCTCGTCCTTCTTCTCCTCCTCGGCGGCGGGCTTCTCAGCGGCAGCAGCCTCGTCCTTCTTCTCACCCTCGGCAGCGGCGGGCTTCTCCTCGTCGTTCTTGCCCCAGTCCTCGAGGACGCGGAGGGCCTCGTCGACCTTCTCGGTCAGAGCGGCGGGGGACTCGACGAGGTGGAGGAGCTCGGCGTTGTCCATCTCGAGGAGCATGCCGGTGATCTTGCCGGCGAGCTCGGGCTGGGACTCGTGGATCAGGGGGTAGATGGCCTCACCGAGCATCTGCCTCTGCTCGCCAGGCGAAGCGCGAGCGAGAGCCTGGGCAGTGAGGCGGGGCTGGCCGGCGGCGGCCTGGGCACCGTCACCCTGGGGACGGGCGGGGACCTGGCCACGGGGGAGACCCTGCTGGGCACCAGAGGGCGAGCCGTTGGGGCGGGCAGCGGTAGGGGGACGGGCGTTGCCAGCGGGGCGGACGGGGTAGTTGGGCATGCCGGGGTAGTTGCCGCCGGCACCTCCGGGAGGCATGTAGCCCATGGGGACGGGGGCACCGGGCTGGCCAGAGGGAGGGTAGCGGCCGGGGCGGGCACCCATCATGGGGGGAGCGCCGGGGTAGCCGACGACACCGCCACGGACGGGCATCATGGGGCCACCGTAGGGGCCCATGGGAGGGTAGTACATGGGGGCCTGCATGTAGCCCTGGGGTCCACCGAGTCCGTTAGCAGCGGCGTACTGGAGACGCTGGGCGTTGCGCTGCTGCATCTGCGACTCGAGGGCCTGGCGACGGACCTCCTTCTTCTGGGCAAGCGAAACGTACAGAGGCTTGGTGCCGATCATCTTGCCGTTCATCTCCTGGACGGCACGGGTGGCCTCGTCGGGCTGCGAGAAGCAGACGAAGCCGAAGCCACGCGAAGCACCCTTGTCGTCGCGCATGACCTTGGCCGAGGTGATGGTACCGGCAAAGTCAAACTCGGAACGGAGACGGTCGTCATCCCACTCGTCGTCAATGTTCTTGACGTAGAGGTTGACACCGGCAGTCTTGGACTCGTTCTCGAGGCGGCGCTCCTCGTGCATGCGGCGGAGCTCCTCGTCACGCTCGGCACGCTTCTGGGCACGGCCGACGTAGAGCTTCTTGCCGTTGATCTCCTTGTCGTTGAGCTCGTCGACAGCCTTCTTGGCCGCGTCGTGGGTGGTGTAGTTGACGAAGGCGAAGCCCTTAGAGAGGCCATCCTCACCCACCGAAAGAGCAGCAGAAACAATCTCGCCGAAGGGCTTGAACATGTCCTCAAGGTCCTTCTGGGTGAACTCGGGCTCGAGGTTCTTGATGAAGATGTTGGTGAACTTGGCGCGCTGCTCCTCGACCTTGGACTGGCGCTCCTTCTTCGAGATGTGGTGGCCGACGTAGACCTTCTTGTCGTTCAGGAGCATGCCGTTGACCGACTTGATGGCGGCGTCAGCAGCCTCACCAGTCTCGTAGTGGACGAAGGCGAAACCGCGCGAGTTGCCGTTCTCGTCAGTGGCAACCTTGCACGAGAGGATGTTGCCGAAGGCGGCAAAGGTGTCGTGGAGAGCCTAGAAGTCAGCACGTGCCTTCGACCTCGCATTGTTGCTTCCGCGCAGCCCCATTCCCATTTGCAGTAAGGGCCGGGTGTGATGCTGGCTGATAAGAGCAAAAAGAATCACTTACCTTGTTGTCGATCTTGTCGTCAAGGTTCTTGATGAAGATGTTGCCCTGGCCGGTCTTGCGGAGAGCGGGGTCGCGCTGCGACCACATGATGCGGCAGGGACGGTTCTTGATCAGGGAGTAGTTGAGGTGCTCAAGGGCGCGCTCGCCGTCCGCCGCGTTGAGGTAGTTGACGTAGGCGTAACCGAGCGAGCGGCGGGTCACGGCGTCACGGCAGACACGGATGGAGGCGACGGGGCCGACCATGTTGAAGATCTCGAAGAGCATGGCCTCGGTGACCGAAGGGTCGAGCTCGCCGACGTAGAGCGAGGCGCTGTTGCCGGGCTGCTGCTGGCCAGTGGTAGAGGTAGGGGCAGGCTGAGCAGGCTTAGCGGCACCCTCGGCGGCGGGGGTGGCAGGGGCAGGGGACGCCGCCGCGGGGGTGGGCGACGAAGGGGCCGCGGCGGCGGGGGTGGCAGCAGGGGTAGCGTCGGCAGACATGATGCTTTTGTTGGGTTGTAGTTTTTTTGATGGAGGGTTTAGGGTGGATTCGACCACGTAGGTTTAAGAAGCGTTGACGTGGGTTTTTTGGAAGCTGTTAGGTGCAAGAAAGCATGCGATGGAGATGGCAGGTGTGTGGTGGATGTCGAGGTCGAGGACACGGACAGAGGTTTGAAGCAAGGTGGAGTGATATGGGTGGCCACACGACGAGGGAAGGATTTGAGTCAGCGCGCGATGCAAAATTGTGCTGGGCGGGGGAGGGTCAAGCCATGTCGCGGGGTATGTGCACTCTCTGTGATGGTGCATGCATGTCGGCGATGGGAGGGGGCGCATGCAAGTGACGGCGACGAGGATGGATGACCCGTCCGCGATGGGTGGGGGGACTCACCTGGAAGATGCAACTAGTGATCTCTCTCTGGATGGGACGGCTAGTTGGAGAACACAAAAAGGATGGCAGAGCAGACAAAAGGACGCGGCGGGGGTGGGAGGCAGCCGTCAGCCCAGAGCCCATAGTCTGACCCACGGCCCAAGGCCCGCCAGGCGCGCCAGAGCCACAGAGCGCCAGTGAGCAGTGAGCTCAGCCACGAGGGACTCTGCAGGCTTGAGATTCCACGGGCGGAGGCAAATTATTCTGCGTCCGCTGAAAAATCCTCCTCTGGGCTAGAGGCGGAAAGAGCCACCACCGTGAGGTTGCGAGTTTGTTTGAGCCCACCTTCACTGCTCTGGGTGCGCTCTATGGCCCAGTGATCCTCACTCTGGTTCCAGCCTGCGGCCCTCATACATCCTGACGACGCCTCTTGTTCATGGGCTGACGTCCTGGATCCTGACCAGTACTCTTATCCCCGATTGGCCCTGCAACAGGTGGTGGCATTTTCAGACCCATTGAATCCAATGAATATCATAAACGAGTCCAAGACATTGCTTCCTGCAGGTCAGTCCATGTGACCGACGCAGACCTCTGTCACTCATGCACATCCCTCTCACGACCACCTGACCTAGTCCTTCCCTCTCGGGTCCGAGACGATCAGTCTGAGTGAGGCGTTCGCTTACCTCCGCACTCAAGCACTCCGGCCTCCGGCATACCCCGGACTTCAGACAGGACATACGAGGACAATGGCCTTGAGAACGGCACTCGGCAATGATCCAACAACCTGCGATACATACAACTAACATACACGTAGCGCCCAAACAATAAAGGAAGAGAAAATGAAAGAGAAAAACATGTCTTGCGTGAGATAGAAGTGGAAATGACACCCGTATCGATAACCGATCGAGGCCCTAGAAGCCCTTGATACCAGAAGCACGAAACCAGCCTACATGAATCCCGTCAGCCAACACGATCCGCCGACGTCCAACTAAGACTCGGGGGCGCGTTCCGTCTGCTGCGCCACCGGAGTCGCACACTGCGTGGGCGTACCGCCCGCGGAGTGCTCGGCCAGCGGGTCGCTCAGCATCAGCTGCTCCAGCCGGGAGTCGATGCCGTTGATTGCGTTAGGCGGCGGGAGATGCGAAGGCATCGGCGGAGACACATGCTGGGCCTGCTCAGCGAGCTGGGCGTGTTCAGCAAGTTGGGCATACTCAGCCTGCTGCTGCTGCTGCGCTTGGTGTGGGAACGCCTCCTGCTGCGGATGAACCAGAGGCTGCTGCTCGGGCGCAATCTCCTCCATGTGCAGCTTCAAAGGCGATTCGGAGCTAGGCGCCGTCCCGCTCAAATGCACGTTACTGGATGAGCTCTCGGGGGTGTGATACGAGCTCGTCGCCTGCGAGACTGCAAGCGAAGAATGCGAGAGCTCGCCGCTAGGCAGACGCTCGGATTGCGGTGTGAGGTCGTAGGTGGTGGCTGAGTCAAGCGATTGCAAATCACCCGTCGTAGTCGTCATGAGCGAAGGCACACTGGACGCAGTCGGAGACTGATCCGGCTGCATCGTGAGCTCCATCATGAGCGACAGCCACGGGTGGTGCATGAGCTCTGAGGCCGTCGGGCGCGCATTCGGATCAATGGTGAGACACTGCTGGATGAAGTCGATTCCGAGATCCGACATCTGCCCCGGGTCCGGCAGCGGCGGGTGCTGCGTGGCGATTCCGATGTGGAACATGATCGCCCATTCGTTGTCGAGGTTGGACCACGGCTTGCGGCCAGTGGTGATCTCGAGGACGACACAGCCCATGGACCAGATATCGGCAGCTCCGAGAGCGCCGGCACCTCCCTTGATGACTTCCGGAGCGAGGTACATCAGCGTTCCGGCCAGCGAGTTCATGACTGCGGGACCGGCGTCGCCGCCGCCACCACCCTTGATTGCGCGCGTCTTCGCCATCGTACGGTTACCCTTAATGATGACCTTGGCCGCACCAAAGTCGACGTACTTGAGGACGGAGTTAGCGCCCAGCAAGATGTTGTCGGGCTTGACGTCTCGGTGCTCGACACCCTTGGAGTGAAGATACTGCAGACCCTGTAGCATTTGCCAGGCGTACACCATGACGACCTCCTCGTCCTCGATACGTCCGTGCTCGAGCAGGTTCGCCAACGAGCCACCGGGACAGTATTCTTCGAAGATGTAGACACGGTCGCGGTGAACCTCGATGCCGTAGTAGTCGACGATGTTTGGGTGTGAGAGCATCTGCATGACCTGCCTGTCAGTTCGAATCTCAAAACGGCAACTTACGTCCGCCTCGTCCTTGATTTGCTTGTAGAGGGCGGGCGAGTTGGTAATGTCCTGCACGCGAATCTCCTTGACAGCCATGATACCGCCCGAGTCGAGGTTGAAGCCGAGGTAGACGCTGCCGTTGGCGCCGCCACCGATGAAGCCGCCCTGCTGCCACCGCAGGGAGATGTTGCTCGAGCTCGCAGCAAGGAACACGAGGGCGCGGTCCTCAGACACTTCCTCATCAAGGACACGCCCAATAAGGTGCTGCTCGTGTGATTGCCCGGCGAGATGCTGATCGAGGGCGTTGATGAGCTCGAGGCGCTCCTGGCGCGGGATACGGAGGGAGCGATCGACCTGCATCTGCATCTTGCTGGCGCTCGTCGGGGACGGAACGCGGGGCAGGAGGCAATCGTCATCGTCGTCGCGCTGGTACATCTTGGCCATGCGGCGGAGCGTCTCCAGGCGCTCGGCCTCCTTCTTGGCCTCGATGCTGGAGCGCGCCCCGAGGATATCGAAGTGCGAAATGAGAAGCGTCATGCAGCTCGCAACCTTCGCCCTAAGGAGAGCAAACTCGTGCTTCGTCAGGTGGAGAATGTTGTTACCGCGCGTCATAAGCATCGCGTACTCGAGAGCGTTGACGGTCCAACGGAAAGTCTTGCGGTCCGTGGGGTCGCAGTTGTCGCAGATGAAGCTGACCCAGCTAATCGCAAGGCGCATCAACAACCGACTAAACCGCGACCAGGCGCTGTTGTCCATGTGCAGGGCGACGCGATGGCCGTGGTCGCTCGCAAACAAATACCAGTTCTCGATCAGGTCCTGCGTGCCGGGCGCACCACGAAGCGTTCTACGCACGTGGGCGGCCGACTCGATGATACACTCGGACAGGCGCAGTGCGGAACGGGCAATTTTCTTGAGCTCGCGGTTGACCTTGGGAAGGTGTGATTGGGCGTCAACGATGCACTGCGGCTGGAAGATGGTCGTCTCGGTGTCGGGGTCGATGAACGAGCGGGTGAACAGCATCTTGCAGTATTCGAGGCGGGTGAGCGGTCCGTCGGCAACGAGGCGGATGCGGCTGTCCTCGAGCGCATAGTCGATCTTCGTGCCGACATCGAGGGTCATGACCGCTCCCTTCCACGCAAAGCTCTGGCGGGGTGACACGAGCAGAATATACTGCGCGTCCTCCTCGTCCGACTCGTCGTCGTACTCGCTAAGTCCAACAGAAGCGCGAGCCTTCATGGCGCCGGGGGAAATGTTCAGCGACGACGCGCGAGTCAACAGCTGCTTGACATCCGCCGGCCGCTCCCACAGCGACCCGTCTGCGAATATGTAAGTGCCGTGTTCCTCGTAGACGTTGGTGTACACCAGGAAGTGCCCTGACTCCTGAAGTTGCTCGACAAAGAGTTCGGTATCCTCGTCCTCGAGCAGGTACTCTGCTGAATTGTCGAACTGTTGGTACAGTCGGCGCGCGAAGCGCTGCAGCTTCCTAAACCGCATCTTGATTGCGTCTAGAATTTTTCCGTACCACACTAACATCTGCTCGGTCGTCATCGGCTGCTGGTCTCGGTACTGCCGACTCGTGTCGTTCGGAGATCCCGCATGAACGTTGCTGCGGCCGTCGTCGTCCGTCGGGATCGGGACATGCAGCGAGTTCTCAAAGTAGTTGATAACACGGACCATGAGCTTGTTCGTTAATGAACACAGACTCTCCGCGACAACGAGGTCGACGCCCTCGACAGCTTCCGCCGCATCAAACAGGAACGTCCACTCGCCCTCGAGGACTTCTGTCTCGCGGAAGTAGACGGCCTTGGACCCGCTCTTCAGCTTCCAGTGCAGAAGCTTGAAGAACATCTTGATGCACTTGAGGATAACGTCCTGATAGGAATCCGGGAAGCTCTCGGGCAGAGCCCATCGGCTTTCCGGGTCGACCGACGTGATCTCCTCGTACTGGCGTCGGATCACGATTGCCAAGGCGATCGAGTTTCGGAAGCTGCTCGCCATATCGTCAATGACCATGAGATCCGGATCCGAGAGGCGCTCGGCGGCACGCAGACGCGTCTTGAGCGCTTCAATGATAAGCCGCCCCGGGAACGACACGATCTTGAGCAGCTCATACTGGAAGTCGGGCAGGTTGAGCTGCTCGAACATGGGCAGGTGCGCGATGACCGTCTGCTTGGCGTTCTGCAGGATCGCGATCTGGTCGAGGAAAATTCGCTTCTCAAAGGTACGTCGCAGCGAGTCCTCCTTCAGAATGCGATCGACAAAGGTTGAGTCATCCGTCTGGTCCTTGGCGTGCGCGAGCGCCTTCGAGTCGAGCGGGTGGATGCGGTTCCCTCCTCCGCCGACGAGCGGCTCCTCCTTGGTCGTGTTCGGCTTTGTGATGTCGAGATCCTCCGTGCCAGTCCAAAGCTGCAACGTCCGCAGTTGGGTCTGTAGTTGGGTGACGATCGAGTACCAAGCGGACAGCGCATCGACCTTGGCCTGAAACTCCTCAGAGTTGTAGAGCGGCTTGTCTAACCTGAAGGCGTGAGTGTGCGGGTAGAGAGACTCGACGATAGCGAGTTTCTCCAGAATGTACGCCACCTGGTCGAGGGGGCTGACGTCGCCATCGTGCTTGATCGTAAAGTTGTCAATCTCCTCGAGCACGGTGTCGACGACGCGATTGCGGCGCTGCTCGACTCGTCTGCGCTCCTCTTCTTCAGTGCGGTTGCGCAGCCTGGCTCGGATTTGCCACCACAGACTCTGGCCAAGGGCCTTGCGATATGTCTTGCCGGACGGAAGTTCGACGCCTATACGCGAGCTCTCGCCGCGCAGAATGTCGCCTCCAAGCACACTGGCAAGCATGCTTTGCCACTCCATGCGTTCCCGCCCCTCATCTGTGTCGGGCCCGGCTGCGTCGGGCGGCGGTGTCGCAAGAATAAGGGACTTGGGTTGCCCGACGCCCATGTGCGCAATGTCTGCGCCGTGGTGATGCGGACCGGGGGTGGACTCGCCATCGCCAGTTGCCGCCTGTCGAACAGCCTCGGCGACGAGGGCCTTCACGGGGTGGCTCTCAAGCTCGTCATCGTCATCGTCGTCGGACCGCCAGTCATCTAACGCGCGCGCGTATCCATCTGCGTCGGCCATGTCGATAGCTAACTCGCGTACAGGTCGGGTTCGGCGAACGCTGCTGGAACGCTGATGTCGTACTGTGTTGGGAGGGGTACTGTTGGTGCCGTCGCGGTACTTGGACTTCCAGTTGTTATATGATGAGCTCGCGGTCGACGACCGGCCGTACGTGTTGGATCGAGTCAGCTTGGGCTGAGACGTCGACGAATGGCGGGGCTGCGCCGTTGTGCCTGTCAGCGACGAAGAACGTGTATGTCCGGGGATATCTGCACGTCGTTAGCCTCTGCTTGCGGGACCGTCGTCTTCGATGCGCCAGATATAGATCTGGTCGCTATAAAGGAGGGTTGTCTGCTGCGCGGCTGCGCGGCACGCGAAGACTCACGGTCGTCGCCTAATGTCACGATCGGCTCGCTCTCATCTGGCGTACTCGGCCCATGCCCCATCATGCGAACCTTCCGCCGCGGCTTGGTGGCGGTCATGGACGGTTCGTCGGCGACGGGCAGAGCCGAGTTATGTGGTGGTAGTTGATCGGACATGGTTGGTGGAAGAGGGCATCCGACAAGAGGTGAGATGTGAGATTATCGCTCCGGGTTCGTGCAGTAATGGCTGCAATCCAGGTTGCGCCAGCCACTACAGACAGACCCGGGGGGAGATCGTAAGAGGGGCGGTACTCAGATGAAGGTGTAGGTGTGTGTACACGAGAGGGCGGTGAGTGAGGTGAAGGGTAAGCTGGGGATTGGGCGATTCGGAGGAGGGCGGTGAATGAGGATGGGTCTCGAGGTCGAGCGCGCAGCCGCCGTCGTAGTTGTTCGATTGCGGATAAACGGGGTCGCAGAGATGACTCGAGGATGTCGCGGCGGCGGCAGAGGGTGTGAGGGCGGGATAGGAAGAAGTTGGATGTGGGTTGGTTGGTCGATAGAAGGAAATGGTCAAAGGCCAGGTCACGACGCCGGACCGAACGGACGGCCAACGGAGGACAGGATACAGGTGCGAATACGTAACAGGGTTGTGTCTCACGTACTCCTGCACTTCCTCGGTGTGAATACGTAGATTAACCTGCGACTCGACACACTCAACGCTGATCCTTGCGCACAAATGTATACATATCGTTCGATCCATGCGAACTCTGTATGCTAGACGTTGGGGAGAGGGCGGTTACGACGCAGGCGCACGTAGACAGACGCGGTCGGCTGACTGCATACACGTCTAACCTCCAGACCGCACCTGACCGGCCCGCGATGCCCGCGTCTGACTGGGCCTACCTGTCCCCTTTAGAAGTCTCGGACACTCCCATCATGTGCCGCACCTCTGTTCCGCAAGCTGCTGACGCTCGACGCTGCAACAATAACAAATCGCCCTTCGCCCTCCTCCGTCCGCGCAAGAAGATCTGGGTATCTGTTCTGCGTCTAATAGCAATGCACACCGAAATGCCGTACCAGTCCTCAATTGTCGGATCGAGAACGGACACCTCCTTTACCGAGGGTATCTGGTGGCAGACATCGCATACCATGCCGACAAGTCTCTGGGAATCGCATACGCTTGCCTCCCGCAGACACGCCCCGATACCTTGCCACGCGCGTACGCCGGCCGCGCTGCGCGAGCTACGCTGCCGAAACGGCCGTTGAGGTAAACTGACAACGTTGCACCTTGTCTGACAAGAAAGGACCGGCATTCCACACTACCACTAGCGATCTCGCGGGCATGCCAGAGCGGCCCGGAATCCGACTGATCCTGCGCGCCGAACGATAAAAACGCATGCCGCACGGGGAACAGACGGCCGTGCAGCCGTCGTGCAAAGGAGGGACACGAAAGACGCATTCCTCGCTGTCGGGAATGAGCCGAGACCTTATCCACGCTGCCGCTTAACGATTCGCTTCTCAACGAGCCCATGCATATCTATTCGCCCATTTTGTTTGCCTATGAGCAGTTTAGAAGGGCTTGTCAGACTCGGGGGTGTTGTCTGTGGGTCAGTCATCGTCCCTTGGAGAGTCGCTCCAAGCTTACCGGTGAAGTACGGGGCCAGCTGCAGGGTCAGCTAATATCCGAACCGTCGACTCAGCTGAGTACTCACGAAGGGGATCTTCTGGAGCACGTCCTTCTGGAAGAGGGGGACGGGGCTCATGAAGAGCGAGACGGCGACACCGGCGGTGACACTCCAGCCGATGAGCGACGAGCGGAAGGGGCGGAGGAGCCTATCTGTGTCAGGAGCTGCGCGCGTTATTTCCATTCGAGACATACTCGGGGGTGAGGCCACCGAAGTGCTGCGGGGTCAGCGAATGCTCCATAAATCCGAGGCTAGCGAGAGAGACCGTTCGGGCATGCGACCGAGAGCGTCGTCGTCTACACACAGAGAACCGAGCTCTATTCCATCTTGCCGAAACGTGCGGATCAACGTGCGATCCGACGCTTTTCCATGCTTCCTTCGAGTATCGCTCGTTCGCGGTCGGCGTCCCTGGGTATGCGGTCTCCTCGCGTGCGCTGTACTCACGGGCTGGACCTTGTACTTGACCTGGAGGGGAGCCATTTCGATCGTTGAGAGGTGTATGCAGATGTCGAACGCAACGCAACAGTGTTCATTGGTCGGGACGGAGCGGAGGGACGGAGGAAGACTGATACGCCGAAACAGACCGTGACGTGTAAAAACCCCCTGCCCTGCGTTTCGCAGGTGACTGGAAAGTTCAGGTGGAGGTCGCTCACATTGCATCACCAGGTTTCTGTGGGAGCTGCATTGTGTTTCGGCTCACAACAACACAAGCACCATGTTCGCCCGCTCAGCACTCCGACTAGGATGCCGCATCGCCGCATCTGTGGCTCCCATCCGCGCCGTTCGGCCGCTCGCCCTGCCGCTGCACCGCGCCTACGCCAGCCTGTCGCCGGACACTCCGCCTCCCGCGAAGGCGTACGAGGTCTTCGATGAAGACGGCAAGACGCGGCAGAAGGACCGCGCGATTCTGCGACTGAGGGAACAGCAGGAGGCTGGAGAACTGGAGGACCCGCAAGTTCTCGACTACATCCGTGAGGAGGTGGCCGACAGGATCACGGAGCGTATCGAGGTGTGTTGGCTGCTTGGTCGAGAGCAATCAGCCGCTAATCTCAGGACCTGAAGACTCCCCCGGCGATCGTTGTCGAGCTGTCGTCACATGCGGGACAGCTGACTCGTATGCTTCAGGAGGTACTAGGAGACAAGCTGCACCCGTCAACGGAGCCCGGAGGTGTCATGGGTCAGGAGAAACGGAAGTGGATCATGGTTGAGCCGTCTAGCGAGGCGCTGAACCGTGATGACGACTCGACGTTCCTCTGTGAGCTTACCTCCTGGTACTCTGTAGCTGACAAAAGATCCTCCAGAGCGTATTCAGTGCTCGACGTCTGACTTCCTGAACAACCCCGAGCTGCAGAAATACGCGGACAAGGTGGACGCGATCGTGAGCGCCGGCGGTCTGCACTGGGTCGGCGACATTGTCGGCGCCTTCACGCAGGCGAAGCACCTTCTTAAGCCGGACGGCGTGTTCATCGCCGCCGTGCTTGGTGGCGACACGCTGTTCGAGCTCCGCACAAGTCTTCAGCTCGCTGAGCAGGAGCGTCGGGGAGGCATCGCCAACCGCGTCTCCCCCATGATCAGTGAGTTACCGACCTCTTGTTGAACTGACACGCAGGTGCGACTGACGCCCCGTCTCTCCTGAACCGCGCCGGCTTCACCTTGACGACCGTCGACACGGACGAGATTACGATCAACTACCCCAGCATGTGGGAGCTGATGGCCGACCTGCGAGACATGGGCGAGTCCAACGCCATCCTCGGCCGCCGCACGCACATCTCGCGTGACGTCCTTCTCGCGGCCAGTTCCATCTACCAAGGTTAGTGGCGACTCATAGCTTTGCCCTTGTAGCCGCAGCTGACAGCAGAACTCTACGGAAACGAGGACGGCACGGTTCCGGCGACGTTCCAGATGATTTTCTTCATCGGCTGGAAGCCGGCCCCGAACCAGCCCAAGCCGCTCGAGCGCGGCTCGGCCAAGACGAGCCTGAAGGACGTGTTGTAGAATGTGCCGGATGTAAGAAGTCATCAGTGATTCACACATGCCTCGGACCCGAGACGTGTCGACTCAGAGCACCATCTCCGAGCTCCGACCGACTCCCATCCTTTGCCACCCAGACCCAGACCCAGACCCACCCAATCTCTGACGACCCATGGCACCTGATGCCTGCTCTGCAACTGCTGGTGATTATGCGTGTACCCCGGGGGCTCCATGACTATCCTACAGGCGTAGATTGAATCTACTTCTGCTCCTCCTCGCGCTCGATCTCGTGGATGGCCTGGCGCTTCTCGGCAAGACGCTGAGCCTTGCGCTCGCGCATGGCCTTGTTCTTGATGCGGCGGGCCTCCATCTGGTCGGCGAGGGCCTTGGTACGGAGCTTCTCGGCCTTGGCCTTGTGGATGTGCTCCATCAGGACACGCTTGTTCTTGAAGGCGTTACCCTTGGCCTTGAGGTAGAGGGAGTGGTAGCTGTGAATGTCAGCGATGCGTACACAAAATCTCGTCATCGCAGATATATTCTGCGTCTTCGAATACTAACAGGTGCTTGTCGATCTTGCCGGACTCGCGGTACTTGCGGAGAAGACGACGGAGAACGCGCATGCGACGGAGCCAGAGGACCTTGGTGGGCATACGGGCCTCGGCGGTACCCTTGCGCTTACCGGCACCGGTGTGACGGCCAAGACGCTTGGAGGCGGCGTGCTCACGAGTGCGGGCGCGCGAGTGGATGACGGTGGGCTTGACAATGATGTGGCCGTCCTTGAGGAGCTTGCGGACACCAGAGCGCGAGTTGGCCTGGGCGATCTCGGCAGCCTCCTGGGGGTCAAGCCAGACTGGAAATGTTAGATCAAAAGTCTCGAGACCTCATGCAGGAACGGGCCAGCTCCATCTCCTCCAAATTTCCATCACATTCGTCGGTCGCTGGGTTGTCGATGTCGTTCGCGCGGTCGTGCTCGATATCGGTTCCCGTCCTCCTGAAAACTTTCGCCGCCGATCTCCACTTCTGCTGACCCGTTCTCGCTCAGTTTTTCACACTTACTCTTGCGCTTGCCGACGCCGGCAACGGAGGCGGCGAGGCGCTTCTGGATGCTGAGATTGGAGCTGGACGACATGGCGGTCTCCTTTTCGAGTTTTGTTGAAGGCTAGAAGCAAGAGAAGGTTGAAGGTGGTAGAGGGTAGACAACCGCACTGCGGGAGCGAGCAGCGAGGGGCTGGCACACTCCGGGCTCACCTTGGGCGGAACTTAACTGGCCGTCCACATAGCCACACATCGAATTTGAGATTTTTTCGGAGTTACCAATGCATGAACTTCGCTCGTTCTGTCGGCGTTAACGCACGTGGTAGCTATCTAATCTGTACCTGAGATTATCTGCTCTTGAAGATGCTCGATGCGCAAACAAGTTCTCTCGAAAGACTGACGACGTTCGACTTCGAGTTCGAGTTCGCCATCCGCAGAGGAGTGCTCGCCACGTCGACGCCCCGCCACGTTGATCGTCTGAGACAGGTCGACTGGATCGGCAGGGGCGCAGCGCTAGCGCTGCGGTGGTCGTTCCTGCGCCCTGCTGATCGTTGCGCCCCTCCCGGCCTCCCGGCCTGGAGCTCGACCGTCTACGACGTAACGGGTGGCGACGGCAACTATGCATGCTCAGCGTGCTCCGAACGTCTGTTCTAGGCTTATGTGCAATCCGATCATCGCTTCCACTCGGCTCGCATGACATGACTAATTAACGGCTTTTGACACTACTCCGCGTGGTGCAGCCCTCCGACGAGCAAGCAACTCTGCCCCTCATCGATGCCTGCGGAGCGAACTGAGCAGTCAGAAAGTGAAACTGTCAGTCTGATCGTCGGCGGATCCTTCTTCCCAGCTCAACGCCCCAGCCCTGCATGCGTATATGCTACCTACTCGTCCTCGGCCGCTCAACTGTGTAACGGCCGTGGCGCGTCGTCTCACCCGGCCGTCGAACCTGCACAGCAACCTCAGAATCTTACTCTGAAGTTCTGACTTTCGGTCTGAGAGGAGTGACTGAGAACTGCGCGAAGCACAGCCCTTTGCGTTTCACTCTGGACAAGACTTCTCTGCCTATCCTTCAACCAGTGCCCCACACCATCCAACTGCGGTCACCGGGGGTGTTGGTGCAGCAGCCTTCTCGGATGATAGCCGCAGCGCATGTACCACCGGCCGGACTGTCGAAGCTGACGTTCGCCGCTCACACGCCGTTGGGATACGACCAGTCGCCATTCGGCCTCCACTGACTGCAGCGGTCGACGCCGCCACGAGAGCTTGCGCTTGAGTATCGGGCCATGCATATCAATGGAGGAAATCATCCAGAGCAGCGTTGAGCTTCTGGCCCGCGGTGCTCGGCTGTGGGCGGTCCAAACGTTCGACAAGCCAGAAGCCCAGCACTGCAGGGGGAGCTAGCTGTCCCGACGTCTGCGGAAAAAGGGTGGAGTATCGGAGTCGAAGTCCGAGACCGAAAGAAGAGGGCAGGTTACGCCCTCCTTGTTAGCGCCCGAGGTTGACTTGGAGGAGTCCGACTCCTCTGCCTCGGATTCCTCCGTCCACGGACTCCCAGCTCTCGGCGTCCGCACCCGGCGTTCGCGACGCGCGCGGTACTTGAGGTGGTCAACGGACCAGAAGGTCCAGGAAGGACCATAGGGTGTGGGGACTTCTTCGTCGGCCTCGGCCTCATCCTCATCCTCATCCTCCATGGCGACAACGACGGTGCGTTCCAGGTCAGCAGTACTCGTGCCGACCTCGCTGCGGCCGCCGATGGAGGCGAGATCACCCCCAGCTGCGTCATGCCCGGTGCCGGCCGCCGATTCCAGCCCGAACTCGAATCAGGACGAGGAACAGGAACCGCAAATCTGATATCGGTCCGAGTTCATGCGTTCGAGTGCGCCAGAACTCACGCTGCGGCCTCTCTTCGGCTTATCCTTCTCTTGGGCATTCGGAGCCCTGCCTCGGGAGCACCCACAGTGACATTGACAGCCCCATCTGCTGGGCGTTGATGACGGGGACGTCCAGCCCGCGGGCGTTCTTGCGGTATCTGGCCTTCTCAGAGCAGTTGCGGCACATCTATCGGGTCAGCTCTTGCCAGCGACACTACCTCCTACGCGGTGTACTCACAGTGATCATACCTGGAGAGAGCTTCCATACGGAGCTCCGCTTTGTTCCGCAGAACCCGCACTCTCTCGGGAGATGGAGGCCGAAGAACGTGACTCCCTCAGCAGCCTCCACCCCCGAGCACACCTTGAAAGGAGATGTCGGCGAAGTGGGAGGCATGGTCGGCTGGCCGAGTGGAGGAGGGGTCGTTGCACTCGCAGCCCTCCCTCCCCCGGTGGAGGCGACAATGCTCTCGGCGAGCTGCGCCTGCTCGACCGGAATCCACCGCTTGTTGCACAAGCGGCACAGGTCCTTGCTTTTCAAAGCTTTCCTCCCGCAGTGTCGGCAGCCGTTCTTTCCCTTATCGGAAAGTGCCGAGACGTGCAGGAAGAACTCCTCCTGCAAGCGCGCCGCGCGCCCGGGCTCCTCGATCGCCATCTCCAGTGGGTCGTTGAGTTACGGCGCCAGAGCGCCTTGAGCCTCGCCCCAGGAGTCTGCAGATCACGCCTGGGGGCACGCACTCCCCGCTCGACGAGGATGTCACGGAACTGCAGGATGCAGTCCCGCATCTCGTTGAGGAAACCCAGGAGGGCCGAGCCTCGCCAGAAGTAGCGGAGGCGATTCACCGCCCAGAGCTCGAACACAGCGTTTTGGTCGGGGCCCGAGAACGAGAAGGGCTTGTTGTGCACGCTGTGTGCAAGCATGGACGCGGCCAGGGGGTGGTTGGTCCACCCGATGACCAAAGGCAGCCCGGTCGCCACATCTCGCACGCCAATTGTGCCGTCCGCCCGGGGGTAACCCTGGTTCTTGGCCACCCCCAACCAGAAGCGGTAGACCGCCATCTCGTCGTCTTCGGACCGGAATGCGTGACGGGCACCACAGAACTCCTCCACGCGTCCGAGAGCACCACAGAGCAGCCTAGCGATCTGCTTCGTGGGCGTCTCGGGGCCGAAGAAGAGGGTCGGTACCCCATCCGCGTTCCGAGGCATGCTGCCTGTGTCGATTCGCGGAGCCTCGTCCAGGAGCTGCGCCGCAACCTCCCCTACCCTGTCAGAGTTGGGACAGGGGCAGGAGCAGATCTGCCCCTCGATGTTGGCTGGAGGCAGTGGTTGTTGCCCCGGGGACGCGCCTACACCCTTCCACAGCCAAGCTCGCCTGCTCTCCACCTCAGACATGACCCCGGTCTTCTGCCCCGGGGTCAAATACTTAGGCTGGCAAGAGGCAACGTCTGGTGCCGCGAACCAGATCATCAGCCCCGCGATCCCGTCCACATCCACCTGGAACCCATCCTCCTGGTTCATCTCGAATAGGGAGACGCAAGTGAACAGGGCGACTTCCTCCAAGCTCGTGCGTTTGAGCAGGTTGAACGCGAGGGGAACACCGCGCACGTTGGGCGGGCCATGCTGGGCGAAGGAGGCCGGCGTGCTGGTTCCGTCGATGAAGTGGATCTGATCCCTCAAATCGGGGGAGACCCATGCGGCCCTTATGCGATGCTCGGAGTTGAGCAGGCGCTGCACTTGAGGATGCACGAGATCGGACTCGACAATGTCGTCCGTGACACAGAATGGCGGACGCTTGCCGAGGAGCCATTCCTTGATCTCTGCCGTAGAGGGCATTGCTTCCAGTGCTGGCATCGGGTCGAGCAGCTTCCTGTCAGCAATGATCTTATGGTTACCACCTGCTGCGTCCATGGAGGCAGCTTGTGAGGATCCACGAACCTTCGGTAAGACCGTTGAATGTCTCGCTTGAGGCACTCATTGAGCGAATCTTGAACGGATCCTTGCCCTTGTACCCGCTGCTGCGCTGACCGTCCAGCTTGTCCAGCAGCCACTGTGCCAGGGGGTTGAGCTCATCGGCGCCCTCCGAGGGAACTGCAGCGGAGGACTCGCCTGCGACGCTGGGCTCCGGCCCCTCGACGTCTGTGACGTCGCTGAGAGGCGGATCCGAAACATCACCATGACGGGGTTCGTGCTTGGCACGGGCGGCCTCGGCGCGCTTCTTGCGGTTCCGCTCCTTGCCGCGGCGTCGATCATATGGAGCTTGATCGACTCCCGCCTCTGGGACTTGGGAAGCGAAGAGACGGAGGGACCCTGGCCGGCTCCGCGGTTGAGCGTGAGCAGTGTTTCAGCCGCACGCGAACCAGACCCTCCAGCTGATGAGGATGCCACCGTACTCGCCGACGCAGAGAAGCTGCTGACGTTGGCGGGCTGGGGCTGACTGGACGGCGAGGTCCGAGTCCTTGTCGTCGCCGAGCTTTTTGCTCGAGTGGCGGCGGCGCTTCCTCTTCGCCTCCCCATCCGTGGTGAAGGTGGGGTTGGTGACGTTGATGGGAGGGGCGAGAACCTTGGCGGAATTGACGGGA